AATGATATGGAGATGATGTATTTCCAGAGGTGTCGTCATCATCATATGGTCATCGCCATATCATGCAAGGGAGGAGTGTGCTGTGCCCCTCAAGTGCGCGACATGATGAACAAAGACGTATTTATGTATGCAAATTAAATTATGTGGGGTCACTCTCTCCTTCATAAACGAATATAAATACGAACATGTTTAGATATTTGTCAACGAACTATGTATGATATATATTTTGATGAGAAACTCAGTTACTGTTACATATTATACGAACAATACTATGAAGTATCAGCGGTTTTATAACAACATGATAAATTATCTGACAGTCCAATTAAAATGCCATCTTGAATTTCTTATCACCTCAGGTATAAAATATAAAACGGGGATGAAATTTGCCTAGAACGATCACAACCCAATTTTTTAATCCACAGCAAAATTAGTACACTCACAAAAGGATAATTAAGATGAAAGTTATTTTTGCATTGGTGTTCTCTGCGCTTTTGTGCGACATTTTTGCATTTAAGCTCCCAGCTGAGGAATTTTCCGTGGTCCACAATTCCAGCACGAAAGCACTGGTGTTTAAGGTAACAGAAGAAGAATTTTGCTTAGAAACGGGTTGGGTTTGTCCCCTCGATTTCGACGGTTTACGTAATTTAAAAAATTTTCTGGTACCTTAAGGCAGATTTCAGTCAGCCGACGCTAAGCGCTGCGTTTGGAGGAGCCTCCATCAGCTATGGGAACCATAATGTCATCTTGTGGGCAAGTGGGGGCGGTATCGAGGTCCGCTATCCGGCCGGCTCTTACGTCCCTTCCGGTCCTATTGTGGGTGGATTCGGAATCTGGAGCAGACACCCCGTGAACTCCAACACGGCCGTCTTCAAGTATGGCGTCTACTTTCCACCAGACTTCAACTTTGTCAGGAGGTAAATACGTGCATATGGAGTGCTCACTTTATTCTGCATGGGCAATGTCAACGAGGAATGAAAATTACCACACAAATCTATATAATCGACAGGAAAGCTGCCTGGACTTTACGGGGAAAGACATCGTGTTCTGGGGTGATCCTGCCGTCGATTGCTTCTCGACTAGGATGATGTGGAGAGAAAACGGTTTGGGGGAGCTGTATCTCTACGCCAACAGGGAGGCTCAAGACCCTGCAATCTGCCAAATGCCCAACAATTACTGCAGCCCAACTTACGGCTGGTCCCTCAACACCGGATCTTTCACCTTTCGACGAGATGCGTGGACGGACATTGAGGAAACGGTCAGTCTAATACACCCGGAGTGAGGAATGGCGTCTTGGCAATTAAGGTCAATGGAGTTGAAGTCATCAGGTATGCCATATGTACATACGTACGGACAAGGACAATGCATTTCAGTCACTTTTAACACGTATCGTTAATTATACTACCTCAACTTCCAAAACCCTGTCTCAAACTAAACTAATTGTTTCACTACAATTGGTAGGTAACCTCCCTCGGAGGTTGCGTGGCGTTAGGCGAATACCTTCTGAAACTACATGTCTCGTCCTCGCCTTTGCAAGCTTATCTTAACCATTGCATAACTAGTCAATTAAAGTATTCAATTACATAAAACATCATGTCTAAAGGTAAGCAAGGTTAAGTTACGTTAAACAAAGTAATTTTTATCCATGTCCTCATTATGTAATCAAAACCATGTCAATGAACTTGACGTTATTCCTCTTTAGTGTCCAACTATAAACACTTTTGAATTTCTTTTTGGATCAGTCGGATGTACTTTGAAACCTCACAATCTCTCAAATATACATCTATACAAGATTGGCCTGGAATTAAACCTCTCTTCAAATCTTAACAGTAGGCCCGATTGTGAATCCATTGTTGAATACATAGGCATTTTTTAATTCATCATACTAGTTATTTTACTTATCTAACTAAACTACACCATCAAATACTTAAGTGCCGGGGAAGGACGAGGGTATATCCAATGTGCATAAATATGCATGTGTTTCATATGTACGTACTCATCTATATTTCCAAGTCCCATATTCCCTCTAAGATACATTAACTATCTTTTTATTTGTTATACTTATCTATCAATTTAGTTCTTGTCTTCCTTCAAAGTACCTGATACATATTTAAAGAATTTAATTGAGGGTGAATGGTAGTATTTAAGAAACGTTTTATTTAGGTATAGCTATAAACTTCACAGATTCATACGTTCACATATACAGTCAATGGAACAAGTATAGGCACCACCCACGCAAGCTAAATAAAAATGGTTATAACTTTGGATTGCATCATCAAATTAGCATGAAACTTTGTACCCATTTAGCAAATCTAATGTAGTGTTCAATTATAATCATGTTCCCGACTGAAATTAAATAACCGTAACGTTATTCTGATTTTGACACAAACGCGTCAGGTTACAACCTGCAAAAAGTATTGGCAACCTATGGCTTAATTGCTTGTGCGAAATTTTTATGACGATAAACCTCTACCTATTCTCACGGTAAGTTAATCAGATCACAAAATATAACTTTATCTGCTTCGTAAGTCCAGATTGGTATTGTCTAGAGCCAAAATTGCGACACCAAACGAGCTATATTTTTGGCGGAGCGAGAAATAATCTTGCCTCCTTCTCAAACAAGCTTGGATATCAAAAACTCAGACATAAAACATCCCCCGCAATATTTACTATTCGAAACTTAGCCAAAAAACATGAAGCGATATTTTAAATTGCTGGTTTCCCATGATCCGGCTGAAAAAGTCACCTTAGCCCAAAATCGACAGATTAATCAAGCAAGAAATCACTCGAGATCGGAAGATCTCGGCTCCCAAAACCATGTTGAATTTGAGAACCAAGTGTGGGGTTAATATATCATTCAATTTGGTGATCAATCAAAAATCATGCAATGGGGTTTCAGGGTCCAGAAGCCAGACTGACGCGGGGGTCCCCAAAACCAACTAACTCAATAAATTGTAATGGGCTAAACACCACCCTAAACAGACTTCCAATGAATAAAAAAGGGTCTGCTGGTCCGACATAAGCAAATTCTACTTATTCGGAGCCAATTGAATGGTTAAAGTCTGGCGGGTGCCATTAAAGGCTCACAAAGACGAATATGTTAATATGGCAGTTAAACATAAAGGAGGATCGATTATGGTTTGGGCTTAAATGACCAGTTCGCGGCGTAGCTACGTGGTCATTATCGATGAAATCATGACCAGGGAGGTCTAATTAATCATTCGAAACGATAATTTGAAATCATTTGACCAAAACCCGACCTAGGAAGGAATTTCATATTCCAAAAATGCAGTGACCCCAAACATATATCCAAATTAACGGTGCAAGCTTTTGGAGACTGAAAAGATTAAGCCTCTTTCGTTGGCCGCACAGTCTCCCGATGTGAATCTGATTGTCCGGGTTGAGAAAAGAGCGACTGGTGGAAAACCACTCGTCGAAAAACGAGCTTGGCAAAATTTCGAAAGAAGAGTGGGCAGTGCAGTCATATCAAGAAGCGTCAGAAAGAAACTTCTGGAGTCAATTCGATGGCATGTTTCTGCTCCTATTGTATCGAGAGGAGTTGCTATGTAATACCAGAAGCGATTTGTCGTATTAAAATTGGCGTTTCTTTGCCTTATGATTTTTAAGTTCAAGGGTGCCAATACTTTTTGTGGGTAAATTTTGCAAATTTCCCAAGAAATTATTCGAAAACTGTGTTTATCTAATTTTAATCAGTAAAAAATTACTATAATCGGATACTACATTAGATTTTTCAAATGCGTACAAAGTTTCATGCTAATTTGATAATGCATTCCAAAGTTATAGCCAAATATACAGGGTGGTTAAAATGTCACGCTACAATGGAAAATTTTTCGATGGGAAAAATCCACAAATTTCCATTAGTTACCGAAATTTTGTCTCTAAAATGCAACATTTTAAGAATTTTGTCATCAGTTTTGATAATAATTTATAAAAATCTCAATCCCAAATCTTGTAACTAATGGAGATTTTGGGACTTTTCCCATTGAAAAATTTTCCATTGTGGCGTGACATTTTAACCACCCTGTACTTAGCTTGTGTGGGGGTTGCCTATACTTGTTACATTGACTGTATGCAGGTACATATGTATGTATACGGATTTATATAAACAACTACATAGAAACTTTGTTCCAAAATTGTGTTTATCAAACTGATTTTATACTTAGGGAGCTTCCATTTCTTCCTGGTGTTAAATAGCGGTTTAAGTATGGCGTTAAAAGTCATAGGAGCAACAAAATCTTTCGGTGACAAAATCATTTTGAACAACTTGAATATCAATGTTGACCAAGGCACTGTGTGAGCATATTCTTTTACTACTTTCTTCAGCTAAGTTTTATTGTGCATGATCATAATTTTTTGATAATAAGGTTTTCAATTTAGATATGCTCTACTTGGTCCCAGTGGATGCGGGTAACAAATTTGATATTAATCCCCATGACCTACATAATTGTACATTTCATTAAATAATCACTTATTGGTTTCAGAAAAACGACACTGCTCTCTTGTCTTGTAGGAAGGCAGCGATTAGACCATGGAAAAATTGGGATATTTGGGAGAGAAATTAACTGCTACAGGGATGGGGTTCCCGGAAGCATTATTGGATTCATGCCACAAGTAAAATTCATAAGATCTAAATTATGTATTGACAAATGTGAAAATAATCATGTATGTATTTCATATCTCTGATAGGAAATTGCACTTTACGATTCCTTCACAATTACCGAAACATTCATCTACTACGGCAGACTCCATTCCATCCCGAAAGAGAGGATATTATGCAAATTAGATAAACTCAAAGATTTACTAAACTTGCTAAACTTGAGAAAATACATTGGCCAAATAAGGTTCTATTATTTACTTCTAATCATAAAACTGAAGTGAAAGTTGTGATTATTTATTTTGCACATTAGTGGCGGAGAAAGTCGCCGAGTTTCCCTTGGCGTCGCATTGTTGCATGATCCACAACTGCTTATCCTAGATGAGCCAACTGTTGGCTTAGATCCCATTTTAAGGGAACGGTGGGACAAAATTATTTAACAATGTATTTAAAAAATCACCACTGTGAAGACTACCTATATGAATTACAGGATTTGGGAATACCTTTCCAAGCTCGTTAAATCTCAAGGAAAAACCGTTCTATTAACTACACATTTTGTAGAGGAAACTCGTGATTGCGCCAAAGTAAGGAATTCTGAACATTATTAACAATTTTTGTATTTAAGGATAATTATCTGCATATATTGCAATAAAAGGAGTATTTAATTATCTACTCATAGATTGGGTACCTTCGAGATGGAAGACTTTTGGTTGAAGATTCACCTCAGAATTTGTTAAAATTTTATAACTCAACCAGTTTGGATAATGTGGTGCTACACTTGTGCAAACTGAATTCGACCAATGCCATCACAACAAAAGGCCACACTAAAATTCATAATCCTTTTAAAATTGTACACTCTGAAATTTACTCGCAATTAGATATATGCAATCGCAAACCTTTGAAAACCTACTGCATCCAATTGTTGGCTCTAACAGTACGAAACTTCACTTTGTGCATGAGATACCCGATGTAACATAAAATAATTTTAGGCATATATTCAAATTTGAAAATAAATTTTATTTAAATTACAGAGTATCGGTTATGATATTGTTACTTACAATTGGGAACACAATCCTATTTCTCAACATGTTTGGAAACGATCCAATCGGACTAAAATTGGGACTTGTGACGAACAATAATCCGTCCTGTTTGAGCGATGGCGACTTCATTGTAAAACAAGGAAGAAACTACGCTTGTGAATTTATACGGATCCTAGAACACGAAGGAGTTAATGTGGTGAGCATATAAATTTTGAAATTATCAAATTGGAAATTCTCGTAATAATTTTACATTTCATTGCAAGGTCAAGATGACAACTGAATCAGACGCTTTGGATAGCGTCACATCGGGGCAAAGTTCCGGCTATGTCGTAATTCCGTTGAATTTTACATTTCACAGTAACAACCGGTTTGTCTGGAACATCCACTCGGACAACGAAACCATTGAAGGGTCCAATATTTCAGTCAAATTAGACAACTCAGGTTCAGGTACTACGCCGTTATATTGATTCGTTATAGTCTACAAAATATACGTTGATGATAATAAAACCACATCGCTTCCTCTCAGCATACATGAATTCATACTTTCTTACGCAATCCCTGTACAACGCTGTCGTGAAATTATTTGGAGAAATCGCTGCTGGACTCGATGTCGACCAGAGGTTGGTCACACCACCATTGGCGGTACCTATAATACATAATACTAAAAGATATTTAAATATTTTTAATTTCCTATAGACAGCAATGCTTACAAAAATTACAAATTTATTAAGCAGTAATTGATCAGTAAATACTTCAGACAAATATCCTGCGGTTTCATATTTCGTTTCGTACTTGCAATATTGCGTGTTGTGATACTTCCTCGCGACATTCTATACTTGATACAATTTCCAGTGATTATTGGGCATTGCAGCGTCTAAAAAATTTCGGATTCTCCAATTCCTAGAAACTATTTTTTTTAATTTTACAACTAAATACCTCCTAGGATAACACTAACTCCATACATTCTTATATCTGCCTACTCGAGTTTATGTATTTATCTAAATATGCAACTTGTATATTTTAGTTCCACGCAATTTATGGGAATATGGATGACTCATGGAACACATTCTTGGCCCCAATGGGAATCATGATGTGGATAAAATATTTACATACATAAATATATTTGCATATCCTATGTAAGTTTTTTGTCAAATTTGAATTAACTTTCCCTTAGAACATGGGGTTTCCTGTCGACTTACATGGGACTCTTGCACATCAAAGACCGAAGGGAAAGGACCCTTTCACGCACACTTGCGACAGGCGTAGACTTTAACCAAATCCTGCTCTCCTACTACCTAGCCGATATCCCAGCAATGGTGATATATTGCGGCACAATTGTGCTTCTAATTTGGTGGGATCGTGGCGATGAAGTAAAAGGAAGTTGGACATCGATATGCCTCATTTTTATACTTGTTCGCATATCGTTATCCTCCGTTTCATACCTTCTAACTGGATTTGTTCGAAACGAGATTGAAGGAATATTTGTGTCTCTTCTGTTCCTTTGGTCTGCCATTTATGCCTCGGGTAAAACATAAAATCTCAAAATTTTACAGCAAATTTACATCTTTTCTTAAAAATTTTCTAATGTATGCAAACATGTATAAAAATACACCCCCATAGATAACCTCTGGCCCGTGGAAACTGTTGTGTGGTGGTATCAACCTTTCTGCTATTCCCTGCCTTTGACTTTCCCAATTCGAATCCTACGATCCGTTATGACAAGAGGGTGGAGTTTATTTCATTCGGCTATATTTCCATATGAAATTGGATATCCGATCTGCATGACTATTCTACTCACTTTGCTAACCATTTTGCATGAGAGGAGAATTAGGTGAAAGTGAAATAACTTTTACTGTGTAATATATATGTACAAATATGATATTTGTTAATTTTAATAATTTCCCTGCTTGTATTTACATATACTTACATACTTGTAAGAGTACATATCACAAATTTGCATAAATATTTGCATATTACATGCATAAATCTTCAATAAATATAGAATCTGATTTTTGAATTTTAAATATTATCATCACCAGTCCACCTTGGCCTTAAAATCTCTAATATTTAGGGAATTCCAGAACGGTATAATTTCAAAAAACGGCTCGTTAATGACGCCGCCATCCTTGTTAAGCGACATAAAAGGGAGTGGACCCTTCTGATTTGCGATGCTACCCTGCTTCAAAATTGGCCATTCTTTTCCTTTGAATTTCAAATTGTCACTAAACGAAATATTAAAGAAACACTCATATGTAAATATGTACATTAATCAAATAAATTGAATTACTATTTATCATCATACTCACTCGCTTTTCGCAAAATCGACAAAAGTCTTTACTAGATCCTTTGAAAATTGATAGTCCCGACTTTTTTGTCCAATTTCAAACGCCCGCTCCATATTGAAAAGTTGTAACAACTCGTCAGCGTGACAAGCACCTAATTTAATGAGCGACCAGATACATAAAGTTCTGACAAATTTTTATAAATCTGGTCAAAATTATGCAAGCACATACCATAATCATGTGGACCTGGATGGCCGTAATATCTCTTAAACAAATCTTTCCCTATTGAAATTGCAATTCTAGCATCTGCAAACAACCAATCGTCTGAAGATTCCACTGCCTTCATCGCGCTATAAATCGAGGGAAGGGCGGCCTCATAGTCGTAATAATATAAATAAACGGGTGCAACTTTATTATGGTGGGTTACAGCTCCATGAAGCGCATGAAAGAACCATCCGTCCGAAATCATTCTGGTAAAGTTCTGGAAATACGTGTCGTGATTGTAGGGCGGTGAAGAAAAGTAATACTCTCGAAATCTGTCTGTAACGTTAGTTCTTTTGGGATCATACATCAACATGATTGGGGCATATTTGGACCAGTTTTCTTGCATGGTTTCAACGTCCATGTTCATTGCGTCAAGCCCTGAAAATCGTAAACAGCGATTACAAGTGTTTGATGAGAATTCAAATTGAAATCTATGAAATTTTTGAAATCGTCTGAAAAAATGAAAAATGTATTTACGAACTTGAAGTCCTAATTCCACCTTCTCCCTTCGTGACCCCCATCATTACGGGAACCTTGGCGAACTTCCCTTGTTCAATTAAAATTCGCGGATTTTCAATAAACATGGGATCAATTGCATCCTTAGATTCTATCGTGGGCCCGAAGAATGCGTCTCCTTCTATAAACGGACCTTTATCCTTAATGGATCAGAAAATTGGGGGAGATTTAGCTCTCAAAAACTAATTCATATCTAAATATTTGTGAATTCAAAGCTTACCATGAAATCCACGATTGGCTCCGTTACTTGTTTTGCACTCAACCCTTTGAGACATGCGACCAAGGCTTTCATATCGCTTTGTGGACAACCCACCCTCTTCCCGTACTTCCTAACTTGTCGGGCAGGATGAACATTCATAGACCAAGGACAGTACAATGATCCCGATTGCAGGATCGCTTTATGGAATAAGTTCTTGCTCGATGGCGAAATTATGTGGGCATGGACCTTTTTAAAACCAATTTGCAATTTCTGTAATTATGGAGACTAATGTCTTTTCGGTCAGCTTACACTTGCGGCACCAGCCGATTCTCCAAAAATTGTAACTTTCTTAGCATCGCCGCCAAAAGCTTGGATATTATCTTGGACCCATTTCAGCGCTAGGCGTTGATCTTTTAAGCCAGCGTTTCCACTAGGTTTACAAAAGCATTCCGTTAAATAATGCCCTGAATAGTCATGTTTTTTCAGTACTTATAAATTATAAGTTATACATAGATAATAACTTACGTAACAGTTGCGTCACCAGTATTTAAAAACCCTAAAGGACCAAGTCTGGAAGAGATGACGCTATTAATTAAATATCCAAATTAATATGATTTGCTGATACAAACCTGTAGTTCATGCTAACAACAATGACATCTTGATCCATGAAATATTTTGGATCGTACTGACGGGTATTCCCACTGTACAATTTATTTGCAATCCTTAAGAATTTCACCTTGAAAATAAATACCGGATAATTATTACGCTAAGAATCCTCCCCCATATATCCACACCATGACCGGAAGGGGCCCTTTGGTTGATGTCTGCTCATCCGAGTACCAAGAGATGCATATGTATTACTCGTATGCAATACAAGATTGGTACATAAAATAGCACTTTGTATACATTTATTACCATTGGCTTGAACACATTAAGGTAAAGACAGTCCTCCTCGCCTAAAAATTTCCCTCGGACCAAGGCCTCAAATTGATAACATCCCGGATGTGATTTATCCACCTGGAGAACACCAGTCCAGGATTTTGCGGGGACGGGTGGCTAGCAAATAAGTAATTAAGTTCTGCAAATAAGTCCCATGAAACAGATATGTACATATGGACACACGCAATACGATTTTTGTGGCTCAAGTTACGCTGGTGTACATTTATAATATGCATGGACGAGTAAACCAATTGACACACTGACTGACAGTCATACAGAGGAAAAATACTTTTACTGACTATGGTCACATAATAAAAATCATACCAATCACAAACCATGAATATGCAAATACAAATACGTGCATATGCAACACTCACAATTTCACAAAAACCCCACATCGACATATTTTAGAAATTTTTTATTTTGGTTCCCACCTCAAAGCGTTTCTCAGAAATTGGAGGTTCCGCAAAAGGAATCCTTCAATATTCATATACATGTCACTTATGTATTGTCTCCACTAACATATTTGTGATAGATAAAAAAAATCCTATATTTATCTTACCCAAGATAAGCCGAAAAATCTCGGCCATCCCTCGAAACCTTAATCACGCCTTGAACTTTACCATTTTTCGTTTGTACAATTTCTGAGGGACGCGAGGTAAAATATCCGGAATAATTTAGTCCGACTGATGCGAGGCCCACCACTATGACTAGTGCGATGCCCTTCCCCATATCAGTAAATATTTTGATAATTTGATCAAATATTTAAATTGTACTCGGGTAAAGTGCCGATGAATGAATGAAACGGGAAATTTTTGCAGAGTTTTGTTTGTCGTATGACAACCACCACCAAATGATGAGTGCTTATCAAACCTCTACTTATGTACAATGAACTGATTGATTGATTTATTACGCAACGAAGCTTCAGTATGCATATGTATATTTGCAAAACAAATATAGATGCAAAGTTCATATCCAGCACATCATTTTACTCGTGAATGAACTATGAACTTGTTGATTGAATCACAGAATAGAGTTGTACAATACAAGAACCGTCTTATATACATAAACTAATTAACAAACTTGACATTGTGATTGTATTGCGCTGCATGAGTATGCAATTTTCACTGTCAATTCATGTTACGTTTATAAACAAGTGCGTATTTATGTATCATATGAGATATGTATTTAGCAGTCAATGTCTTATCAAATTTTTGCTGTTTTATTATATAAATACTTTAAACTGACGAATCTGTGATACGTACGGAATATGTACGTACATATTTACATACGAATAGGATTATGAAATGCACTGAGATTCCATTCAAAAAATGAATTTCCTCCATAAACTTAAATATGTACTACTATATGTCAGTCTAGGCGTCGACGGAGGGGACCCAGTAGTTTTATGGGCACTCCCATCCCTAAGCAGACGGAAATGCCCATCCCTCGTAGTGAGCGCGCCCATCCCTCGAATCGAGTAACTGCTAAATTGGCAATTCTCCTCCAAGAGGAAAAAGCTAGCACGCGCGCATAGGTGGTCAATTTTAAGTGTTCTCCAAAAAATTAGTCCAGTAATTATGCAGATAATTGCATACTAATTACGAAGTTATTACAACTTCGATATATTTTTTGCAATTTGAAATTAACGTTTTTCTGATTTGTAAATCAGAAACATTTAATATCTCCGACTCTGTAGGTGCATCGGTATAACAAGGTGCAAAATTACAAAATTTAATATAATATGATGCAAATGTAAGTAAAATATAATATAGATAATGGGAAATATTTAGTCGTTTTATTCCTCCCGGTCATCGCTGTCATCTTCGTTTTCCTCCTCACTTGACTCCTGATCGTTAATGTCGTAAAACAACAAATAAATATCTTCACGAATGCTTAATATTTTATCTGTGAACAATGTCGAAAAGAACAGGCAAAGACACAAAGCGCCACAGCCAATGTAAATAAAAGCAGGTGATAGTGCTTTAACAGTTGCCCACAAAGTTAGATCAACAGATACGTCATAATTTTGTCGAATGGTAATGTTAGGGAAAACCTAACCAATTGTTTTGCAAGTAATCCCATTCTTTTTACGCTTGTGGCATATTCAAGATTGGTTTTATAATGCAAAGTGACGAAGCTTATGTCATTTATAAAGTTCACAACTTTGTGAACAACAATCGGTTCGAGTTCGGACTCGACCAATGCAATATACGCACTACGAAGACCGGTGTGCATATCGTAGATAGTTTTTAGTATAAAAAGCACTTTTAATTGATTGATCACATGTTCCAACAATTTGCACTAAATTCTGACTGTCAATGTCTGGAAATCTTACCACCGCTATGTGGTGAACAACGCTAGAGAAAATTGGTGGGGTCGGGTTTGTGCTTGCCATTATTTTTTATATTTATCCGGCGAACTAAATGATGCTATCTTATGTATGACCCGTTGGTTTTTAACACGTGTTGGCTATTTGTATTTTCTGGTAGTACTTGAGGGTCTCTCATTGGGGGTACTTAACATAGCAGGGTCGTGGAATTGGTTGCAATAAGAGAATGAAATTGTAAATTTACATTAATACGCATGTTTCGTGTTGCTAACAAATGATTACAAGAGATTTGAAGGTGACTTACAATAATGTGTTGAATTTAGCATATATACACATATATAACCACCCCCTGGTTGGAGGTGACATACGTTAAGAGAATGTACGCTTAAAGTGCTGCGTTTCACGTAGTTCGTGGGCATGCATGCATTCCCATGCGCGGTGAGGTAGGCGTCAGCAACCAATTATAACAAGATAACTTTTTTTCGCAGCGGGGAATATTTTTTTTTAATTTTTATAAAATTAAGTGTAACATTATGAATTTTTTGCCCCGGTGCGTTTTTTTAAATTTTGAAATTTCACGAAAAAATCAGCAGAAAACGTACATTTTCAAAAAACCAGGGACGTATATGCCCATTCCTCTCACTGAAAAGGAATGGGTCTTCCCATCCAAGATTTTATTTTATTTATTTTCAAGTGAGGGACGTATATGCCCATTCCCCTCGCTCAAAATGAATGGGCCTTTCCGTCTTTTTAGGGATGGGAGTGCTCATAAAACTACTGGGTCCCCTCCGTCGACGTCTAGACTGTATGTAAGTACATGTGTATATGCAAGGATTAAATGTGCAAATTCATGCGTAAATCATTTTTAATGAAAACTTCGCATGAGTTGTCAATCTCTCTTTAAGACTTGAAAAATAAATATTTTTTTAATGCACATGGATAAGATTTAATTGGTATACTATTTCACAAATTCGTTAAAAGTACAATAATTATTACTATGCTATTGTGAATTGCTATAGCCGATTTTACATGCAATGCCAGTGGAAGTAATGCTGAAACTGTGTGAGGAACATGAGACGAGAGAGTCGCTTTTCGCCTAGTACTTTGTCCGGATTGTTTTTCGTCCAAAAATCCTAAAATCGGCTAGGAGGACAACGATGAGACGCATGTCCTAAGAGTGAGCTCCCCAATCTCATGCGATCCATATGTAACAAGCCAGACTACACTACATTACATGACCACTCTTTATGCTGGTATGCACTACCTGGATTTGACCGAATGTATCAATAACTGCTCGTAATCTTGCCAATATATGCACCATTAAATTCTAATAGTGGAAGTAAATGCAGCAAAATTTCAATAGAAAGAAATGGCACGAATCCTTCAAATGAATCGGTGTAAAATATTTGATTCAATATAATATTCCAAAGTATAGAATAAATTAAACAAATGGTACATTCTAAGAATATAGGGATGGAATGCATCAATAAAACTTGTGGAGCAAATCTTGATGACAACGAAACGTCAACTTTTATTGATTTTTTTCTGAGATCACTTCAAAACAGTTCAAACACACCTCTTAACTCTTCCCCCAATAAAAATTCATCCTCCAACAACTTGGATTTTAGTCGACTTTTCTCGCTCTCCTCCATATCCTCGCATTTCTATGAAATACATAAAAACTGATTAGTTTCCGTGAGCACTGAAAATTGTATATCAAGCTTGCTTATGTCAAAAATTGGACTTACCCATAAAACGACTTGCACCCACGCTCCCACAGCCATCCACTCCTCCTCATCTTCAATTTCCTCCCTCGTGCCACACCCTCGCACTATCTCACCCAGAATTTCTTCCACCCATAAAAATAAGCAATACTTTTCCACTCTGAGTAATAAAATCATAAAGTTAATAAAATCACGGTTTCTAATTGCTAATAAAAACTTGTCTTTTGAAACAGCCAGGAAAGGGACATATTCTAAATTTGCATATTTTCTTTTAATAAAATCTGATTTTTCTTCCGACGTGGAACTACTCGTTACTAATTTTTGTTTTAAACTAAACTCGTAAATTTTTTCGTTTGCGGATACGTTTCCGTGAAGAAGGAGAGGAATTTGGAGAATCCACGGACTACAAAATCAAATAATTGTAATTAGTACACAATATTGCTTGTTAAAATCTCAAAAAACTCAACACCTACCCCACAGTGTCCAACACTCCAGATCTGACTTTACTAACATGACAGCCTAGTCCACGATGTATGCCACTGCAGCCGATGCATACCACTATCCCAAAGTTGATAACGATCCAAGAAACGTCGCCATGAGAGCCGCAATCAGCACAAACTTCCACCATCCTACTGCCCCACCCATTGCCATCCAAAACGCCACACCCTGTTCCTCCACCCTCACAAGTGCCCGACAAACTAAAGAAAATCCCCTTTTCGATTTGCGACACCCATTCATTCCTCTCTTCGGTATTGACGGCTTCAAATTCTAAAGTTTTTCCAGTCAGCGTGGTCATCACGATCTGCTTGTCGCCATGAATCTTAACATTTGCATGTTTTAACTCGACAAACTTTTTGTTTGTTTTAGATTCCATATAGTTATTTATATTATCGTAATAACTTAATTTTCCTTGCGTTAGTATTATATATTTTTTCTTCCATTTCTTCAATTTAAACGATTTCTTGTTCAGGTAACCTTGTTTTATCGGAATTGCTCTTCCCGACCCTAGCAAAGGGTTATGTGGCGTTGTGCTTGGTACGGATTCAGGGATTTTTTGAAACAGATTCGATCTTCTCCGGTTAATTTTTCTGTTTGGAGTTGACGCCGTCGCGGAGAGCTTTTTAGCATCCAATCCCAACAGGCAGCACTGTTCAAAAGCGTGCTCGACATTTTCCCCCGTCTCCATGGAAACTTTGAAAAATAGTTTGTGCGGAATCTTCTTGAATAAATTATTCACCGTCTCGTTCGGTGTGGTGGTCATAAGTACAAGGGGGATATCAACGAGAGACTTGTAATTGTTAAGGCGCGACGCATAAGTGAAGCACTATATACAAAACATGTAAACTTCTTATAATATTAGCGACTGATATTTATTTTATTTGCACAATTTCCTAATACTCACCGTCTGCACATCGTCGTGACAACCTGCAACGAGAATTAGCATATCCAGCCAGTGCGTAAACTGAAGCTCGGGAGGGCCTCCTTCGTCCCGAATTAAAAGCAAGAGTGGTTGTGACCTCAGCGTGATTTGCTTCTTGAACCTGCCTCCTTCGGGGGAGTGGTCAATTAAAAAGGTGGAAGTGAGGTAACGATGAACTAGTGTAGATTTTGGAGAAGTGGGAGCGCCTAAAAGATTTGCAAATAATAGAAGTTAAATTACTGAGAATGACACATCACACAGCATTGTAACGGAATTATTAACGTAAATTAGTGAATACATGAAATTAAAGTAAATGAAAATGATATGATTCACTTCGTATAATAAAGAAAAACACATCTAAATTAACCTAAAAGTCCCAGATGGAGCGTTGGCGTTGTTTGAGGGAGGGTCCACTCTTGCGAGTTTACGAACGAATCTGAAATAAGAAAAATTAGGTCAGTTTTTATATGCCTAAAAATAATTACATATTATAACTTTCACAAGTTTATTAAATTACCTTCAATTTGTACAACATTTTCTCTAATTTCTGCAGCTAATTTGACATCCTCCAAGTGTTCGATGAGTTCATAAATAGCGTAAATCGATGCTAATGGAAGTAAATAATTGTATAAATAAACAAAACTTTGCAAAATCAATATTGTTTTATTTATATTCTTACGATGAACAGATTCAAATCTTGCAATTTCTTCCGATATGGCCATGGACACTGTAGAATTTTGTTGTTGCTGTTGTGGCGTTTTAAACTCCATTGTTGCTAAGCTACCAATTTTATTTTGTACTTTATTAAATTAAAAACTAGAATTAAATTTTATTTGTACTCTTCTGACCCAGTGACACAGAAAAAAGTTTCAACGGCGAAAAAATTGATTTATTTTGGGTTTCGCGTGGGGAGAGAGAGCGTGCGGGATTTAGGCTTCGCAGTGTGTGGGTGGATTCGATTTTTACATGAAAAATTATTTTTTTTGTCAAAATTAATTATTACATAAAAATCAAATACACAATTAATTACGTACTTAAAATTAGTTGAAACAAAAAAATTCCTGGCTTAAAATGACATTTCTTATCTGAATATACATATTTACCGAATTTAATTCAATAATTTTCATGTAATTTTTAATATTTTTGTTTTAACTGTAATTTTTTTTTAAACTGTGAACCACAAATGTTGCGACATTTGAATTATTAGAAATATATTTTGTATCAATTTACTTCTCATTTCTTAATTTTACAGTTTTTCATCAAGAAATGAAAATAGTTCCGAAACAGGCAAGGGGGCAGATTGAGACGGGAAGATTTTTGTGGAGCATTTCATCCGTGTCGAGAGTTTAGTTCTCGAACTCACGCCAAAAGATGCTCGGTCTCTTGAAATTATTTGTATGATACAAATGCAACTTGTATCATGCTAAAGTGTGATACGAACCACTGCATTAAAATTAACCCGACCAGTGTATAATGCGTATTTGTGGTTGGTTTGATAGTCGAATATCAGGCAAGTGTAGAATAATCGTATACTGTAGAGTTCTGCAATAAAGCCATGAAATAATACATGATCTATGAATAAAACGCTATAAAACATTATTAATGAAAACGTCTCATGAATAATTGTCATGTGTAAATACTTCTTTATTTTTTTAAATTGATTACTTTATTTATATTATTTGCAAGGTTGAAAATAATTTTCAGCAAATTGCCAGAAGTTGTTGTGTAAATAATACCAAAAATATTTACAATTTTATGATAACATGAAATGCGATTTCAGTAAAAATAAAATAAAAGGTTTACTATTTTCTATAATATATATTTTTTAATTTGTTGGAAAATGCGGTAAAAAATAATTCATTTAATAGTAACGCCCAATTTAACTGCTGATGCTTACGATTTAATTTTATGAAATTTGCAATTATTCTACAATTTAAAAAATTAAATCATGTCGTTTTTTGTAATATTCCAAGCTTTTATTTCAGGATATTTTTTATATGTACGCATTTTGTATTTTGACTTTGACGCTGACGGTATGCATGTTTCAGTCTTGTTATATTGGTTGTAAATCTTTGGAGCTTTCGTATTGAATATAATTTTGATCATCAGTAAGGAGTTCATTTGTGAGGTCCGTACGCTCCAATGCCACCTATTAATTACATATTTAACAATGCATGTGCATACTTAATTCTAAATAATTTCGACTTTACCTCCATGAAATCCACCTCCTCCTCCTTCACCTTCCAAAATTTCAATTTTTCCGTGGTGATGATGCTCTGAAATTTTTTAGTGGCAAATTATACAATTCATTTATGTAATAAGCAGTGGTTATTAATGTATAACTCACCTACGATTCCTCCACCCCATCCACCCCCTGAAATTTTAATACAATAAGATTTTTGCACTAAACGAATACGGGAATTGATTTTTTTATGCAAACCTTTTCCACCAAACCCTCCACCAATTCCTCCAAAACCTCCCCCACCTCCGCCAAATCCTGAAATTGTAATCATTTCGAGGTTATGTGGAATTTTCTAGTTTTAATGTATGCATAAAACTTACCTCCTCCCCCAATTCCAGGCCCACTGCCTCCAAACCCCTTACCTCCTCCCCCTCCAAATCCTGAAATTATAAGCAAATGCAAATTGTGATCTTCACTAAACATTAGGTAATCATTTGTATAAACCTTTACCTCCTCCCCCTATTCCAGGACCGCTTCCTCCAAAGCCTCCTCCCCCTCCAAATCCTGAAATTTCAAAAGTTTATAATGTTTTCCATGATGTTAAATGTTTGCATGTTCAGAATTACCTCCTCCTCCGAATCCACCTCCCCCTCCAATATCAGGTCCTCCTCCTAAATTTATATTCGGTATATATAATGTGATACCACAATAATTGTTAGATTATGCTCATAAAATTTAATAAATTACTCCATCCACCTCCGATGACTTCAATTTTTCCGTGGTGATGATGCTTTACTGCAAAATGCAATTTTGAAAATATTTCAAAACTGATATTCATGAGAATCTTCACTTACCAACTATCGGCACTCCACCTCCTTTTCCAAATCCTCCTTTAATACCAAAAAAATTAAAAATGGAAATAATCACGTAGTGAAAAAATTATTTGAAAATCATACCCCCACCAAACCCTCCTCCGCTTGGACCAAATCCACCACCACCTCCTCCATGCCAGCCTTAAAAAAGTTTTCATTTTATTTAATTCCCCACTAATTACTATAAACAGATATGCATACCTCCCCAACCATGTCCATACCCCCCTCCAAATCCACCTCCTTCTATTTTAAATCCAGCACATATATTAATCGCAGAACTATAAAAATGAAAAAATTCAGTTAAATACCTTCCCCGTGCAATTTCTTTTTGAATAAGAGTTTAAAAAGACAAATTGCGTCAGTTTCGTACAGGACTGCCACAAGGCAAAGAAACAGGCCGAGGACGATCTGAAAATTCAAATTTAAAATTATTTCAGAATCTTATGTATGTAAACTAACGAGGTGGTTGACTAACCTTTTGATTAATACGCATTATATTTCCTAAAAAGAACTGGACAAGAGACACCAAATGCTACGAGAATCTAGTGAAATTACTTAAATAAACAATTGTCAACAAAGCGTTATTTAAGCGTGAATGATATTTCCTTCAAGTCTTTCTAGTCTTTTATATGCAATTTCTTGATGCATTTAACTTTTAACCAGATTTTACTGGCTAGAAATCGCCTCAAATCCAATTTCATGTGTTGTTTCATTTATGCATATTCGGTTTCGCAGATCATACATTATTACCACCTACATGGGTACACGACTTGTCAATTTTTTAAAATATTTTATCATTGCGTAATAAATAGAACGTGTTTCCGTAAATGGAAGTAAACATGTAATAATCATAATTAATTACATTTTCCTCCACAATTTTGAGTTATTTCTAACTTAAAGTAAATTATTTTACTAAACGGACACAGGAAGATGAAATATTAACGCATATGCATAAAAGTAAAGCACTTTACGAAAATGTGAGTGCGTCATCTTACTTAATAATAAGTTCGAGGGTGGGCAGGCGATAATTTTTTAGTTAACCTGGCGTTGCTTGAATGTCCCATTAGGTAGAAAGTGACAATTCTGCGTGACATAATTTATTGTATCTAAATATTTATTTATGTAGTATAAAGTGACCAAATTTTACTCAACACTTCCCTTCTACGAAAGGAAGTTTAGGTGAATATGGGTCTTACATGTTTCGTATTAACTAAATCAAGGTGTAAAATTATAAAAAAAATGTTAAAATGTGACAGTTTTACATCGCCAGGACTCAGATTTCTCTGCTTTTCAGCCTCAGATGGCGACTTCTTGCCATAATTTCGTAGCAAGTTGTCTCATCCCCACAGAGAACGGACTCTGCTAGGGGCTGTACACAGTGACATTGCCATTCCGTATGGCTGGGCTCACCCTGTCACGAGACAGCACCTACCCCGTACTAACACCGAGCCGAGTAGGATTAGCAATAGCTTCCCGGCCAGAGGAATCGAACGTGTGACTGCGTGGTGACAATCCTACCCTCGTACCTCTGAGCCATAGGGCTTTGCTTATAAAAATTGTGAATTGATAAAAATCAATAAAAAATCTTTGACGTAACATGCAGTGGGTATTTTTTCTCATAAAAATGTAAAGCTCAAATGATGACAAAATTGAAATTTGAAAATACTATAATGCATTTTAAACATCATGCCTGTATTAGCGCGTTGTCATGTTAAGTCATTAATTTACATTCATTGCCTCATTGTAGAATGAGTCATACAAATATTTGTATCATGCACAAACTTAGCAACTCTGAATTTTTCCCACATTTATCTTTATTCAGTAATTTCAGTTATGTACTATAAAATATTAAAATTAATTATTCTCCTCACTTTATGAACTATACATCAATGTACCAAATATTATCATGAACTTTCCCCTCTTGTCCCTCCCCATCGGAAGAATACCCTCCAAAGAAATAAATCCTGTTTAATCCTCCAACGAAAACGGCACTTGTAGAATCAAAAGTCCACTCTCCCATGACCGGAAATCCATCCACGTGGACCAATTCGTGCGTCATCGTTTCCGGATCAAATCTCACTATCGTGTCGGAATAATGTCCATCCTTTTCATTACCATATCCCCCAATGATGTACGCCTTTTTTCCTTCCGCGTCCCACACGGCGGCTGGTGGCGCAGTAAATTTAGGCAGCGTTTCCGATCCAATGATCACCTCGAACGTGGTAAAGTTGAGCTTCACTGTGGAGGAGAACTCTGTCGTTTCACTCCCGTCGAGCCTATCTCCAAAGATGAAGACGGATCCGAAATTGTCGGAAAGGGCGGCGATGTAGTCATAACTAATTGGCAGACGGTATACCTGGTCCACACTTGAGTTGACCGTGTTGAATGAAACGATAGCATTTTTGGCGAGACTTCCACCCAAAAAGTAAATATTGTCGTCGCCATCTTGGACTGCGGCACTCATGAAATTTTCTTCGGGAAGGTCACCAACTTTGGTGACGGAGCTGGTTGATGGGACGAACTTGTAGATTTCCGTCGACGGGGTATCCAATATACTGGCGCCATGGTAGAAGATGTCTCCCCCTTTGGTCTGGGTGGCTGTTCCGTAGTACGCTCCGTGCGGAAGGATGGCGGCGTGGGAGATCTCGTCGGTGGAAATGCTGTATTTTAGGACTGATTTGAGTCTTCCTTCTGTGGAATCTCCGCCGATTATGTAGATTGAGTCAGTCCCGTCGAAAACGGCGGACGTTCCATAAGCGCCGAGTGGGAGACGAGCTTTTGCAGGCGTGGCGACGAGATGTAGGGGGACAGCGAGGGTGGACGCGATACATATTCCGGTGAGGAAGATTATGATGGATTTCTCCATTATGTAGTTTTAAAGTAGAATTATTTTTTTGAAAGAGGTTAGTATGCGGGATAGTGATTTTTTGTAGTTTTGCGTTCTATGGCGTTGTTGAGAGTGACTAATGAAATGGACATGAGTGGATGGAATAATTAAATCAGCGAGAAGATAAGTGAATCAGATAATGCGAAGGTACATATGATAACTATGCATGAGTATGTATGTACATACAATTTGAACGGACGTATGAAATGTAAATTGTGGATAACATGTCAACACGGTTTCTGATAAGGTTAAGTTTATGTACCTTGGTAATGAATTGACAATGAACGTTTAGCCACAGGAAGTGAAATAAAATGATTGACCATGAATCATGACCCATTATAATACCAGTTACTAATTATATTAACATATAAGATTTATGAATATGCACAACAAGATACACAACACCGTATTTAACATGGAATTTTGCCGGACAACTTATTACGTATGTAGAAAGCGTTCATAACTGATTACTGATGTATCCATGCATATATGTACATATATACAATGTACATATGCATATGTACCTGGCCTATACAAATTCACCTGGAAGCCGGCAGATCAACAGGTGACAGTGACAGGTTTCATTCAGGTGATACAAATGTTTTTTATACTTTTAAATTAATTAATGTAGAAATTTAGTCACTTATCATCCGTACATATTCATTTCTTGAGAGTAACTTTTTGCCAAATGGAGAAACGTAGAAAATAAAGGGGAGGATTATAATTCTGAATGTACAATGTACGGATTTACGAATTACACTGTTGCAATCTTATCGTCTTTTATCTGCAATACGTTTGGCGACGAGATATTCATTAATGATAAACAACACGTCACTTTTATTTACAATCTCCCTCGTATACCTAATTTTCGAACTAATCATTTTTGAATCATATGCACACAGTTTGTTTTGCTCTGCAAATGCATAATTTTACTTATTTGTGCAAATTAATTAAAAGTAATTTTTATTATCCAGGACATGATGGCGTTCTACTGCTGAAACAGAGTACATACATACATATACATGGTAGTAAGTGCATGGCTTTATTGTTCTGCACTTTATTATCTGCAGAATCTACAGATAATATTCTTGGCATACACGTACATAAAGAATTACATACTTAGCACTTATTGTTCGATATACTCAAATTCATACAAGAACTAATATTTATAAGAGAAAATATTGTTGTAAATTTTAAGTGAATTTTCTTGATTTCAGGTTATCAAAGGGAACCAAACCTGAAATTTGCAGGTCATATTTCATGAGTAGCATGGATTACTTTTGTGATCATAACGAACTTTATTGGGTATGTACCAATAGATACAAATGCATGTTGCATGTAGGTTACACTTCGCCAAATATGTTGGTCGATTTTGAAACCATATTCATAGATTGCAGATAATTTAAAATTAAGTTAATTTTCAACCACCTTTGCCAATTTTGTGTTAATTAATTTTGCATAAATTGTCACCCTATATATATTTCAGGATTATGAGAAAACTTGGAACACAAAAAACGAGACGACTCCTGATTTCACGCGATGTTTTGAGAACACAGCCCTCGTGTGGTCACCCTCTCTCGTCCTCCTGTTTTTTGCCCCCGTCGACATCTATCATTCTCATGTCTCCGCCTCGCGCCCCATCCCCCGCTCCTCCCTCTCCGTCCTCAAGTACGGTTTCAGCCTCCTTCTCATCATTATCCAAGTCCTCCTCATTCTCTTCCAGCTCATCAATGTGGGCTATGTTCTGGATGAAATCCCCGTTGGGGAATATCTCGCCCCTGTCGTGCGACTGGTTACTTATGTAAGTCAATACTTGACAGGGATCTCAGAAAGTTTAGATGAAATGGATTTAGATTCTGCTGGTGAAAAAACTAGTTAAATTTTTTCATGATGTCTGAATTAGTTTTACCGCAAATATTAAAAATTCAGTTCAAACTTTAACTAAATTTATAACCTGTTTTTGTGTGCAGATCTTGTACTGTGGTCTTCTCTACTATTCTCGCCATAAAGGCATATCTTCGTCAGGAGTGCAATTTATTTTCTGGGTTCTTCACGGGGTCGGAGAAGCGGTAAGATTTCGGAGCAACATCCTAAGATGGCAGGAAAACAAGGTATACATAAGATACATATTTCCCACCGGTCTTAACATCGTCATTTGGCTACACAATTGCAACTATTTTATGTTTTAGGAAAACTTAGAAACCGACATCTTTATTTTAGAGATCATTTCCTTCCCTTGCATACTCGGAGTCCTGGGATTGAACTGCTGGGCCGATGTGAACCCAACCAGATTTATACGTGGTCCTAAATTATCAGAGGTCACAAACTATGCAATTTTAAGTTGAACACAATTTACTATAATTTTATGATGTGCTCAAAATCTTAGTGTTACGTTTTTACTTGATTTTGCCAAAATCTTTACGAAGAATATCGTCAGAATTGTACCAAGTTGCGATTATGTAATTAATTGGCGACAGCTTAATAATTTGTCGCTACATATCTTTAGCGCCCATGTCCTGAGGAGGACTCCTCCTTCCTCGCCCGTCTTACATTCGAATGGTTCAGCCCCCTCGCTTGGAAGGGGTACAGAAAACCGTTGGGATACTCTGATCTCTGGGATCTCAATGTGGAAGTAATTACGTAACTTTAGAATAAATATATGCATAAAATGTATTATGCTTACTTTACGTAGTTAACTATGATAAATACCATTAATTCAGGATACCTCCAGCGTTATCGTGCCAAAATTTGATAAGGAGTGGGACAAGCAGCAGTTGAAGGTCAAGAGTGGAAAGGCATCGTATGCCAAAGTTAATCAGGCGGTTGGCGTCGATTTCACGGACAAAGTCGAACGAGGGACGGAGAAAGAGAACGCAGTATTGGGCTCAGTTCTTGGAGCGTTGCTGGGCACCTTTGGAATGTCCTTTCTAGTCTTGAGCGCCATGAAGTTAATTCCGGATATGCTGCTTTTCGTGTCGCCACAGATTTTAAAGTGAGTACTGAGTGAATCGTTTTCGTGTATTTTTCGTTATTAATTAAGCCGGTGATGATGATTAACTATTTTATGGTCAATGATTATGTGTCATGGGCAATTTATATTCGAAACGGATTATATTTACGTTCAATTTTAAGTTAAATTTTGATGCCCTCAGTTTGCTCATCGCATACACTTCGAGCGGAGAAGAGACATGGAAGGGGATATTTTATGCTGCTGTGCTTTTTCTGTCTGCCTTCATCTCAACCATGATCACAAACCAGTACACTTATCGCATGTTCCTCATCGCGATGCGAGTTCGAACGGCTCTGGTGTCTGCGATCTACAAGAAGGCCCTTCTCGTGTCAAACTCGGCCAAGAGGGGTGAGTCATAAAAAGGTCCGCGTTCGAAATCGGTACGCCGGCGGGAACAGATAAATAGCTTATCAAATTACCTTTAACACCATTCCTTATTTATTTTCGCCAGAATCAACCGTGGGAGAGATAGTGAACCTGATGAGCGTAGATATTCAGAAGCTGATGACCCTGCTCCCGTTCATCAATATGGTCTGGTCGGCTCCATTCCAGATCGGACTGGCGTTGTACTTTCTCTGGGGCATTATTGGTCCCTCTGCCATTTCCGGTCTCGTCATCATGATCCTCCTCGTCCCCGCAAATGCCGTCATCGCCAGCAAAAGCAGAAAACTGCATGCCATGCAAATGACGATGAAGGACCAGCGTGTTAAATTGATGAACGAAATTCTGAATGGGATTAAGGTGCGATTAAAAATTCGGTGACTTTAAAAAAAATGGCTGATTGTGATTATAATTTCTACTTCAAGGTGCTCAAACTTTACGCGTGGGAGCAGTCCTTTGAAGAACAGATAATGAAGATTAGGCGACAAGAGGTGGAAATTTTTACGAAGACTGCATATCTCAATGCGATCGCTACTTTCCTCTGGATGTGTGCCCCCTTCATGGTATGTTATCTTGATAAAAACACATTGATAAGCGGGTAAGATTGATAAGATGGTTTTAAACAGGTTGCCCTCTGCACTTTTGGAACATACGTTCTCATCGATTCTCGCAATGTGCTGGATGCTCAGAAAGCGTTCGTATCATTGTCACTCTTCAATATTATTAGTTTCCCGTTGGCATATTTGGTAAGTTAATGGTCCATTTAATTCCATTTAAATACTTATGAAAAGTTTTAATTTTAAGCCCAACTTCATAAAGTTTTCGAGAAAACTCCCCAGATTTTGAATTGACTAAAATTATTTCACTACAGCCGACGCTTGTTGTCCAAATGGTTCAGGTATTTGATGCTAGAAATAAAAATTGGTTAGTATTTTGATCATATAAATTTCGTAGGCGAGTGTAAGTCTTAAACGACTCAATAAATATATGAATGCGAATGAAATTGACCCGGATTCTGTGACCCACGACCAAAGTGCAGGTAAATTATTATATATTCGACTCAAGAAGTGGTTCACTAATGATTCGTTGCAGTTGATCCGATCATAATCGAGAATGGGACGTTTGGCTGGGACGCGGATACGATCACGTTGCGAGACATCAACCTCCATGTCAAAGACGGATCTCTTGTCGCCATCGTGGGCACCGTTGGTGCAGGAAAATCGTCCCTACTCGCTGCCATACTTGGGGAGCTGGAAGGGCTCAATGGCACAGTTAACACAAAGGTTGAGAAAATAGTAACATTTTGACATGAAAAAAATATGTGGAAACTTAATTTTAATTAAAAAAAAACGCTGATAAATCTTCTAAAAAATAAAATATCTAAAAAAAACTGGAATTTTCTGGAGGGTTCCATCGCGTACGTGTCTCAACAAGCCTGGATCCAAAACGCCACCGTACGGGACAACATCCTTTTCGGCAAACCTTTCGATGCCAGAACATACGACAAGGCGATCGACGCCTGCGCACTCAAACCCGACCTGGAAATTCTGGCAGCTGGGGACAAAACAGAGATTGGGGAGAAGGTGCGAGTAGAAATCATTACAAAATAAGAAATCGGAGAACTCTCATGATATGTAATTTTTCAAATACAGGGCATAAATTTGTCGGGAGGTCAAAAGCAACGGGTAATTTTTTAGTAACTAATAATTAATATCTTACAATATTTACTGATAAAGTATCAAACTTAATTTTTCACTCGAGGTTTCCCTGGCTCGTGCCGTCTACAGCAAGAGTGACATATATCTGTTAGACGACCCCCTTTCAGCTGTTGACAGCCACGGTAAACAATTTAATTTAAGTTTAAATATTAGCACATCATTTTGCAAAATACGGCAGAATTTGGGAGATACGAATAACACGTTCATATAATAAAATTACTGCATTTTTTCTGTGCAGTGGGAAAGCACATCTTTGACGCCGTGCTAGGTCCGAAGGGAGTGCTGAAGAGGAAGACGCGAATCCTGGTAACCCACGGGATCGCCTACCTCCCTCAAGTGGACAACATCGTGGTTCTCAAGGATGGCGAGCTTTCCGAGATTGGAACTTACACCGAGCTGCTCGAGCGTCAAGGCGCCTTCGCCGAGTTCCTCCAGCATCACACCACCGAAGAGGACGCTTCCGAGATGGACGACACCACTCTGGCCGATGACCTCAAAAACTTTGCTGCGGAAAGTCGTAGAATTTCGACGGACTCGGAATCCAGTGCTGGCGTGTCGGATGTTGGAGAAGGAGTACGAAAGAGGATGACATCCTCAGGAAGTAGTCAGCATGACTCACGACCCCAAGATGGGAGGGATCGACTCGTCGAGGTGGAGAAATCGGAAACCGATTCGGTCACGATGGCAGTGTATAAAGAGTATCTCCGCGCAGCAGGGTGGTACGGAGCTGTGGGGACGATTGTGCTATATTCTGTGTACCAAAGTGAGTACATACTGTGATGAAGTACTTAATTCCAGAGACGTTGAGTAACTTGTCTTTGTATTGCAGCTTTCTCAGTGGGGTCGAATTTGTGGTTGTCCGAGTGGTCGAATCAGCCTGTAGTAAATGGGACGCAAGACGACGTGGGTTTGTATTTGGGGGTGTACGGTGGGTTTGGATTTATGCAGGGTGAGTACAAGGCCACCACCGACCAATTGACCTCTGAATTTGTATAGTAATTAATACTAATAGTTTCTTCTCTATCCATGTTCAGCCGTTTTTATCATGCTTGCTTCTGTTACAATGGACCTGTCGACACTCCGTTCCTCAGCAAACTTACACTTTAAAATGCTGGTGAGAATTCTTCATGCGCCGATGAGTTTTTTTGACACGACGCCAGTGGGGAGGATTGTCAATCGGTTTGCGAAGGATGTCGACGTGACGGACTCCCTCCTGCCGATGAACGTTGAACTCTGGCTCAACTCCTCCTTCTCAGTCCTAGCAACTCTGATCATCATCTCATACTCTACGCCCATCTTTATCGCTGTCATCCTTCCCGTCGGACTCCTCTACTACTTCGTTCAGGTCCGAATTTAATGACCTTAAGTTACATACTTATTTTACTAATGTAATTTCCTAGATTTTTAAGCTGAATTTTACAGCACATGCTACAATTTTCAAAACTTTGATAGCCGATTATCTTAACTTCCTATGCTGGCTTTTCTTCAGAGATTTTTCGTGGCATCTTCCCGTCAACTGAAACGTATCGAATCTGTGACACGCTCCCCGATCTACTCCCATTTCAGCGAAACAATCTCCGGGGCCCCCACAATCCGTGCCTATGCAGCGCAAGATCGCTTCATTGTAGAGTCTGAGGAAAAGGTGGGGTTTCAGTTGGAAGTTTGCAAAATTGCTCCTCGAATTAATAGGAAATTATTTCAGGTCGATTACAACCAAGTTCCATATTTTCCCTCTGTCGTGGCCAACCGTTGGATTGCCGTTAGGCTTGAATTTATTGGAAACATGATCATATTTTTTGCCGCATTGTTTGCCGTGTTGGGGAGGGACACGTTAAGTTCCGGTTTGGTCGGGTTGTCAGTTTCTTACGCATTGCAAATCACATCGTCGCTGTACGGATTGGTGCGCTGGACATCTGAAGTGGAAACCAACATTGTTGCCGTAGAGAGAATTAAGGAATATGGCGAAGTACCGCAGGTGGGTGGGCCAAGATTTTATTGATTTACCGATTAGTGACTTAGATCAAGTATTTAATTTTGAAGTAAAAATTCAGATTTTTAAGTGGAGATGGTGATTTATTATTGAATAATTTTTAGGAGGCTGCATTCGAAATCAGGGACCACAAACCACCAAAGTTATGGCCAGAGAGTGGCCAAGTTAAATTTGACCAGTACCAGACTCGCTACCGGCCTGGACTTGACCTAGTCTTGAGAAATGTTACTTGCACGATTAATCCCGGGGAGAAAGTAAGCCAAAATACACCATCACTGCATAATGTGTAGCTTGTTAATTCGATTCTCTGAATTACTAGATTGGAATTGTTGGGCGGACTGGTGCTGGAAAATCATCCTTTACATTGGCGCTATTACGAATTATCGAGGCGGCGAGTGGAACAATTTCCATCGACGGTCAAAACATTGGGCGACTAGGGTTGCAGGATTTACGCGGAAGGATTACAATCATCCCGCAGGTTCAGATATTACCTATGTAATTTGCAAAATTACCCCTTTGACAAATTACACAATTTTTGCACACGTTTAGGATCCGGTCCTCTTTTCGGGTACCTTGCGCATTAATCTCGATCCATTTGAACAGTACACGGATGATACGATTTGGAAGTCTTTGGAACTAGCGGACTTGAAGAGTTTAGTCACATCATTCCCGACCGGTTTGTCGCATGAGATTGCGGAGGGGGGTGAAAATTTGAGGTACGCGTGCGTGGATGGATACAAAATAAAAATTCTTAATTACAAATAATGTTGTGCTAAATTTGCAGTATGGGCCAACGCCAGCTCATAGCTCTAGCCAGGGCGTTGCTGCGTAAAACTAAAATTTTATTACTTGACGAGTCGACCTCAGCTTGTGATCTCGACACGGGTTTGAAAATTGGCCTATTTTATTATTTTACTGAAATTCATCGACATTGGGAATCATTTTACGTTATAATTGCACAAATGAATATGTTTCCAGATGAATTAATTCAATCCACAATACGGAAGGAGTTCAAAGATTCCACTGTCATCACGATCGCACACAGACTGAACACAATCATGGATTCCACAAGGTGAAAAAATGTTTTAATCCGAATGTGCACTATTGTTTATTACATTAATGGAATTATCTACTATAAAACTCTATTCTACTTAAAATTATGCGAATTTGGTACAAGCTTTAATGATTTACATTTGTTTTGCAGAGTTATGGTGCTCGATAAGGGTGAAATCCGAGAGTTTGATTCCCCTGAAAATCTGTTAAGCAATAAAAACTCAATTTTCTCCGGAATGGTGAAAGATGCCGGACTATAAGCAAGTGTGTACTTTGAAATATAACAAAGGTGCCAACAATCTGACAGAACTTGGTATTTGTCGCGATTATCAGCTAAAATTGGGTTCTATTTCTTAAGCTTTAATTAATTAAGATCTTATAGCGAAGATTAAAATTATCGCATTGCTTCACAGTGCAGTCTTCTGTTTTCTGCAGTTATGTATGTGCTTATCTGTGGTAAATGCGAATGTGTATTTTAATTATGCACTAATTAATTAATTTCTAATTAAGCTGGTTTTTATTGTTGTCTGAAGTTCTGTGAGTTGAAAATTATTTTTCTCCTTTTCCCAAATATTATGTGATATTCATAAAACAACAATTATGCCTTCAGTTCTCTCAATACATTGATTTCATTCATTTCACTTTATTTTTTTCCATTTTGTGTTTCACAAAAATATATAATTTCTAGCCAACAATGAATCCAAGTTACATTTTCCGATTGACTCTGTCATCTCGATAATTTCTTATCATCGTCGTCGTCGCCTTTCTGCTGGTTCAAAAACAGGGGCAGGAGCAGAAGCAGCAGCAGCTTCATCCCCACCGTGATTTCCTTTAAGGAAATATAGGGTGGGCTTGGCTGGTCCTTCTCCAGCGACAGTTTTATCTTGCACATTGACCCTGATTTAACCCAATCAATGTTAATACTTGATCATTATTCTGCATTATATAATAATTCATAAACTTACTCGTGCGTATTTTTGGATGGTTTCACATAAATAACGGTTTTTCCTGGACAAAATTTCAACATTTATAAATACTGGCAATATTCTCCATAAATTTCAGAATCAAATTTTAAATTACCGGCAGATCCGCCCCCACCGCTGACAACGACGTCATGTTTGTAGTGATAGCTTGGCGGTTGAACGAACACAACTTGCTCCTGGGCCGCGCCCCCGGCGGCCAGCGCGTGCTCGTGGGTCAAAGTTTCCTCAATCTTTTCACCAGATCTTTTGCAAAATACGGACGTAGTGCCATCCGTGCCCTTAAAAAATCAGACAGAAATTACATAAGTAATAAAATTTAAGGCAACTTATGCACCCACCCCTTCACTTGCTCCATCACAGTAAGCCTGCCATAGCCGGAGGGCCTAAAAATCGAATTAAAATTACAATTCGTATCTAAAAAAATCCTGGAAATATTTTTTTAAATAAGCACCTCTGCTTCAATCTCTGGGGTCAAGACGCCCACTCCGCCGTAACAAATTCCCACCAAAGATAAGATAATCTACATAAATAAATTGTAGCCAATTAAAGTAAATTTTTAAGATTCCATTGTAAATTGCACTCACCAAAAAGATCTTCATTTCCACCGATTTATAACTCGAAAAATGCAACTAATAATAATATGGCACACTAACTCAACTCCTGCTTCACTCACGATAACCTTGCAACTTGCAAATAATCTCTTGATGAGGTTCCCTTTTTATGTCATCGCTCAAAAATTACTACACAACGACTGAAGATGCGCCCACTCAACAACAACAGTGCAACTGTCCCCCTTAAAAATAGTGAGGGAAGAAATCATGTCGAAAAACACAAAGCGATGAATGACATTGTTTGACCAGTCCATTCAGTGCAGATTTATGCCATGGCTAATTCAACTCGTAGCAGTAAATCTCACCCTTAAAGACATGATGGTCAAGTACAAAATGCAGATATATATAAGTCATCAACCGAGGATCACGCATGGAGTTGAGATTAAGTCGTCGGCATCGTCGTTAGTTCACAAAATGTGACAAAAGTATACTTTTACTCGAAGCGAAAGGAAATTCATTCACCAAGACCATCCAATCCACCCAAGTGCACTTAATGGTGTGACGTTAAAGAATGATATCAAGTAATCCGTGATGGCTTTATGTAGGAAAAATCATCATTAAGTCGTTATCAATCAAGTTGGAAAGAAGAGCTCTTGAGACGAGGGTGACAACATCACGAGCAGGATAAAAGGTGCATAATGTTGAAAATTGCATAAGAAATTCGTTACGTTTGTAAAGTTTAAGTTGTAATTTTGTTGGTCAAAATATTGTCGGCCATAATACATACATATGTACATGCGACGACAAGACTTCGGTGGGGTAGTGCATTTTTCTAATTTTAAGTTTAGATTATCCCTGCGTTTTTTTTGTGGGGTCTTACAACACAAATTTGTACTGTATGTTTTGTAATGTAAATAGGTATGTAAAAATGGATCACAACAATAGAAGCAATTGTTAAACAGCATATTGTTGGTACGGACGCTGATAGAAACTGTAGCATCTATAATAAAACATACATACATGTATGTACATATATATATTTATAGCTGTATGTAATGTACATATTTACATATGTGCATATGCATCTGCACAATTTCCACTCGGCAGTAAATATGAATTCGGAGTATTTCATCAAGCTACATACGTCTACGAAAAACATGTTTCTCTAAAAAAAATTTGAATGCGTAAGTGCGAATATAGGTGTTGCAACAATTCCATGCGAGTGACCTTTAAAATATCTACGTTCTGACACTTCATAATAAATTTTTATACTCATTAGTGTCCCAATGTCTTGACGAATTCCGACAAGTTGACATGTATGAGAAGTAGAGCAATTGTCCACATTTTATTATACAAATGTGATACTTGTGGGTATATACATACATATGTACATAATGCGTAAGTCGTAAGTCGTGTTAACCAAACCCAGAAAATGAAAGCCTAGTCTCATCTAAACGAGACCAGTCGTGAAATAAAAAAGTAAGTCTTATCTATGTACATACTTGCTTAATAATTTGCTTCCCCAACGAAAGATGCAGAATTGTAGGTACTTAATATTTTGAGTATCAATTATTAATCTAAAAATAATAATGTGGAGCACGTTTGGATACTTACGTCAATCACGAGCTAACAATTTAATTAAGCAACTCAAGCATTTCAAGTTCCGAAAAGATTTTCGTTGCCACACTTGTCTTTTAAATTTTAAGTGTTTGTGTTTAATATGCTCGTCAATAATATCAATTTGGAGTAATTCTTGCAGTTGATTCAGTGTTATTTCACCAATTATGAAACGCAAATGATAAACACATTTGTATGTCTCCAATATTTTCTCGAGATCATTACCTACAAAATTTTATTAATCATCACTGATGAAAATCTAGTAAATTATGAAATCAATTCCATTGCAATTTTATTACTTAAGTGCAAGTGCATAAAGTAAACAAATGCACTATGCAAATGTATGCATTTATTATGTAAAGTTAGAGTACATATAAAGTCCTTTCACTCTAGTCTGCATTTCATTATGGTACTTGAGTTGGAGCGAATCAAGTGTAAATTTACTAGAACTCCTTAATGACGCTAAGCTTAATGATGAATTAATTGGCGATGCTTTGACAATTTCAATTCAACGGGTTGAATGCTAATCAGGAGAATCTGACTTGATATGATGATATTGAGTAATTTAACTTATGCAGTTGACCTGTTTTAATTGCATTGGTGACTACATGAAATTATGATCTGTTATTAAACTTTGGATATGTTGTCGTATATATGTGTAAATCACTGCATCTTTTCTCTTCTTGCAGAATTTTGTCTGCCAAATAGTTTTAACTTTTGGGAAAGATTTATAACATATCTTCGAAATAATTTTGGAAATACTTAAACCATGTCCTAAGTATTTACATATTTGCACATATGGACAGCTTCTATGTACATATTTAAATGAGGTAATTTATTCAGAAGGTAAAAGGCTAGTAATTTTATATTTGTCACATAACTAAATAGACCAAACGTTAACTGTGCATAACATCCTGATATATGTACATATTTACATATCTACATACATTAACTACACGTAGGCTTACACTTTATTTAACAATTATCCTACTATTTTATTTACACATAAACCTTTTGTTAGCCATGTTTAAAATACATGCGTAACCACGTTTTGTCGACTTTACATACATATTTTATGACTTTCATCTTGTACATACTTCAAACCAGTCCTTCAAACCAACAACCTTGACCTAAACTAGCAGTAACGTACACGTCTCCGAAATGACGAAGTGCATGCAAACCAACGGTGTCATCGTGTCCACAAAGTTGACACTGCCAAACATCACTTTCACCGGAGGACATGCCGTACAAACCTTTCTCATCCACTTTCCCGTTCCGCACTTTCTCCTCCAAGATGCCACCAATTTAGCGGAATCATTATTCAATTTCGCAGCAATGCCAACAAATAACCAAAATGTTGCAAAAGCATTGAATGATCCACAAACAAAAAACAGCAAAGAATGCACGTCAAGGCTCAGGCCAAACTTGATAAGGCTGAACAAACACATTATCCCGAAAATTATACACATCACGAGAAGCGAGGGCAAGACGGCTTTCTGAAATATCTTGTTCAATGTTATCGTCAATAATTGCAGATTTCGGTAGTTTTCTGGCCGCCTGAAATTAGATATTCAAAATATTTAACAATAGTCTATTTTAAGATATGTACATATGCACATGTAAGTACCAACCTAACCAACTCTAAATATCCGTGAAGACATGAAACGCCCATGAAAAATCCGAAAAAATTCACAAATATGAAACTCAACACGGCAAAATACAGCGGAATCCAGTTCAAAAATAGCAACGTGACCAATTTCTGCATTCCTGCCAGATTGCAGTTCATTATAGAAGATGCGAACGGTTTCATGCAAATGTTCACCAGTGACATTAAACCCACCGAAACCGTGAGGGCCACGTTGCTTTACAATCCTTGCAGTAAAATTGCACAATTGAACATATTTCTCGGCTTCTTTTCCCCTGTAAAAAAATTTATTTTAATGAAGATTTGTGTAATTCGGTAATAATTTTTAGCACTCACATGCAACCACTTTCTCCACTTGGAACAGGGAATCTACAAAGAATTTGAATTGCTCAATGTGTCCCACAAAGACGTAGTTAATGAACAGGCATCCCCAATACGCCACGACAAGTTGAATCTGTAACGACTGTTTGGTTGGTTTGAACTCTTGTGCAACGTCAGAAATGAGGATGAAAGACATTGTTGCTGTTATCAAGGTGGAGAAAGTGAGAAGGATCATGTAAGCGATTTTTTTACGACGTGATGTCCGGATTTTGAGAGAATTTTGAGCGCATGTGAAATGAAATGGGAATACGTGAGATGCGTTACACAGGGAAAGTTGGAGGTTAAAAAGGTTAACGTAGTTGAGATAGTTGAGCATCTTTTATGAATTTATGGTAGTTTATGACCTACTTTCTTCGATGGAAACTGTCAACTAAATATACATACAGAGTGGGTTCAATTGGAGAATTGGATGTACATACGTACTTATTTATATAAATATATGTTTGCACGTGACAATGTTAATATTGGCATTCAAAATTGTGACCATGTTGCTTCATTGTGTCATAATTTAAGGTAGAATTCAACATTTGCTTTAACGATAATTATATAAACAATTGTTCCATTTCAGGTACGAACGTACTTTATTTCGTTACGTACGTTACGTATTGGTCGATGAATTGAAAATTTTTCAATAATTGGACGAATATACAATTTAGGTTTACATTTGAATTTATGTAATACCTAATAGGTATTACCTATATTCGTAGTTTCGAGAGTTTACATGTATGTGTAAATTCCCATGGAGTGGTCAATTTGATGCTTATTGAAATAAATTGAGGGGAAGTATTTAATCGGAAGGTTAAGATGCTTATTTAAAAAAAAATACTCTGAACACTGCAAGATATGCGGACATCGGTAGCCCGATTTTATTTAGACATGTCAGGAGAAAGTCTTCCCTTTCTTCCGATTTTTACAAACGGTATGACACAGGTTCATTCCACAGTATGTGAGAACCTCACTAATAAATCATAAGTTTACTTAATTCTAATCCCCAATCCTATGTATAAAAAACAAGCAACTCAATTCCAGCTCAATTTTTCTTACGTGAGGCATAGTAACCATGATTATCTAATTTTATTCCATATCGATCTGGCTATCTGAGGATGAGGTTAGATCTGTATTTATTTTTCGAAAATGCTAAAAAAAATTCATCTACCTATGCTCAATAATCTGCCTTGCTAAAATTGAGACATGAATATAGAAATTATTAATATGACGTCGAATTTTGTTTCTGTGTACTACAACATTTTGCACAATTATCATCATCAACATTTTTCTTTTTGCTTCTATCCCAAATTCAAAAAGTAACACTCCACATGCGAGAAACAACCCGATCAAAAATATTTTCCATAGTAGGAGCACGTCCACAATTTCCACACCCTCCCAACCATCCATTCTTTGCCCTTTACAGACGAAGCTGCCGAGGAAAGTATTAAATTCTTTGGAATGTCGATGGTGCAAACCGCTCTCACGAATTCTCATTAATCTGCAGCAAAACAAAACATCGTTTTTTACAAATCACTTTATATCCAATCGGATAAATTCTTTAATCCTTTAAACTCACCCATAATTAAAATACTGCGTCAATTCTGATGACTTTTTCGCAATAAATGAGGACGGGAATGGTTTACTGTTTGGCGAGATCATTATCCTTTCAATTGTTCGGCAGATATATTCCGTGCTATAGTTTTGAAATACTGCTTCATTATAAAATGCATCGAAATATGCCACCGTAGCGACAGGATTTCCCTCCAAGAGATGGCTCATCTGCTCAGGACTGTCAATCAAACGCATTTCCTTGTGCAGATTAAACTCGTCGAGTTTTTTCTGGTAAAATTTGGAATAATTTTCACCACACAAAAAAATTAAGTATCGGTTAAGTGTGCATACAAACCAGTAGTACATTCTGCATAGGTTTGCTTCTGTAATAAGTCGTAAATTGGTAGCCATTTTCCACCAAATCCTCAAATGATTGGAAGGGAGATACCAATACTGATAATGCCGATAGCAAAGTGCATGCATATATCGTATTAGTCATGATTCCATAAAAGACCCCGGTAGCGAAACATACTCTCAATGTGAAAGGAAATTTTAAGTAATTCGCATGTTTTTGCTCGTGACCTAAGAAACACATATTTTAGATTGCATCTAATTAAAAAGTTAGTATTTAAATAAATAGGCGTCACCCTGTCCTGTAGCGAAAGAGGCGACCCACAACCACAGCGATTCTCCGTTTATCTGAGATAACGCGTATCCTTGTAAAAGTCGCTGTATCAAGTACACGATTCCACCGTAGATTCCCCAAGTGGCAAAAATTCCAATCCACGACATTGTATCGAAAGGTTTAAAGTAGGCGTCCTTCATGGAATTGTACTTCGGTTTTTTGAAGAAGGCGCCATACCTTTGAAATATTTTTAACTTATCATAAATTAAATACATAGTTGCGGAGACTGTGTTGCTACATACGGAACATTTTGCATGGGTTGCAGTAACGTGTAAATTTTGAATCGGTCCACTGTTTGGCTTGAAAAGAAAGTGCTCATTTCTGCATCTACAGCGTGCGGTTGGTCACACTTTGCACCGTATGGGAACTGGAGGAAATCTTCGTTTTCCTTTTGTTGGATTAATTTATATCTTAAAATGTATAAATATTGATTTGCATTTATTGTCACGAATAAAGACTTCAAATTAGGAAATTATTATCCTCTTTTCTTACGTAAAATTGAGAAATGTTTTGAGATCGAGAAAGCTATCTCCTTCAACACGGGTGGTATATTTTAAGTTTGCATCGCCATTGGGGTTGATTTTTCGAATCCTTCGAACTCCCGAAATAAGTGAGTATTCCTGAAAATATTTGTGCACTTTCATTACATTTGGGGCCACGCTTACTCAAGGGACCAATTACTGGAGTGTATCCCATACCACTGGTAATAATGGACGTACTCACGACATAACCTTAAAAATTGACCTTATCAACAGTACATATTCACAAGTTTGAAAAATTTCACAACTCTTTTTTCTAAAAAAAACATGGAATTATTGTTCCAAAATTTAACCAGCCCATGCGAATTTTTGTTTACTTACGAGTATTTGCAATGACCAATGGAAATAATATTACGTTGTCGTGAGCATGCCCAATATCAAAATGTTATTAAATTACTTACATAAAGAAGGAAACCAAGTTTTATCCCCTTTAAGTCTTTCCGTCTTGATTGCTTTCTTAAAATTACGTATTGCACTAAATGCAGCAAATGTAGAGATTTCTCATTTATATAATCCATCACTGCAAATTTTCTGGTATACAGTTGCTGTTTAACCCAGTAGTAGTCCCACAGTTCAATATGTGTCTTCTTTAAAATGAAAATAAACACATTCTCGTGTACACCAATTCTGAAATTTAGTTCGAATTGGGAGTCACTGTTGGATTGCTCACTTCTCAGGAGCAATATTACGGAGGGAACTCTGTTTGTTGAGGTGAAATTCTTATGCAAAATCTCCATTAAGGAAGCGTTTTGTCCCATCTGTAAATTACGTTGATGGATTAAAAGAGATATTAAAATATGACATATGTGTGAACCTAATTCCTTACCATTGACAAAGTTGTGTCCAGTTTGTTCAGAGAAAATGGTACACGATCCAGAAAATGAATGCAATTGTCACAACTTTGGTTGAATAAGTTACATAGCGCATTAATATTTAAGTCCAATTTTGTATCAACTAGAAAACCAATGTCTAAGGAAGACGAAACTAAGAAACCCAAGTATAAAATTATGCAGATTATAATTCCTTGCATTAAATCGAATGCATATCTGGTAGTTTTACAGTCAATCTAAAATCGAGTTGTTGTCAGAACATGTAGAAAACAAGTCGTGAATAATGATGAAAGCCCACGCATAATGCAAACATACACAAATATATCAAGCCTGTTTCAGCTGGAAAATATGTGCAGTTTGTACTAAATATTTGTGCATAAGGTCCGCAATTATTTGACATAGGTATGTATGCACATGTCACATGTCACACGTCATCGCTTTTGGACTGCAAATATGGTCACTATAGAAAAAGTCGTAAGAGAGAGCAAATTCCGAACTTATGCAAGAAGCCGCACGGCTTAATAGATATATTTATTAACGCCCCACTTAGTATATTACACAATACATTAAGTGGGGCGTTATAGTAGGGCATAACAATGACCAGTGTTTCGATTGGTACCACCGAAGTTGTCCAGTGCGGTGGCAAAAACTTTTTCACTTGTTGTATCTTCGACTCACAGGACCATTTATGATGAGTGGATATGTCCAAAACACAACTTTTGCATGAGAAATGAATGTTGGAAAAACGAAACCCTGACGATGACTCCCAACAAGCGTGTGGAAAAAGTGCTAATAACTGTAATAATGATGACCATGCGAATCATGTTTTACTTTCCCAAGGAGAAAGTTAGATTGGATTGGGTATAAGGTATCCGAGACTCTCACTTAGCTTTTTCTGGTAATAAACGTCACTTACTCATATGTCCATACATATGTACTTATGCTTGTCCAAAGTTATTAAACATCATTCCTTTCCACCCTCAAGTAGAACCACTCCATTTTTAATTAACACAATTTTTGACACGGTATGAATACAGATGAACATGGAAGTATTTTATTTTATCATAAAACAGCCCATAAAACATTTATAAATCCCAAGAAAATGAATTCCTTTAATACGTAAGTGTTTCTCAAATTCTACAATTTAGGAGCAGACAAGAATATCGAAATCTTCACATTTGTATTCATGCCCACCCCACGAGTAATATGCAGAATTTCCGTGAAGTTTTGCAGGTGTGAGGGCATTACTTCCAGGTGCCCCACCTCGACATCTCGAGACGTACAAGGGCTCAGAGTTTGTCGTCCTTCCCCCAGCAATGGCGTTGCCTGGCGTAGACGATGATCCACTACAACCCTTTCGCCAGTTCAAGTTAGCTTTCCTCGGATTTGTGAGAACTTCAAATTGTTCCTTGTTCTTAATTTCATACTCGTCTCCACCCCAGCTGACGTAGCAGGACCAATCACCATTTCCTCGGTTGATACTCTTGCCTGGGGCGATGTCACCTTTAATGTACGCTCTGCATGGATAAAGTGGATCCCCATTGGGTTCCGCCCCGCCTTGGACAAGGTTGCTAGATGAATTTAGCTGATGTGGAAATCTGAACCGGTAGGACATGCATCCTGCAGAAGGCCAATAAATTACTGTGAGTCTAAATACTGATCGAAGAAGTTTGAATGTACATATTTCTCACCTTTACAATCATAGATATCATTTAGCTTCTCCGCATCGAGTATCGATAACCCAGACAAACCTCCGCATTGATCTTGATACACCCCGTCCATCTTGGGTTTCATACAATCGTCACACTTGTAATGCATGATGCTCCTGTAATTTGGATAATTTATTGTAATTATTGAAAAGATAAATAAATGACCCGAGATATAATTACCTGTAATCGTACAAATGTCCTAGATTCAAATGTTCATATTGTCCTTGTCCGCAAGACACGATGAAATCGTCCCGATCGGCACGACTCTGCTCGTGCCCGAAACATAATGTGTGCCCCATCTCGTGAACCATGGTGTCCCATGCGGCGCATTTTTCGAACGTGGAGACAATTTCGCCACCCGAGTAACAATTCCCCGATGAAGCACAACCAGCTCCGTTTTTGTTTCGTTCAAAACGTACGAATGCTGCATCATTCGAACGCCGAGAGACCCATCTGATGCATGTTTTCTTGTGATAATCGCTAATAGCTTGTTGCAAAGAGGACCTGTCCGTAGCATCGAAAGAGGGGTCGATGACATAAGGAATGACGCCCCCGGGCCAAAAAGACGACGCCGATGGGCTGATTGGGACACCAATGATTGATTTCTGTTTGATGAAAAATAGGAGTAAATAGTAACAAATGGGGGTAGAAAAAATTCAAAAAATAGCATATATAGAGCTAAATATGCATTTATAGCTTGAGATTTGTACCGTTGAAGTGATGGAGGAATTGCCGATGGATTGTGAAGCTACCGTAATAAAGATAATGTCACAAAGTAGAAGAAAAACTTGAAACTTCGCCATTTCTGAGAATATATCGATAGCAAAGAATGAAAATGATTGAAAGATAGATATGAGCATCGAACCGACTAAAATCGTGTTAGTACGAACCAGTTACTTTTGTTAGTTTACCTATAAATCAGTCATCATTAACACGTGCAATTATTACACTTAAGGGGTACTCCATGAGCTATGGTAATGGACCTGATGTCGAAAATCTATTTTTGTGAAATCCTTCAAGTATGTATTAGAGGACCTTAAAATATGCAGAAAAATCATTTTCCCCGAATTTTTGAGATTTCAATGGGGCTGATAGGAGGGGGTGTGGTTTCCGTTGAGATACCACCTTTATTCAGCCGCTATTGCACGCAGGGGCTCCAAATTTCACATGAAGTTACCATGGGCCAATACAATTGCGGGTCTTTTTCTCTTTTTTGGAAATTAGGTCACAGTGACCGTTTTTAGGTCAAAATGTGCATTATTTCAAATTTTGACGAACCAAGTCTCACAGAACCCCATACATGGGGGATCGTTAGATATGTCCAGGCAAGAGGTTTCAGAATATATATACTTTGTCAGATGTTTGGCCACCCCCTGACCTTCTAGAAGCAGAAGAATGTAAATTTTCAATCTCGCCGGATTTTAACATAGCAGCAGATTGGGGATCTAACATAGAAATAGATGGGACAAACTCAAAAATATTGTTCTGACTCTGGAACACCAAGGAGTGGTGATACACCCCACAAAGTATATATATTCTTAATCCTCTTGCTGAGACCTTTCCAACGATACCACATTTATGGGGTTATGTGAGACTTTGAGTTTTCAGACAAATTTGACATGCTGTGAATTTTGACCTGAAAACGGCCACTGTGACCTAATTGCACAAAAAGAGAAAAAGACCCGCAATTGTATTGGCCCATGGTAACTTCATGTGAAATTTGGAGCCCCTGCGTGCAATAGCGGCTGCGTAAAGGTGGTATCTCAACGGAAGCCACACCCCCTCCTATCAGCCCCATTTAAACCTCAAAAACTCGGAGAATGATATTTCTGTATATTTCAAGGTCCTATAACACATACTTGAAGGATTTCACAAAAATCGATTTTCGACATCAGGTCCATTACCATAACTCATGGAGTAACCCTTAAGGATTAACCATAAACTAATTACCATGATTTAATGCAAATCTAGCCGGACTATGGCCATGAAAAATATTTTAAAAAAATATTGATGCACAGTATGTGACCGCAGGATACATATGTAGCAGGTGCAAGCAGGATATAATTTTGTCGGAGTTAAATTAATGAGTTTATTTTAGTTTCAGTTCCTTTGAAATTCGTACAACGCTTACATACAACTGTATAAATTTTAGTGGTCGTAACTACGACAGGTTCTTTAGTGCTAGAATCTATGCTAGAATCTCATTCATTACCAAGGCTTACAATTCTAATTATAATGATAAACAAGTCATTAACATCGTCAACTAAATATTAAGTAACTAACAACATCCTGGCAATTCACACATGGGTCAAAACTATGGTCAAAACATCACAACTTAAATTACAAAATGCAAACAAAAAATTAAATTAAAAAATCAGATCAATAATATCAGTCGTCAAGTCCATTAATCTATCAATCAAAGTTGCATCCCACCAACTCCATGGTACATGCCTCATCTTCATCGTCACATGAATAATCATCCGTTATGCAGTTCTCCAATTTGTGTCCTTTTCCTGACAGAGAGATGAATAATGCATCCACATCCTTTAAGGTATTCTTTTCCCCTTCCAATTTTACTGGACCGCCGGCAAAGTCCTCAAAAATGTTGTTCTTCGGAACTTGTCCGTTCCTTTCCATCACGATCAGACCAAATGTCTTGATGTTCTCAAGATCCATATAATCGGATTCCCTGCTGTCGACACTGCTTGTATCATCATCCTCTTCAACCTCGTCGAATTTATAGCATTGGACTTCGTTGACCGTATTTCCACATCCTCCTACAATTTTGACCGCGACCCTCTCCTCATTTTTACCCACTGATTTCGGAAACGTGTAGTCCATACCGATCAATGAGTTGTTATCAGTGCCTAGGGTAACCCCTACAGCTACGTCGGTACAATCAAGGTCATGAATTGAATTTGAGTTGGCCCCGTCTTTGATGCGAATCCCAAATTTCAGGTTTCGAAGGGTCACATCGGTCAAGGTATTGTGACCCTGGTTGACAATGCAAATTCCTGTATGTCCAGTGTCACAGGTGACGTTGCTAATCATGCTGTAAGGCCCATTGATTTGTAGCTCACATTTTGTGAGGTTGACATTCCTCACGAGGTTTCGTGATCCCCAAAGCTGAAGTCCGCAAGATGGATGTCTTCCGATATGAGTATATTTCCGGCTGCATAAAATTTGTAGGTTAGAAATCTCCACGTCATGTCCGTTCACGACCAGTACGTCAATCGCCTTGTTGGAAATCCCACGGATAATGGTGGACTGACCCGACCCTTGAATTTTTACCCCGCCCGGGATTACAAAGCTGGATTTGGTCTCATATTCGCCTGGGAGTAATTGAATGAAATCGCGGGGGTTTACTGATCGCAGAATGGCTCGCAACTGCGTCGATGAATTGACGACTTTTGATTTTCGCGAGTAACAGGGAAATCTTGGAACTCGGTTTCTACGGAAATAAAAGTGAATTAAATATTATTAATGGTGATGATCATCATGTTAATTGTCAATGTATGTAGATGTACCCCTGAGATCCTCCCCCATGAATGTAAGTGTAAACATCGGCCAAATCCTTGTCCGACAAAACGTTGAACCGCTCCACACTCTGGGCGATCGTGTCAGCCCTCATTAAAGGGAACCGAATCAAGGTAACGAGACGTTGAAATGCTTCTTGACGGGACTTGTTGGCCCCACGCCAACTGCAATTCAGTTTTTAATAAAAACTTTTTATTATCCTTCCTCCTGCCATCACTAGTATTAAGGTAAATTAAGATTAAATAACTCTTCATATACCGCATGAGATGGACGAAAAGTACAAGTTCATCCATCGACACATCGGGACCTTCCATGAGTAGAATTTTCTCCCACGTTCTTTCGCACAATTTAGTCGCACTACCTTCTAGAATGATGTAAATATTTCTGTAAAATGTAAACAAAGATTATTGACGTTCTAATTGTCCGTTAATTGACATTAACCCAACCTACCTTGTCAAGCAGGTCCAAGCATCCTCGAAAAGTAGCTTACATTTCGTCAAATCGAAACTACCTTCGCAAATTTCCACACATGTATATCGTGTAACGAAGTGTAGGATGGAGGAGAGGAACTCGTCGATAAGCGATTCGATGATAAACTTGTCGCAGAGCGAGACCACTTCCAAAACGAGACTGGTTGTAAGGGGTAGGTCCACTTTCCTCAAATACATGATCTGTAGTGATGCCAGCCAATAAATTTGAGATTTAGCTTAAATTTAATTATTACAATTAAACAAATTCTAACCTGGATGAATGCCTTTGCCGCTACATCTGTCGTTCCATCCGGAAGTCGGATTATATTTGGGTCTTGGACTCCGCCCTTTCTTCCTTTCAACACTTCGTCAAACACATCCGATGCGCTTGTGAGGACGGCTCTGTGGACGTGAAACTGACGACATGGTCCAACCACGAGGACAGTGTCCACGTTCTTCCCGTCCAAGTATTTCTGATAAAGAGTTTCACCAAGGTCGAAGCGGCCTTTTTTCGGTGACGGATGCAACAACGACATTACAGAGTGCAGAAATTCTGAAATTTATCATTAAAGAGTTTACTTGTCTACGTAAGCTACCGAAAACAATACGATTAATACCTACAATAATTTTCTTGGTGTCTGGCCACCAAGACTGACTGATTACGAGTGTGGAGTGTCGAATAATCGATGGAAGAGTGCACTGCATTGTGCGCTGTGCAATCTCGAATTGGCTCTCTAAATCTCTCGGGGCTAAATGAAACCATTTCTCATTTCCCATTCATGATCGATGATTAACAGCTTCAAAATTTTCGTTTAACAATTAAAAACTTTTATAATTTATTTTTAATTTATTTTAAAACTGAATGACAATTATAGCGGTCAAGATCCGATGAATTAACTAAAATTTCCATATATCCTTATTCTACCAACATACAAATACATATTCTGATGTCCCGTACAAATATGAATACGCATTCCTTGAAATAATTACAAACAAATTAGATAACGACTTGACGAGTTTCACAAAATTAGTAGGTTTTGAAATTTACGAAAACATGATTGCAACATCCACACTTGAACATGTTTACCTGAAGAAATCATACGGATTGGCTTCCCCAATACCAGTTAATACCAATATCGCACCGATTTCCAGTGCAAAAATTAAAATGTCAATGCGCTCACTAAAATAAGATGCGATACGAGAAGTGCAACTGTACTGACTTTGGGTGTAGATTACTTGCGTGTAATCACGAGATGGTGAAGCCATCTACTTATTGTTCCTGTCGACCTTTGATAGTCTAAATGTACTGTGTACTTAAAAAATCAATTAATTTTATCGGGTATGATTGACATTGATTGCACTCATTTGACTCAAATAACGCATATAAAGCTTTGAAATCAATGTCATTGTCAGCCACTCAACACCAGATCAATTCAACCATAGGAATACATACATTTCCTCGAAAGATTACTGCAATGTTCACCATGGAAACTATTCCTAAAATCGGTGGAATATTCCTTGCCTTTGTCGTAATTTTTGCTTCCGCTCAACTCGAAGCCATCGTGGAACCAGGGATTCCACTCGAGCAGGAAGTTGTGATCGATTCTGGCTCACCAACCAATTGGGGAGAATGGTTCGCCTTCGAAAACTGTCCTCCAAACACCTTCGTCTTCGGAATGCAGCAAAAGAACCACGGAGAACAGGGTGCATTTGGAGAGGATACGGCCCTTAATGGCGTGACCTTCTTTTGCGGCCCTTTCGAAGCCAGTGTCGAAAACTTGACGGTTGTCAAAGCCTTCGAAGACGGCAATGGTACCGAACCAATCGTCCATACCGCAATCACTTCCCAATTTCACGATTGGGGAAGCTGGGGCAAAACTTCAAATTGTTCAAAGTATGAAATAGCGACCGGGTTTCAGATGCGATTTGAACCTAGCGGAGGATGGTTTGTGGATGATACGGCAGCAAACAACCTACGTTTGTATTGCAATGGGAGAAAATTTGAGTACTTGGAAGGGGATGGGACTTCCTGGGGTGGATGGGCGCAGGGACAGTGGTGTCCCGCTAAAATGGCGATGTGCGGGATTAGTACGCAGGTCTACTATTCCTCAGGGACAGGTAAGATCTATATAGCTATATATGCGTTACCCAACAATATCTCACTAAATCCCGCTTTAATTACAGACGACGAAACTGCAATGGACGGACTTCGCGCTAAATGCTGCGATATCCCCAACCCAGCCGCAATTTGTATCCCTACCGATCAGTGGGACCTTGTCATCGAGTGCGACAATCTTGAAGCAATTTCCCCCACGACATGCACCTACTCAAAGAAGGTCGGAACTAGTAACTACACCTCTACTTCGGAGAATCACTGGGATATTTTGAACACTTATACCGAACTTGGGTTCGGAATTGGCGGGGCGGCGGGTCCACTCCTTCTAAACTTCCATTCCAACCTCAATATCAGTACTTCGACTGGATACGATTGGAAGACATCGTCCACAGAAATGTGGAACGAAGAGATCACGACGACGGTTACATTTGAAGTACCGGCCCGCGTAAGGAGCGAACTATTTCAGATTTTCGGTCATTGTGGTATCTATGGTGCTAGGGCTACCCGGTTTAAGAAAGTCGATACCGAGGCGGATGGTACTGGATTTTTGAAACAAGTTGTATCTTATTTTGATGCGTAGATTTTTTGAAATTATACAATAATAAAATATATGTTTATGCAAGCAAATATGTGTCTACATACAAGAAATACATAATATGCATGATTTTAATTTGATTATCTGGTATGCAAAAGTTCTTGGGGCGTGGTCAATTCAGGCATTCAATCTATGCTGCACTACACAGATCAATTTGTATGCGAAATATGTATGCAAATGTTTAATTTCCGCAGCAGGTGTCAAATATCCATGAGTTAATAAGCTACATAATTGCAAATCTGATTAGCGTTACGTAAGTAGTGCAGCCTGAATAGTACATACGCCGCAAAACGTGATATGAAGACCCACCAATTTTCCAAATGTATTTATATATACATATACATATATAAATAAGTTCTCATTATGCAAATGCATATTCCGATACGAAAGTGACATACATACATATGTAAATAGGTACATAAATATGTACTTATGCACATACCGAGTAACGAACCAATTTCAAAATCACACTTTGTACACAATTGCAGTCAACTTGTCGTTATAATTGCTACAGGCATATTTTTATGTATTTATCTAGCAAAACCAACGTTTCTACCCGAATAAAAAATCCCATATTTTTGCCAAGCAGATATCAGTATGTACAAATGAACGTACAAATGCATCATTTTTTACTGCATTTCGTTTAAATGAGATATGATTTACCCATTCATAACGACAATTCAGCCTTGAACATGAGGCATTACACTCTCACTACGTACATATTGATTATCAAACAAGTTTCATCCTGTCATATGGAAGCACAAATCTGTTCGTCCATGACAAAATACATAGCGTTAAATTTTTCAGTTTAATTAATTAACTAAATAACCAATTCAAAATGTCTTTAATCAAACCCGTACCTGGTGGGTTTGACCTAGTAAAAAAGTTACTGAGCGAATCACACACAAAATTCAGTATTTTGTACAAAGTATTTCTTGCAAATCATTTACCGCACGCGTTATACACTCATTGTTCCCTCGGAGGTAATGATTTATAACTATTTACTATTTTCGAACAATATTTTTACAATTGTATTATAAAATATTTACTAACTCCAAATTTATAGCCTCTTTGCAGCGAATCCAAGAATACTATGACGCGTACATTCTAAAACTGGAACCGTTGAGAGACCCTGGATTTGAAATCAATTTGAGCAATGCATGGAACTACATGGGAAATAAAGAGTTAGTCCATTGATTGATTATTCGAAAAAATGGAGAAATAATTAATTAAAATTTGTTATGTATAGCGCTTATCCAGAATATATGCAATTTTTCGACAAGGAAATCCAATCCCGCAAAATTAAGGGGTGCATGTCCATATTTTTTCCTAAATTGATCGGACTATCGTTAGGTGAGGCGCTCCACCCACTTATCCACATCGGATATGGGTTAGAATTTGATAATCCAGAAGTCCTATCAGAAGGTGCAATGCAATTTTATTATATAACTTAAAATACCGATACACTAATTTCATGAAAATAAATGTTACTAAATTTTCTTTAGGATTTTCTTACGCTTGTACTTATCCTTTGGAAGCATCTTCTATTCTGATCGAGGTTGAACCACGGCCTGACCCAACAGAATGGTGCTCTGGTATGATTGAAAAATAATTTGCGACAAATTCGCAATTTCACAATTTTTAATTCACAAATTAAATATTTTGCATTCATTCCTTAAAGTTAATCAACTGCTTGAAACTGTCCGAGCCATGGAGGTCCCCACGTTAAACCCAGCCATGAAGAATTTCCATGATAAGACAGAATTCGTAATAACTGAGTGGGTAGAGTTAAGAGACATTTTAGAAAGGTACACTCCAAATCGGTACAGTTTTCACATTTTTCTTTTACTAAATTTCGAATTTACCCAATAGTTGGGACCACTCCTGGCCTGGACCAGACGGAGATGATAAACTTTTCTCCAAGAAACTTGACGAGCTAACTGAGGCAGCAATTCTACTTACATTTTGCACACATGCAGATAAAATCGACTTTTTTCTGGTCCACATTCTAACCGCAAATCATGCCGTTCGAAGTATTCTTCCTCACTTGGAGAAATCCAGCTGGAAAAGAAGCATCCTTCTCGCCAATCTTCTGGGTCTCTTGACCACTTACGTAATTCAAGGCAGACCAGAAGTCAAGCTCAATTTTGTGGCAGAATACACTCCAAAAAATGCAGACCTGACTTGGGAGGAAATTGTGGCAGACGCTGTGTCGAGGGAGGAGGAGCATGTATCAAAAGTCATGAGGACACTTGTGGTTTACATGGAAAGCGTACCAGAGGCTGAACGAGGACCCATCTTTACGGACGTTTTTATCAAAAAATGTGCCCTGAAAGCGGTCGATGCCGTGCAGGATATAAATTCCTACCTTTTTTAAAATGCCAATATCTTCGATGTCATTACACAGAAAAATGATTGAAACAGAAATACAAGTATTAAACTATATACACATTTGGTCAATATGTTGGCCATGCAGCGAAATTAACGGAAAATTACTTAAATTTACTTAAATTTCCATCTAGGATAAAGTTGTACGTATGTGAAGTCGTCTAAATTTCTGAGTGATTATAGTGCATTTTATTGTACCCCATATAAATTAGCATTAATTCGAAATCTTTTCATCTTTATTAAAAGTAAGATTTCTAATAAACTGTACACTTTTTCAAGCTAAATTCTTACATTTTTCAATACAATTATCAGTATCAGTATCTAATCTCTTTGCCATTAAAGTTGCATAAAAATCAGGATCTGCACCCTCAAAGACCAATTCACCTCCGTCACCATTTCTTAACTCTCCCAGATAAGACCGACTTAGCTCCTCGTATCCCAAACGACCCACAATTTTCATAGTGATCTTGCTCGAGAAGAAGTTTCTTGTCATGACGAATCCCCTCTCTTTAAACTGCAGCAGCGATCTGACATAGATTTCGGAGGCGAGACCTTTCCCCCGGTGCGTCGTGGCGACAGAGGAGAGAAATCCCATGGCGTAGGTGGATTCCGCGTACCGCGTCGACAGACTCTCTTGCGCCATCTGGAGCAAAGTGTCCTTACAGATTTGCACTTTCAAGTTGTCCTTCGATTTGTAGGTTGATGTCAGATTCATCTTTCGCCTCGAGTCGTAAGCAATCCTAACGGCTGCCACCTGAATAGTAAAAATAAAAATATTTATTCGTAGGGTATTTATTTTGCAAAAAAAATTTCTATGAGAATTTTCACATTTGTACAACTATCCAACTCTATTAAGTTTAGGATGAAATTACGACGCTTACGACATAAACTTATATTTGTAGTTGCAGAGGTCTAAAAAATCCAGTAAAAAATCCGGTAAAAAATCCAGTAAAGCTTCCGTGGTCGTGAGAACCCTTCATGCAAATTTATAAACTAAAGTACTTAATTCGCCAAATACCTCTCCAGTCTCCTCATGTACTGCGAAAAGTGAAAGTGAATCCTCCAAAAACTGTTTGACCACGTCGTCCATATCATTCGCCTTGGATTCTGTGTATCCAAGAAACTGAGTTATTGGTTCGTCTTGATAGTAATATTTTCTCAGGAAGGCAGAAATGATGGGGTATTCAGTGGAGCCGGCGATTTTGAAGGTGTAACCCGTCTCTTCCCAGGGTCCTTCCACTTGGGCAATTTTACACTTCATACTTTCCGTCAATTATTTTGGACTGGACGATCCACGACTATGTTCGAATGGGAGAGGTGAATGAGAACATAGTTATTTAGTTGGAACTGCATGTTTATATATGTAGCTCTCATCAAGAAAACGTTGAGAAAAGGACACATGCCATGAGAAAATACGTTGAGATTTTTAATACGATAGGGTCATGATCAAGGTCAATTTCACAACTCAACAATCTCACGACTTATAAGTCATCTTTCTGATACATATACGCACAAATTCAGGTTTGTTTATATAATACAGTGAAACGAAAATTTCATCAGCAATTGGACTAATTTATTTTAATGAATGACATCTGAACGTATTTATTTATCCTTAGTATGGAATGACAATCTCAATTTAACAGCTAGATTAAGAAGCTTATGAATTAAATTCTAACTTATCAATTATGTATGCCTAACTTCAATTAATCTTTTAAATAAATATGTATGTAGTGCATACTATGTACAACGTTTTCGCTATCTACATTTTCCGCTGTTCATACAGTACAACCTAATCTTTATTGCAAATTACTTACGTTTTTTCACGAGAGCTCTGTAATTAATGCGAGGTCATAATTTTGTTCTCGCCCATAAGTAAATTGTCATACATACAATTTTTTATCGGTTTAATATTTAAAAGCAGTCGTCTACTTAATACACAAATAATCTTATCAAAATACTTATTAATCAAAATGATCAGCGCAATTATCTGTAATTGACCAGGAATTTTAAATCATACACATACATACATTTATTTATATGTGCACTTATGTACCTCGAGGTGCATATTCAAAGAAGAACTATGTATGTATCAACTAGTACATACATGTGCATCGTTTATTATCGTTCAAAGCATGTGCACATTAAAAGTATCAAGAAGAGAATCTAATTTTAGAAATCAAAATTAATGAGGAATTAAATACTGTAGAAATTATCAAGTTTCATTGTATATACTTTCATCCGTAATGGCGAATAAAATGGTTATTGTCCTATTTAGAAGTCCTGAACTATGTATTGGAATTGGATTTGAAACAATCAAATACAATTCCTTGCAGTTTAGGCTGAGAACTTTGGTGGTCCGCAGACCTCGGACCACCACACACACAACACATCACTTGCATACCTACACATAACATCAGGCGATTCCCATATACTGATCAATGACCGTTTTCTACATAGCTATCTGGCACATGCATCTGAATGAAAATGTTTAACAATTTTCCCATGCGAACTACATGCGAAAAATAATATTATATCTGCCATAATAAATATTATTTTTCCAACAAAGATATCCAGTTCATCTCCAGCATGTACCTTTGTGCAAATTGGTTTTAAAGTGGATTAAAATCAAACTCGTCAATATTTACGGACAATGAGAACGAAACCCCATAATTGGTAATTACCTCACTTGTTTGAGCAGGCTTCAGATTTTTGCGAATCATTCCAAAATACGAAGGTGTATCAGCACCATAAATTTGGAACCAAAAATAGAAAAAATTGGTCAAGTATGGTTTCCAATTCAAATCTCGCTTTAACTCGTAAAAAATCAAGCGAGCATCCACTCCTCCAATACGAACATGGAGGATGCAATATCTGTAAGTTCTTGGACCAATCGTTCAAAATGCTTATTTACAAAACCCAGTCTTCATTTACTACCAATTTATACTTAAGAAGTAATTAAGATTTATGTGTAATTATAGCCGAGTTGGGAACCCCGGTAAAGTTCCTACTTCCCGGAAGTAATTTCAGAATTGGAGCAACATTACTAATTACTACGTTAAAAGTGATTAGTTCCGTTTACGATACTTTTACATGGTTTGGATACTACGGGTTTCAAAAAAAGCGACGACAAGAGAGACTTAAACTTCGGAATGAAATCAAAGTAGTTAATAAACTAAAATTTGTACATACTTAAAATCTGACTTAAATTTATGTATGTTTTGAAATGCAGGCTGAAATTGTGTCCAGCACCGATGGGACATCCAAAACTTGGCGTGCGAACAGGGAAATTAGGGATATTCACGTCGAATTAGAAAAAGGGAACATTAACACAATGCATAAAGTGTTTACTCTTGCCATAAGAAAATTTGGCTCTAAACAATGCCTCGGGACACGTGATCTCCTGACGGAAGAGAATCACTTTGAGGTAAAACTTACCATTATCTCCGGTTAAAATAACCATCAACTAATTTTCATTCCTTCCTAGAATGGAAAACTCTTAAAGAAATGTGAACTTGGGCAGTATCGGTGGAAAACCTACACCGAAGTGGAACATCTCGCCACACATTTTGCCTTAGGATTGACCACACTTAATTTAAAGCCGAAAGAAAGCCTTTGCATTTTTGCTGAAACTCGGGCCGAATGGTTTGTTGCTGCGGTGGGGGCCTTCAAAAATAATTATACGAGTAAGTCCTTTATCTTATTGAAGTCATTACTAACAAATTGTACATATTTCATTAATTTTATGTTCTTAAGTCGCCACGTTGTACTCAACTTTGGGGGAAGACGCCATCGTCCATGGTCTCAACCAGACAGAGGCAACCGTTGTACTCACGTCGAGCGAACTTTTGCCAAAATTTCGCTCAATCCTCCAACAAACTTCGCACGTACGACACGTGATTTACATGGAACATCAACTTCACCAAGAAACCGTAGATGCTTCATTGTATCCCGGAACCATAAGTATTTACCCCTTCAGCGAAATTATACAGCGTGGGAGAAAAGTTATTGATATTAGTGCGTGATCCAATTTTATTATAAGTATCTCATTATTTGTTTCAATAATTGGCATACAATTTTACAGAATTGGAAGCACCAGAACCGGACGATGTCGCCATAATTATGTACACCAGCGGTTCCACCGCCGTGCCAAAAGGTGTCCTTTTGTCGCATAAAAATGTGGCGGCTGCCATGTTTGGAGTTACCGATGGGTTCGGACCGGTTTTTCCGGACGGTAATATTTAATTCTAATTATTAGCGTCATTTTTCTAATTCTCAACATTATTTAGACATTTACGTCGGCTATCTTCCACTCGCTCATGTCATGGAACTGGCCGCGGAAGCAGTGTGTTTCTTGCAAGGAGTGCGAATCGGCTACTCGTCGCCATTGACGTTAACTAACAGTTCTCTCAAAATTAAGCCTGGGTGTACCGGAGATGCCGTCGAACTCCGACCCACGCTGATGGTCGGTGTGCCCTTTGCGCTGGATCGGATCCATAAAATGATTAAAAGTCAGGTCGACGAGGGTAGCGCCATGAAGCGGGCGATTTTCTACTTTGCTTACGACTACAAATTGAAGTGGAACTATAAAGGATACGATACTCCTCTCGTAGACAGAACTATTATGAAAAAGACAAAAATGGCGTTAGGGGGTCGAGTTAGAGTTTTAGTTTCCGGAGGTGATCCTGATTTCTAAATTTAGACTTAATAGCTCCAATGAATTTACTTATTTTCTTGTTTTGAATAGGAGCTCCGCTTGCAGTAAACACGCACGAATTTGTTCAAAATTGTTTCTGTATCTCGATAAGTCAAGGGTACGGTTTAACGGAAACGTGTGCATCGGCCACGTGTACAATTCGTAAGGGCTAAATTCTTTCCTCAATTACAAAATCAGAGATACTACTTGGTACATACATAGCATATTTTTGAACTAGAGGGAGATACGACCCTCGGGTCAATCGGGCCACCTCTCCGATGCACCGATATCCGACTAGTCAACTGGGACGATGGCAACTACACCGTAAACGATGTTCCCCTTCCACGGGGCGAATTGGTCGTTGGGGGTGACGTAGTGGCGTTAGGGTACTTCAAAACGCATGAAACTACAACCCACGATTTTTTTCTGGAGGATGGGAAACGCTGGTTCCGGACTGGGGATATTGCTGCTGCTGAACCGGACGGATCCTTCAGAATAATTGGTTAGAAGGGAACCTTAAGTACTGTCCCATCTTGATTTCTTTCTGATAGTTTTAATCAATAGATAATTTAGTGTCACTTAAACTTTGTCATAGAACATACGGTGTAAAATCACGCTTTCGCGAAATCTTTGGCGTAAGCTGCACCAAAACGTACACTTTTTCCAATGCTTTTAACATAGACAACAGTCCTTAGAAGGATGACATGAAATTTATAAATTATGTCTATCTGTAATTTCATGCTGATCACTAAAAAGAACGATGCAAACACTTGCCATTTTTTTCCAAATTGCGAAAATCTGCAAAATTTTCTCAATTTGAATTTCGTAATTTTTTTGAAATTTCAACAAAATATAAATGTTGAACTTCTTTTAAGCATTACCAAAAAGTTTTCAAAAAAGATTTTTTTTCTTATTACAACAAAATGGACAAATATTTGCAAACATTAAAATTCACAATTTCTCATGAAAAAAAGATAACATGACCAGTGACAGTCTATTTTAGGTAGTTTTCAATATTGTTGGCTATATTTATTTCTGCAAGTTGTAAACATTTTTGGAAATTTATACCGTCAGCTTTTAACATATTCAACAAAATCCATCCATCACTTCAGATTTTAAGCTTTTTAAAAAACTGGATAAAATTTCATCTGGGAGGGACCCTCCGGGGTCCCTAGATGTATATATGACAATAGGACGTCCTATTTAATTTTATCCAGTTTTTTAAAAAGCTTAAAATCTGAAGTGATGGATGGATTTTGTTGAATATGTTAAAAGCTGACGGTATAAATTTCCAAAAATGTTTACAACTTGCAGAAATAAATATAGCCAACAATATTGAAAACTACCTAAAATAGACTGTCACTGGTCATGTTATCTTTTTTTCATGAGAAATTGTGAATTTTAATGTTTGCAAATATTTGTCCATTTTGTTGTAATAAGAAAAAAAATCTTTTTTGAAAACTTTTTGGTAATGCTTAAAAGAAGTTCAACATTTATATTTTGTTGAAATTTCAAAAAAATTACGAAATTCAAATTGAGAAAATTTTGCAGATTTTCGCAATTTGGAAAAAAATGGCAAGTGTTTGCATCGTTCTTTTTAGTGATCAGCATGAAATTACAGATAGACATAATTTATAAATTTCATGTCATCCTTCTAAGGACTGTTGTCTATGTTAAAAGCATTGGAAAAAGTGTACGTTTTGGTGCAGCTTACGCCAAAGATTTCGCGAAAGCGTGATTTTACACCGTATGTTCTATGACAAAGTTTAAGTGACACTAAATTATCTATTGATTAAAACTATCAGAAAGAAATCAAGATGGGACAGTACTTAAGGTTCCCTTATAGAGATTAAAATTATTTAATAATTTACATATGTACGTCGTACGAATGCATCTTTTAATAAAATTTAATACAGATCGTAAGAAGGACCTCGTCAAACTTCAGAGGGGTGAATATCTCAGCATGGGAAAGATTGAATCCATCTTTAAAACGTTTCATTACATTGAAAACATTTGTGTATATGGCGACCCCAGTAAAGACGTGTGCGTCGCATTGGTGACTCCCATTCAGAAACAGGTGCGATGTTGATTTCACTAAATGTTAAACCAAATCTGTAACCACAAATTTCCAATTTTCATAGCTCGAACTTCTCTCAGCCAGTCTTGGCAATGGAGATAAACTGACCCTGGCAGAAATGTGTTTAGACGCTGAAGTGGAATCCGCCTTCTTGGAGCTTGTCCAAAGCTTCGCGTCAACCACTAAATTGCACCGGTTCGAAATACCTGCAGCCCTGAAGCTTTGTCCAGAACCTTGGACACCAGACAACGACATGGTAACTTCCACGTTCAAATTAAAGAGACGAAATGTGCAAAAAGTCTTTCAAGCTGACATAGATCGGATGTATGCGGGCTTGAAAACGAATGAATGATGCGAAAAATTTGGTTCAAAGAATAAAATATAATTACGAAATGTAATTTGGTGCTTAAAGTAAGCTGCTAAAAAAATTATTTTCTTTTCAAATTGCAACATGTCCATCTAACAAAACGAACAAATCATAGTCAAGCGGGTTTTGGAGCAATTTAGAGCATTCTATTAAATTTATCTTGTAAAGTTTGCCTTTTTCATGTTCAGATATGAAGATATCTATTTATATCCACTGATGAATTTGCAACTTATGAATTAATTTAGTAAACATCATGATATAATGATAAACAAATATTCTTTTGTCCACATTTTTTTCAACGTGTCTAAAAAGAAATGCCTTTGATTTGCTCAATTGCAGAAATAAGTACCCGAATAAAATCCTATTCAGAGATCGTTCATAAAATTGAAATTTTATTGAACGTTCCAACAAAAGTTTTGCTATTAATATACAATTCTTTATTTCACGTCAATAATTTTTTTAAAATTAAAATTCAATTTAACATTGTGAATGTGTATCCACACATTCACCATATGACGGTGGTAGGTCAGAATTTATTTCAAATTGGTCATTTCCATGAGCTTCGGGAATCACTTGGACAAACTCTTTATGACCAGCAGCCTCCATCTCTTTTTCAGTAGGAGCTAAAATTGGGTAATTATGCAGAAATACTTATAATATTCATGCATTTCATTATTATCGAAACCTCGTAAACATGTAAAATAATTAAAACACCTGTAGATTGCATGACCACATGAGTATTTCCAACTTTCTGAATTTTATGCTGTTTCCATCTCCGCCAACACACAACAAGAACCAGAAGTGTTATTAAAAATATCCCAATTGGCAACGCATACGGTAATATTTTCATAGCATCATCATCATCATCGTCATCGTCGTCATTATCGCGGTCACCACCTTCCTCGTGGCTGTCATCATTGTCTTCATCGCTATGATCTGTGTTACATACGAGATAATTTATTAACACGACACGACGCGAATTAATAAATTTTATGTATTTGTTATATTTGAAAACGTTACCGTCATCACCACGGCAATTGACTTCATCTAAATTGCGTCCCACCACCCCACAACTTGGGCTCTTATCGCACTCAAGTTTTTTGTGAATGCATCTTCGATTTCCATTTTCGCTCACTCCACAATCAAAATATCCTTTTGTGCATTTCTCCTTGCTTGCTGATCGATTAGCAATTTTAAATTTTTTAACCATCAAAATAATTAAAATAAACTATGCAAACCTCACAAATCTTTTGGTACAAGGTGCCCACAACTTTTGCAGTCCAACAGGACCCAGAATTCTGGGTGGAGTCGACTCCACGGGTTACATTGAACCAACTTGAGCCAATAATGGCTTCAATTGCGGTGTCTTTAGTTGGTGATTGATTATTACAAATCCAAGTGGTCAAATTTACATTTTCAGCGTTTCGAATCTCCAAATACGGTTTTGCCCCTGGATTGCTCCTTGGACAGGAGAATTGTTGCAGTGCAAGTGAAATGCCATACTTTTCAGGGTCTTCCCGAGTTTGGAATATCTGATTTTTGGATTTGCAATCAATTGTACGAACTTTTTGGGGCGATCCTTCAGACAAGTCTGTGATTAAAGTAAACGCAAAATTAATTAAGATTGAGAGATTAATAAGCAATGAATGAATGAGAAGATTCTTTACTGATGGGGTCTGCCGCTAAAATGGAGGATGCTGTATGCAAGCAGAAAATTGTAGAAATTAAAAGGAGCTTGGTTGATGGAAATGCCATTCTAAGCGAAAACTGATAAAGTTTTCACTAAAAATGACAAAAAGCAGGAATAAAGAACTTGTATGCCAAATTATGTAACTGGTATAACTATATACGTAAATATTTTAATTTAACACAAAAAAACATCTCCATTATGGAGTGGGTATTGTTATAGAGGGTTATCTTGATTTTTATAATTTTCATTATAACTTATCTTAAGTATTTGTGTAGTCGTTTATTCATACGTAATTTATTATTGCGATGCCGCATCAGGTGTCCTTTGTACTAATTATTTATGTGCTAAATTCCGTAGTTGTTAATAAAACGTGCTGTATGATTTACCAATCTGGCCAGAAGCAGACATATTTTGGTATTTTATCCGTCATTTGAAGTAGTGAAGATGCATGCAGTGTTGAAATATACGTTCATATATATGTAGATATAAATACGTAGATAAGTGTAAAAATGAGTCATACAGATATTCACCCACTCGTAACGTAGACAATGTAACTATCAATCATAGCACTTTGTTTTTCAACTAGTTTTTCAAACACGTGGATAAGCTGTTATATGTACGTTTATCTATTTAAACAGGTCAACGTCCTTTTGTAGATATATGTAAATGTTATATATGCATTTGCTCTTCAAAATCTTGGATATATCTACAGAACTACAGACATACTCCAGCTAATGACCCAATTTTCCATAACGACACAAATTACATGCATATGTAACAAATCCTACCTAAGGTGAGCAGTCTGCATATAAATTAAATATGCTGAGCCCTGTACAAGAAGGAAATATCTATGTACCATACAATGTAGGTGAAATGAAGAAGTTTATTAGCCTCAGCGATACGTAACTTGGTCAAATTTGATTTAGATAAATTTAATTGTTTATCAATTATTTACTTCTTTTTGAGATATCTCACAAACCCATCAGTGGTTCTTTTTCCTGTGTATTCGTCATTCCATTCGCCACCTTTGAACAAATAGAAGGTTGGACAACCTTCGACTGGGTGATTTTCCACTGCACATGCCTTCTCTTGAGTTACGCAATCCACACCCCCAAACTTTACGGAGTCATTCATCTTCTTGGCAGCCCCACCAAACGGCTTGGCTACCTTTTTGCAGTGGGGACATTCTATAAATGTATAAATAAGTAATTGTACAATTAATTTGACCAGCTTAATTCCTTCTGACAAATTGTAATTATCTCGTATTAACTGACTTGGCATGTAGTAGAGGATGAAGACTTTGTCATTTTCTGACACAAATTTGTCATGGGTATCGTCCGTCAATTCTTCAATAAGCTCTTTACCGTCCACTCCTGCCCAGAAATCGGCGTCGGAAAGACCTCCAGTTTCTCCTGGGTCGGAAAGCAAGCATTTCTGTGAAGCGGAGAGTGCAAAGAAGGTGGATAAAACAAGAAATAGCAACATTTTTAAAAATTGAATGTCTAGTGTGATAAGTAAAACCTGTGAATTTATAGCATTTTTATATTAAAAAATATGTTTTGGATCAGTTATACTGCGGTTCAAGACGTGGAGAAATGGGTACGATTCTTTTAAATGGTGTAATTATACACATGAAAAATGTGGTCAGGTTAATTTAATAGGAAATTATTAGTGTTGCTGATTTTTTTCTACTGAATTTGTATAATTAATTATAATTACCGATTAATGTCTGTTCATATATTGTGTAGCACAAGTACAATGCATAAAACCCTAAGCCTTTACAAACATACTCGTGCATAATTAATTGGGGAAAAAGTTTTAGGAAAATCTATACCTACTTACTTACATATCATAGCGAAATATATATTCAAATATGCATGTACATAATTCGTCCAGCCTGACAAATCCAAAGAGTAAATAATGTCATAAGCAATTTATTTATTTTTTGCTTGTACATAGTTGATAGTATTGCTAAATTCATGGCAGAACAATAATTGAAATTGCAACACCAGAAACAAGACTGTACGTTTTTATGCATATATAAGCATGCACCTATGTATATTATACAGTAGGTACACAAAATTAATTGTGGAATCTTGGTGAACCTCGAATAACGGTTGTTTTACTTTCTTATTTCGTAATTTATGTATGCTAAATATAAAGAAATTGATATTTGAAAACTAGACATTATTTTCAGAGCTAAATTATTTGTATTGAGACTGGCCAACTCCAAAGTCATCGGATACGCAAAGCTTTATGTATGTATGGGCATGCACATATGAAAATATGTATGCATGGTCTAAAAATACTTAATTTATTTGCAATACTCTTTAACCCTGTAACCTTCATATATAAATAAATGCTAAATAAATACAGATACCTCTATTAAGTGGGTCTACATATTAAGTATGCATTACATATCTCCCTGAAAATTTCTACCTCTACCTCTAAACCTTCATCTGGAATCAAAATCCGATCTTGACAAGACATTTTCCGTCTTCTCTGGGAGGACGTTATTGCATTTTGTAATAGCGTGCAATTTAAAGCGTAGGATAGTGTTCCTGTTTCTAATTTTTTCCGCTTACACTATGCGGAAAATATTGACATGTAGACAATGTTGAAAATTTGGTTACATGCAAAACTCGTAAATTACTTGCCCAACTACGTATGCGATTTTTATGCCCTAACAATATTTCTGCTCTTTCGTTTCACAAAACTCTGAAGAAATGTGCTTTGTGCATTAGGAGAATAACAAATTCTTCATTTATAAAAATTTATAAAAATTTATAAAAATTGATACGTATTTAGCCGAGTCAGTCCGACATGGGTGATCAGTTGTACCGTCTGTTGGTCGACGACTATAAATTCGATAGCGACTGATCACATCATGCAAGCAGATTTCTCGGATTGATTAATATTTCACACAATATCTCCAAGGCACTCATTCAGGGTTCGCTACCCCGGGTTTTTGTGGGTTGGGGTTTTTGGGGTTTTTGTGGGTTTTTGGGGTATCAAATCTCCGGAAAAACCCTAATGCTTAATGGGGTTTTTGCGGGTTTTTGTGGGTTTTTGTGGGTTTTTCCGGGGTTTTTGTAAGATTTTGGGACAGATTGAAACAAAATCCCTTAAACTACAACTTAAATCAATGCTAATTAAATTGACGGATTCATCATGAAATTTTGAGAATTTTCATGTGCGACTTGAATTTCCAAGTTTTACTGCATACTTCCAAGTTTGCATGCGAAATATGAATTTTCGATTTAACAGTCCAACTCAATGATAACGCTTAAAATTGCATGTCAAAATCGTATATTAAATTACTTTTTATCTAATATATAATTTAAAGAATTTTGGTTCAACCTGCCCCAAAATCTACAAAAACCCACAAAAACCCACAAAAACCCAAAAACCCACAAAAACCCCAAAAACCCCGGAAAAACCCGCGGGGTTGGGTTTTTCTAGAAAAACCCCGGGGTTTTCCGTACCCTGCTCATGATCTTGTCCGTATTTTTTCTTGACGACCAACGATTCATTGGCTACATAATTTAATTCTAGAAGTCAAAGAAAAAAATTGGAACCAAAATAATAATAATAAATTATGCATACCAATGTATTTTGGCTTATATTAAACTTCATTAGCCATAAATAAGTAGCTTCGATTTTACATTAAATGCACAATTAAATTTGGTCAAACCTACTTATTTACATATCCTCATGGCACAGCATGTACATGCACCACATTTTTTTATGGATGTTTTCATTCATCATATAGCAATTACCATTCTATCATAAAATTGATTTTCTAGCGAAAAATTGAAACCAGGCTACACGCGCAGCAAATCAATCTCCATCTTATAATGTGTTTACATGTATTTAAATGGAATCTCTGACCCACAGTCGACCAAATGTAATCGAACTAATTAACACATTTATCAACTTTTTGTATGACTTTGACACACCATAACCCGCTTATATAACTTATCAACAATTCACCATTAATCATGTACCCTCACTGGACGAGCAAGTAAACCCGTGCCTTTAATCACTATTTAAGTGAAAGTCAAATAAAAAACAACTTATCGCAAATCATACTCGACATTATACTTTTGCACTAAATACAATAAAATGCAGAATTAACGAAATGGCAACAGTCTTGTACTCCAGGGAACCGCTTGGTTTAGCCTCGTCAACTAAATAGTTCTGCAAATATTTGCAAGCTTTCACCGAGTAAGCGACTGATATATTTATTAATTAAATTAATCCATCACACGCGTCACGTAAGCAGAACGGAATATATAAATATCCGAAAATTTGATGGGATATGACACCTTACTTTGGCATCCTTCAAACCAGAACTTCAAATCCTCTGCATAACCCTTGACATATAAAACTTTGTTCGAAACTTAAAATCGTACAAATCCCCTAATTCCGCCACACCCCCAATTATGCTACCCCTTCGCGCCGCCAGGATCTACCAGAACCTCCTCCGGCTCGCCTGCTACCTTCGATTCTACCCTTTTGTCTACAACACCACGACAAATCGTCTCGAACGCGCCGGCAAACTTCACTGGTTTTTCCATAACCTTCACAGGATTGCTGTCACGTATGGCACGTTTTTCTGCATCAGTCGGCTCATGTACACGCTATCCTTGAGGGGGCACTTTCCCCTCCTCCCAAAAATCCTGAACATTGCCTGGTGTGGAGTTTACACTCTCGCCGCGATTGCCTACACGGGCATCGCCAATAACGAAATGGACATAATGAACTATGCGAACTGGGTGTTGGAAGAGGTCAACAAGAAGCAAATTTCGGCAAACATGACGAAAAGGGAACGGCATGCGGAACGTCGTTTGGGGAGGTATCTCATGATGGGGATCCTCCTCTTCTCCGTTAATCCGGCCGTGCATGCCAACCTGGTCAGTGAGGCACCATGTTCACCCCACTTTACAAGCTCGCTCTTCTACGACTGTGCCGGATTTCGAGAACTGAACATCCCCTTCCATGTCCACCTCCCCTTCATGGCGATTGAGTACTATATGATGACAAATATGCTTATCACGCTCACCTTCAACTGGTCAATCACCTTTCTGGGATTGTCTTGGATTCTTGCGGATATTAGGAAGTTGGCGTAAGTTGGGATTTTTCATGTGTATTTTGTCCTCACATTCTTTTGCGCCCGATTAAAAATTTCGGGCTAAAAATATGTACCTCCAAAACGTTAATTGCAACCAAATTTCTTATTATCTAGATTCACCTTAAACCAAAACGAAGACATTGCCATCCTGCAATACCGATCTCGCGAGTGCAACGCGACCGTGCTAAATGACGCCTTTCGCGTTTACCTCTCTGCCTTTCCTAGCTTTCTCTTCTTCGTCGTATCTTGCCTCCTGTTTGGTCTTATACGCATCTGGCATACAAATCCATATGCCACGCTAATGTAATTTAATCGTTTAAACGATTAAAATGATCATAACTTGTACTTTAGTAAGTTTATATTGGTTTATATTTTGATAGGTTCCCGCTGTGCGGAGCTAGATGTTTCTACGAGGCCATGACACCACTCAAAGTCGCCGGAGAGCTCAACGAAATGAACAAAAAGGTCAAATCTTCCGCTAATCGACAAATAGTTCGCAAAACGAATAACACGAGACGCTTGTGGAAAATGTATAAAAGATCGTTCAACTCGGTGAGATGCACGGCCGGCTATTTGTACACCTTTGAGAACACGATCGTCCTCTGTTGCTTTAATAATTGTATCCAACTCACCCTGAACTTGCTGGTCACGTTTAAGGGACAGTAGTGGACAAATGCATGTATAGGTAATTATGTATGTGTTACCATTAAGTAAATCTCCCTGGTGTTAGTACCTGAATATGCGAGTACAACGATAGTATTTTGTATGTAAAACAAAGTGAACTATATTTAATTTTTTGGCTCGTCCAGCAAGCAATTTATTAATTATGATACAAATATTATTAACACGTCATTACTTAGAATTAAGTATTCGAGTAAAAGTGTGAAGTCCTGCTCTTCCAAAATATGTATGAGTAGCATAATAATAGTACATAATAATTAATTATCATGTAATAAAGAAAAAAATAGTACGAATTATGTAAATCGCCACCACCATAAACCATAACCAATAGCGAATTGCACTTAAATTATCCGGAAGGTATTTGCATATGTTTTTAAAATATTTACATTTGTACTTTGATTTTTTACACTTCCATATATTTCTGCTTGTAATTAAGCAATGTTTCCACAGTGACATCACTACCACCACAAACGATCAGAACGATGGGTCCAGCTCGTGAATCGCATCCGTGCTGCTCCAAAATTCCGGGGAGGACATTGCTATATACAGAAGCAACAGTGACGCCACAGCTTGGCTCAACCATCATGGCGTGGTCGTCTAAAAATTAAAATGAGTTTAATTAGTCCCAAAACGTGGTCTGGTTAAAGTTGGTATTTTTACCCACCTGCAAGCAAGACGCATCCTTGTGCGGCACATTTATCTGGTAAAACTTGCGAAATGATGTTAAATTCCTTCGCTTTCTCCATCAATTTTGGTGCCGGGGTGCGGCACCCGAGCGTCTTGGCGATACTGGTCGGCTCTACGTCCACAATTCTGCCAGCTTTCAAGGAAAGGTTGAAGCATTCGCAACCTTCCGTTTCCATGGCGAGCAAAGGGACGTCTTTCCATCCTAAATTGTTAAAAGAAAATAAGTGAAAGTCAGGCAAAAAATTGCATAGGTTTGCAAGCCTACCAATTCTCTCCAGTCCCAACAAGATCCCCATCAACATGCCCCCGCCACCCACCGACATTGCGATGCAGGCTGGTTTTCTTCCCTTAAGATCTTCTTGAATTTCTGCAAAATAAATATATGAGAATGTAAAAAGGAGCAAATATTTATACTAAAAATATGCAAATATCTACCTTCAGCAATAACGGAATGCCCTTCCCTGCAATAAACCAGATTTTTATTAGCTCTGGGAACCTTACTGTATCTGTAGAAATCACGGCAATAATTTTGCATACCAAATCGCAGGGTTATCATACGGATGGATGAATGCGTACGACTCATCTTTGCTAACTTCAAGCAATGCCATGTCCACGGCGGACTGGATATCGTCACCACCCATCTGTCCAATACACACAATTTTTCATGCACTTACCTACTCCCGTAAAAATTTCTTTTCGTCTCATCATCTCAATTTCCATTTAACCACATATCTTACCGTCACAGTTACACCATAAGAGGCCAGCCTTTTCTTCATTCTGGGCAAAACGGTTTTTGGAACGAAAATCTGACACGGAACATCCAATTTTTGAGCAGAGTAGGCCAAAGCAAGGCCCGCATTTCCACCCGAAGCTCCAACAAATTTGGTACAACCTTCCGCATATTTCTGAAATTTAAAAAAAACACGTCAAAAACATTGTACATAAAATCTTCAACTATCAAAATATGTACTTTCTCACCTCTTTGCACAAATGTGAAATCCCCCTCAATTTGAAGGAACCAGACGGCTGAACATTTTCCAATTTGAGATAAACACACCGATCCGACAACTCTGAGAGTGGTTTGCTGTACATGAGTGGTGTTCTAGAGGCAATCTTCTCATTCCCGAGACGACCCATTTTTTAAAAAGTTTAAAAAATCTGGCTTCGGATTTGAATGTGAAAGAATATCCTCAGTTTGGGTGGAGAGTGATCTCACTGTGAAGATTTCTTCCCGTACGGATCGCTATTTATGAGGTATTTGATCTGGAAAAAAATCGCATCACGCCATGCTAATTAAAATAATGCGAATATCCATTACATATTTAAACCATCAGATACATTTGTGTGCACATGGTTAGTCAGGCTTGTTAAGTCCTACTCCGCATCTTCATAAAGTATGATGAGCAATTGAAACGTGAGATGATCTCGTTTTTGCGCACCGCACCGTTAAGAATTTCCAGCGTGATCTGGATTAAATTAAATTTTAAAACGTTCTGCTTTTAGACGGGTCGTGTGCCAAGATGTAACAACTAACTTTCTCAAAAAATAATAAGGGTTTGTCACTGCGAAGTTTGGGCTGGACAATTAGCACGAGTTGTGCAAGATGTTGTTTGTAAAGTGATTAGAGGGTACTAAATTAATGCTGTTTTTTTGTATAAGTAATTGCCCTTCATCTGAACCGTACTTACCTGTGTATCAAGTTTACTTACTTCGTTGTTGGTTTTTGAACAAAGGCTGCTAATTTTTATGGTGTTTTACTTTTTGAAATTTTTAAGAAATTAATATTTAACAGAGCAAAGCTTAGCGAACTTAGGATCAGTTTAGAAAATAATGATTGGGCTCGAATTGGAGTATGTATTTGTATGAAGCAAACTCGTTTAATGTGACAATTGGCCTGTTTAGGGTCGCATTTTGGTTAAGAAAATAAATACACATAAACAGACTAAATATACATACGGGGAAAATCCAGTATTTCAAGTTCGTAGAAAGTGGGTATAAATAATAATGTAAATCTAGTTCAAGCTGGAAGTCATTTAGGCTAAATGATTTAGCTAGTTTATTCGTTCTGTTTAGTAGAAATAACCATGGAATAATGGAACGAGTAAAATAACAGTCCTTCATTTGACTATTTACACAGGATTAGCCAAAGTCCCTAGTATGTAGTAATGGACTGGACAACAGGGTTCACTCAATAAATATATTAATATATATTTACATATCTACTCAGCTATTGATTATATATAATCGATAATAACTAAGTGGATATTAGAACAAAGATCAATCTAATATGTATATTTGACTGTCCAATGTTCATGGCTGCAGAAATTTAAACTTCAACATGACACTCGATACAATTAATAAATATTTAAATATGATGCAATCCCCAAAATATTTTCAGATAATGAACATTTCTTTACATATCCGCACCGCACGAAATACTTACATGTGCATAAATTCTTGAGGAGATGCATACCTAGTACCCGCAAAAGAAGTGTTACAAGATTTCCCGGGTGAATTAAGCAGGCTAGACAGTTTTTTTAGAAAGTTGTACTATTTTTTATTGAAATCTCCATGCAATTGTCCGTCAGAAACAATGTTTCAAAAATTTTTGTGACCCAAGGTGCCAAATTGATAGACTGGTGAAGAAGACATGTTGCGATTTTTTGGCAACATTTTGGTAAACAATAAAATTCTTCGTTTTTCAATTACTCAATAAAAATCGGAACTGATCGCAAGATCATCGACCGAACTATAAAACGATCCACTGACACCAGTAGTCTTGATGAGTGAAACAAAGGTGGAAAGGAACGGTCAAAAAGGTCATACAAAATCATGAAGGTGCAGAAAACCTGAATTTGTCCAAATTCATGCCGGACCCTAAGAAAAATTTCCCTGCTAATGAACGGGTTGAGTAAAACTATGTCCCGGGCCCTTAAACTAGACATTGAACTTATGTCTTTAAGGCGTGAGGAGAAATACTTGCCAACCGCACGTTAAGTAAAAATAGAGCCATAAGAAGCCAGGCGCTGATCGTGCGGTGCGCGCTTGAAAAATGAAAATAAATATTTTGAAAAGATGAGCAAAATTTCACCCTTGAGGCCATATAAAATAAGCAAAAGCACTGTGTCTACACCCCACTAGTCCATATTACTTACACAAATTTCAAAAATATTAATTGGACCCACCATACTGCTTCTGTGATTCTTTAATTAGGATTTGGTCGGAAAAGTGATTTTTCATCCTCAGAGGTCGAAATTTCGTGTCAAAAAATATTTTTTCGAGTTATCGAGCGAATTGGGGTACTAATGAACCACTCTCGACTCAAAAATAGCCACTAGGCATTTAAGGACGGCTCACGTCCTATTCATAAAGCCAAAATAGTAAATTGGTGGATAACCTTTTAAGCATTTACATTTTATAGTCGAAAATGGGGAATATTTAATCTTTTTAATTGTTGTGTTTTCGTCCGGCACTTCGTGTAAAATTGTTCGCCATGACATACATGGTCAAAATGCTTAAAAGGTTAAAGTCCAAAATTCTTGACTCCATTTCGGACCAAGAATAAAATTCATCATCGCCGAACCTCAACCTTCTGGAATATGATATGTGATCCAAACTGAAGCTAGATACATGTGCTAAACCCCACACAAGTTTGGAGTACGAGAAAAAATCTATCCTTTAGAAATGACACCAATATTTTTTTGAACGGATGCGTACCGCGATCGTCAAGTGGACACGAAGTCTCCTGGCTCGTGTCGCCTAATGAGGTTGAAATTATGAAAGGTGAATGTTTCCTATACAGAATTTCATTGGCTTTTCAGTTATGTGCTTATTTTTTCAAAATTCGACAAACTGTGGTTGCTACGATAAGTTGTTCTTGTAACAGTTCTTTTGCGAGTACTGGGTACATAAGAGTCCCAAATTCACTTTAATGTGAAGTTAAAAAGGGAAATCCTATTATTATCGGTACAAGTACAACCGTCGAGATGAATCTGCAAGCCACTGGGAAACGTTTTAGTGCCAATTACTTATCTATATACCAATATACATGCACAAGATAACACATAAATTTAATAATTGTCGTCAGTTTTCGATTACACAATCCAACCACATGTCATGTAATTGATATTAAAAGCAAATAGGTAACTTCTTCAATTACGTAAAATTAATTACGTTTAAATTATTTTGTCACTTGAGTAATTACATTTTTCCAAGATAAGCGTTAGGAAGCTAAACTAGACTAGAACCATTCATACAAAGAATCTAAAAAAATGTGTAAACCAAAATCTTAGTAACACGTGAAGTGCTTTACCATGTATTAATCCTTTAATGACAATGACATAAACAGAAATCACTATTACGTAGTACGACTTCTCTTTTGATAGCTTGATCAGGTCTTTAGTAATGACTCATTAATAGTCATTAATTACATAAATGGCTTTTTTTGTGATACATAAACATGCTCCAGTAGTAAATATGCCTGTATTTTGTTAAGTATGTATTAACAGCAGTAACAATTTGAGAATCAGTACTTTGTTTATTGCATTTTTTGATTGACACCTAAGATCCCTATCGTATCGTAAATGAAGTGACGCAATATCTTTGAAATGTCATATTCCAACACGCACATGTTACTTTCTTTCTGCACGTAATTTGCTCAGCCATGCATGCAAGTTATCTTTGGAATGCATTAATAAGAACCATAATTGCCGACCTCGTTGGATTTTGAAGTTTATACATAAGGAAATCACTCCTCGTTGACTGATTCATTTAGCGTAAAATCGAGTCGGAAGGATGGCTGGACCATTTTGGAGCAGTTTTGCTATTTCTGTGACTTGCCTGCTTTCTCTTATTCCTGGGGTGGAATTGACTACTTCTTCACAACTCATTGCATTTCTGGTGGATTTAATTAGGCAATCTAGATATTCGCATTGTGCCCTCTTCTTTATACAGGAGAGAGAAGGACGCGTCGACAATAATAGCCTCAAAGACAGCTTTATAAGAGATGTGGTGACAAGTGTTCAAGGGGTACCATATTTCAATACAGAGTTTGGTACAGGGTCTCCAAAAGCTGGAAATTTTGTCGCCCCGGAAGTTATTTACAACAGGACGGCAGACGTGTGCAAGCTGGTTCTTGTTCTTGTCAAAGATGCCAAATTGGAATTCTTTCAGGAGATAAAAAAGTAAATTTTCCAACAATTTTTGGCACTTTGTAAAATGCACAAACTTGTCTAATTTTGTAAAATTTTATTTTTTGTACATTACCGATATTTTCCAACCCAACTTTCTTTAAATTATAAATATTTCTGCTAATTGCCAACCGTATATTAGAAAACGTTCTAATTGTACAGCCATGTTTTCGAATTTCATTTAGCTTTAGGGGACGTTCATAAACTATGCTACACGAGGGGGGAGGGGGGTCTTAAACTCGAATGATATCGTGCCTATGTATGTAACATATTAAAGAGGGGTCTAGATAATCGCGATTTTTTCGTTACATAATTTATGGACGTCCCCTTATCATCGTTTTTGCAACATATCAGTACAGAAAACTTTTCGGTTTTACAGGACTGACAGCCGTAATCAGTTCTAATGAGCTGTGTAGATTCAAACATAATTCGCGTGCAGGTTGAAATGCCAAGGAACTGTTTATGAGCCCGGTGTATAACTTGTCATACGCTAGAAATTAATTGAAGTAATTAAACAGAATTTTACGTCATGTAGAATCATCCACAAAAGAAGTTTACTTATCAACTCAAATCAAACTCACTTATGGACATTCGTATCCGCATGTCGACACTATGTACATACATGCCGGAATTAAGGTACCTAGTCTAATTAAGCCCAGCATAATCTCGATAATTGCTCGAAAAATCTCAAAAATTATTAGGAAATGGTGTAGGAATAACTTGCACGCTACTGTTTACCAACACTCTTTCTCAGTAAAAATGATTTATTTCCGTCTAAGTCTACACACGTATGTATATGTCCATTTCTAAAATGAACATGCATACACATTTCGATAATTTACGTACATACATGCACATTTCGGCAATTTGCATACATGCACATTTCGATAATTTACGTACATGCACATTTCGATAATTTGCGTACATGCACATTTCGATAATTTACATACGTGTATTTTTTAATTACTCCTATTGATTTGAAGAAACGCAACCCATGATCAGGTAGATTATCGTAAATACTCCAATTATAGCCAAGGATAAAATCGAAAATTGGATGTCACAGAGCTGGCTACAATTACAGGCCTGGAAAAATTTTGGCTTGACCATAATTTGAAGCATTATAAGTTCTGGCATAATTAATGTTTGTCTTAACCTCCAAGCTACCAAATGGCATGCATTTGTTTGTCGCTAGACTGTCCAGCTACTTATGTACCTATTTGTATAAATACTTTGCCTACCGATACGCACACTTGTGTACTACTTCGTGTTCCTCGCCTACGAAGGTACATACATATATTTGGAAATTTAAAGAAAATGACAAGTTTTTGGGCTGTGAAATACGTATGAATGACTAATTGCACCAATAAATAATACCAACTAATACGTACTAATTATGTACTAATCTTGTTATCAATTATTCCTGGATCAAGAACTCTCACACCAGCGTATCTGCCTATAGTGACGACAGATGTTGACCCATGGATTTGGATAACCACAAGACCACCACAAATAGACTCAATTCTGCTCTGTCCTATCCTTCCGGCCAGGACGAAGTATAAATTGGCAATTTCTGTCGACCCCTCCACTGGAAATTTAATCATTAAATCCGTCTGTTTCTTTTGTGATTCGGGTCGACCCCGCGTGGTCACTTTGCCTGATAAACGACCCTCCCCGAACTATGACTACTTTCCCGATTACGTCTCCAATTTAAACGGACACCTTGTTCGGATAGCGTTTCCTGCAGTGAGATGAAGAGTTTGGGCAGACCCTCCGTATACAAAGGTGAACAATGCGAATAGGGGAGTTTGGAAAGGATATTTTGAGGAACATCTCGTCCCAAAGTTTAACTACACGTACAATTTATTCATGGCGACTGGAAAAGGAACTGGATTAAAGCTACCGAATGGGACTTGGATCGGTATGTACATATCCCGTCACAAAAAAGTTTAGGACTAATTTGATGGTGAAATTGGTCATCTTATGCATTTTGACAGGTACTGTAGGAGACATAATTGCTGATCGGGCTGATGTTGGAATTATAACTGTACATACGTCAGATAGAAGTGAGTTGAAATTTGGAAGATTTATTTAACAGCTTCACGAATAATTTTGCATGAAACGCTCGCGTACGTGGCGCATGAAGAAATTTTACTCCTCTTCACTATGCTAAATTTAAATGAGATCGTCCTTTGTTTTAAAATTTTGTAGCTTATCTTTTTATCCTTATACAGCTTCAAAAATTTCCCACTCCGTTAATTACCTCGCTGGTACCAGTACCAGTCAATTTTCGGAAATATTTGTTGCAAACCAACTGAAACACATTTGTGTAACGATTTTTTATCACTTAAATATCAAGCTATTGTTCGAAGTACCGATATAATTGTAATTGCCCACAATTACACACATTTTTAGCTAAATTTCTCCTCAGAAAATTAAGTTGTACATTCAAATATACATGCTTACAAATATATACGTTATTATGAAAATTCATGTTTCACAGCAGTTTAAATTCTACTGAATTTTGAGCTTTCATGACTTTGTGTGAATCATTTTTACAGTTAAAGTAGTCTCTTTCACCAACTCCTTCATGGATTTGGGTTTCCTAACCTTTATTACGTCACATGGAGCCCGGGTATTTTCTCCGGCGGCTTTGCTGTGGCCTTTCGACTTGACAATGTGGGCTTGTCTAAGCCTTTCCACCCTGGTAGCCTTCGTAATTTTCAGAATCATCAGGGAAGGCATGAAACGGATTAACGACGACGAAAGTTGGACCATCCGACGACAAGTCATGTTTATCCTGACGAGTTATCTCGACCAAGATTTCGGAGCAGATGTACCAAAATCTACACCTCTGAGATGTTTTCTAGCGTTATGGTTGTTTTTTGTAATTATTGTTACGACAATATACAGGTAAGTAGACAATCCTACTCTTAATTTATACAGAAAACTTTTGCGAAATTTTCAAGATTTCACAAAACTGAAGTATTATTAAGACTTGAGTACGCACATTCTTAACGAATTACTGTTTTTAAATCGAATCGCTAGAAATATTATAAGTTGCAATTCTAGCGACTTATGTACATATGTATGCAATTGGATTTTTATGCAAGTTCAGAAAATTCAACAGGAAGCCTACTTATGTATGACATGAGACTTGTACTGAAGTTTATAAAAGTTGAAAGAACCGACTTATGTACATATGTATACACACATCACGCAAAAACTGCATATGTTCACCTGCATATTTATTTAAGTATCTGTATCACTTCCTATAGGTCGAAGATGGTTGGATTTTTAGCATTTCCCTTGCTGGAACAAGTTCCGGAAACTTTCGAGCAGCTGGTGCAATCCAAGTATCAAGTCGGATTTTCAAAACACTGCTAATTTCTCGGATTCGGACAGCAGGAAATTGGTCTATGCATCGGAGACGACATACAGCGTGAGTACATGTAGATTTTATACTATGTAGAATACAAAAAATTCTAATTGTATACCAATATATTTGTATGAAATAAGTACTATTAGAAACTTATATTGGGGGAATTTACTAGGATTTACTGGAATTTACGATTAGAAAAGTTTTAGCGATCATGAAGGAAAGTTGGCTTTTGAATCTTTACAAACTAATGTATTTTAAAGGAGAATCTTAATTTTAAAACCTCTGACGCCATGAATCAAGACCACGGCATGAACCTGAATCCAATCTGGTCTTCACTAATGTTACCACTGATCAAGCGCCCCTGACAACGATACCGTTTTTGAATAACAACAATAATTTATGATTAGCATTGTGAGTGAAATCAATCTTGTTTTCTCGATTTCAAATATTGTCCCTGAAGATGATACTAGTGTGTATCGAAAGCTAGGAATTAATATATCTGAATTAAAACAACCATGTCGTCCGATAACTTTAATTCTAATCTTAATTTTGTCAAATTAATGAAGTTCCAGTTGGAATTAAAAATGATTTTGTGCAATGTTTTGCAAAAATGTTTTTAAAATTCTTCATAGACATACTAATGAATTTTGTAATGTTTTAAGAATTATTTACTGGTTAAGCAAAAATTGTCAATTTATTCAAAAATTGTCCCCCCATTTCCAGGTCTATCTTGGTTTCGTCCTCAAATCCGGGTCCATCTACAAGGAGGGTTTCGACCGTTCGATGGGCTGGACGCGACCATTTCATCTTCCCAGCCTTTGGGAAGAGCACGACATGTATTACGACTTGCGTCTACCAAAACGTGCTTGGTGGCTAGAAACCGGTCAAACGGAAAAATTGCAACACTCAGCCGGCACGATGGACGACGATCTCACTTTGAAGCATATTTCTGGAGCTTTCTACTCCTGGATTGGTTGTCTTGTGATTTCTGGAATTGTCTTTTTGTACGAAATGCTCTTTTATTATAGGAAAAAAATAACGAGACATAATTTGGCAGTATTTTATAGAAGTAAGCTAAAAATAGGTAATGAGTCAACAGCAATTGACGATTTTGTTTATTCTAATCGGGACGGTTTTACTTAGATATTAATTGAATCACGTATGTCTTGGTATATTTTTGTATGAGAAGCTACGCACAAATATGCAAAGTTTTTGTCAGTGATAAAGTGGAAGGTTCGAAATCTGAGGATTTTTGCTTTTTGTTTATTTATATTAATACTTGCATTTACTCCTTGAATTTATTTCTCTATTTTTTGATCATTGTGTAAATTTAAGTGTTGGGAATACTTAGGATAATAATTTTTATTTGAGAAAAGCATCTGAGAAAGCCTTAATTTATTTGAATGTTATGAACTCAACTAAATTTTCCAATTAATCTATGAATATTTGGTAGCTGTTGAAGTATTACAGATAATGTTGAGTGTGGTACTGATTTTGGCTTGCAGTTAGATTTTCTTACTAATTTGACAGCGTTTAATGATAGTATGTACACTAGTTTATACGTGAGTTGTTTAGTTAAATCTTAATTTGTAGTGTACGTTTAAGTATTTTTTGGTATTGATTTGTTTGTTGTAAGCTCGTGAAAATAGGCCACCCTGCTGTGAAAAGCATTTTAAATCACTGGTTCTAGTAAATGATTATAATAAAGCATTATTAGATATTATTTCATTATATGTAAATATATACACCATTAACTAAAAAAACTTTGTATTTTAAAATTATGCCTGGCAACTCAACTCCTACATTTAATTGAATGCTATTTTATCTTATGCAACCTGTCGCAACAAATTATTTGGTACAATATACATGTATTTAAATATATATGCAGGGATTAAGTAATCTGCCTATTCCAGAGGATTATGACACCTACGATTGCACATTAATTCACATAATCTTTAACCTTGACTACGCTTAATCTACAATTTAAACTCCAACGTAAGCAGAATAGAAAAAAGCCGATTTTTTAATAGTGGGGATTAGCCAAAATGCTTAAGTAGATCATAATTTATTATTTGATCCAAACAATATTACGGCGATCTAATCCGATGGTTATCACCCCCCCCCCTACATATTTATATAGGTAAGTAGGTTTTACACGTCTATAGACTTATCTACAAATTGCCCCCAATAAAATATTACAAAACTTTTGTCACTGGATTATGATATTTGTAAATTCGTGCATATATAATTCAAAATCCAAAGTTCAAATGCTTCTACACATATAAAAACCAGGCCAGGCTAAAAATTGCTTTATCATAATTTTCCAAGCGTATTACTTAATATTTTATGTCAGAGAAAATGGGTTCCAGTATTTTGTGTGCCTTAGTCGTAGTTCTTGCTTCTTTGATCTGCACATGTTCATGCGCCGAAGTAGGGAAGAGAACTATAGGAATACTGGGCACGGTTACACCCTCACCTACACACTGCACCTTGGCAGGTAAATTAATGTCGTTTATGCTCATTTTAATATATTTTACTTAGGGTTGCCCCGGGTAGTGGCACTACCCGGTACCCGGCTACCCGGTACTCGGCCTAAAATTTCGCCGGGTACCGGGTAATCTTTATATATAGAAAAATAACGAGAATTATTCTACTTTTCTCTAGAATTTGGAACAATTTTACAAGTTTTAAAAAATTAAAAGTTAAAAGCATGCAGCACAGACTTCATTTAGCCTGGGTCAGGGACAAAGTCGTATTCTAAATTTGTGTCCGATTTAACAGGACCATCTGCATGTACTTGCCACCCAATTTTTAATGTATTTACTAATCCTTCAACTTGACTGGAACTGCTAGGACAGATAAGGCTAGCGTCTTTAAAATCTTGGACTTGTCAAATTATATCTGTTAAGCATAAGCTATTCTTAACCTCAATATCAAACTTCAGATAAAAGTAATACATATTTGCAAAAAAATCTGTAGGGGTCATGGATGAAAACATTATGTGGGGCATACATAGAGCGTACAAACTCACGGCGATGTCTTATTAATCATCGCCACTCATTGAGCAAACTTGTGAAGCTCAAAAAATTTGCGCAAAATATCACTTCGAAAGTCTCGCAGCTATATTAAAGATGCTTATTTTGATCTAGTTTTCATGGATTTTTGCATTGTTTCTCGCTGATAATCGGGAGGAACAGTTTGCGAAATTATAGCGTGATTGCTGGATAAATTTGAAACACCAATTGTTTTTAACAAAAGTTTTAAGAAATGTCTCAAGTTTCGTAAAGCATCACAAGTTATGTTGCGATGCTTCATGTGCGAGATATGCAAGGGTTGACGTGAGTGCGCCCAAGGTAATTTTAAAATCTGGATAATAATTTCCACCTAAGAATTGGCCCATATTTTACGCATTCTTTCAAAATAATATTTTGAAAGAATTTTATACCAAGCACAAAAATGGAATCCATATGATTATAATTTTTTTATAAGGTTTTACAAAAAAATTGAACATTTAAATTACCCGGCCGGGTAGACCGGGTAGTTAAGTGTACCCGGCCGGGTACCGGGTATCCCAAAACAGGCCGGGTATGCCGGGTACCGGGTAACTACCCGGTACCCGGGGCAACCCTAATTTTACTTATATTTTCATATTTATAAATTTCAACTTTTCACTTGTAATACCAGAAAGTGGAACCTTTGTTCGAGTGGAGGTCACAGGATGTACAGCACAACCATGCATGATGTCCCAATCAATGTGGTACGAAGTTTCGACAGTTTTTATGCCAGGTTTGTCATATTATTAGTATGCAATACGTAGTAAACACACATACACATATACGTTACTGGTAAGATTAAATACTTTTCTAAAGCCTGGACCACAAATACTCTTCACTACGAAATATTTCTAACCCCATACAAACAAGAAAGAAGGTCCATGTCTAGATCAGCGATCCCGGGTACTTTCACTGCAGGCAGGCAGTATCAAATTTTTGGCGAATTTCAAGTTCCTGCGACACTTGGACTGGTGTGAAACTTATGGAATTTCACATACTCTTACATTTCAATTCATCTAAGTACGTCAATTTCATTGGTGTTCGATAGGGACAAGCGGTTGTTGAAGTCGATCTTTTTGACTTTTACGGAAGATTTGTCCGTCGATGCTTTGCCAGTAGCATTGCGACCAACGTTGGGTGATAAACCAATGTATGTACAAGGGATAAACATATGACCCGAAAAAATTGATTTGCAAATAAACTTTATTAACATATGTAGGAACAAAATTGTTTCTAAATTCTAGTCGTCATTGACCAACGCATAAAGTGCAATTAAGTACATAATTCTTATCCAGAATTAAAACAATTGGAACATTCAAAAATTAAGACAAAGTTTACTCGAGAAGCATTTATTTATCACACGAGCAACATATTAATGACTCTGTCCACGCAAAATTGCCAAATTACAACTGGTGTCAATCTATCAAAGAATGTTCCGTCTCCCATTGAAACCTTCACTGGTGGGCATGACCTCATAAATCGCCTCCCCCACCGACCACCATTCTTCACCATGACACACCGCATTTCATTAATGAACTTCAACGAGCGTTGGTGAGGCAAGCTGAGACATTTGAAAACCACATGAATAGCAACAAAGTAGTCAAATCCACCCACTGCGAAGAACAGGATGATCGGTATGGTCAATTTGTGCATGGAGGAGGCGAGCACGTACAGTGAGGTCGTTTCCGCCGTGATGATGCACGCAATTAAAAGTGGCATGAGAGGTTTGTCCCAAAAAGAGTTGATTATCTTTTCCACGAGTTGTGCGACCCTGTAGGACATTATTTTTCCGCGGTGACGTTTTGCTTCTCTAAAAATATAAAGGAGTTAACTTAAATTAAAAAAGACAAATTTATACAAACATCTGTAAGAGTAAATTATCCAAATTTGCTAATATTCCCACTTTCTCATATTCAGAATGCTACTGTAATAAAACATTTTTCTAAGCTTTTTGAATGGCATCAATTCCATAAACAATTAAAAATCACTATTATTTACTTCTCTGTCACGTGAACCCACAACGTCAACATTTCCGCTGGATATACTAATCCTCCTCCAAGAAGTTGGATCACAACAGCGTCCATGATCAGCCACGTGTACGTTTCAAATATGCCGAGCATAATTCTCTGATATAATTTCAACCTTCCAGTAGGAAATAGTCCAGTTTGGCAGTCCGTCATTATGATACTCGTGATAAGCGGAGGTGTGCACGGCATTAGCAACGCGAGTGCAAACACGCTGAACGAAACCCCAAAGATGGACATCTTTACGATCTCACCAATCCACAATAGCGACGTCTTTGCATATTTTTCTTCTGAGGTGATTCCACCTCCAGGAAAGCTAGCTGATCAGATAATTTACAAGATTAGTCAATCAATCAATTCACGGCATTTGAAGTAAATATTTGAATGTTTGAAATCCGGTAAATTCAGAATATTATACAGATTTAAGAAGATTCAAAGAAGAATAAAATTATAAATCTACTAATATGTAAATTTTTGTGTATGGATAAAGGGCGTCTTTTTATTTGGGTAAAACATAATCTTATAAAACTTGCACAATTAATCCGATAACAAACGCCCTTAGTGAATTGCGTGATTATTTATTACTAAATTATTTGTACTTCCATACCATATTTTGCCCTGCATTTCTCCTCCATTTTCTTTGGCGTCATCACCAACCTTTTAAATTCCTCCCGTCTTTTTAGAGTCACCAGTTGAGATCCAAGTATAATTGTGTAAGCGGAGAAGAAAAAAATAATCTTGATTTGTTTCCAGGCTGGAAACGTAACGTTGTCAGAAATATCGGACCACAGAATATTTCTTAATATCCAGACGAAATATATGACTACATGCAGGAGCAGAGTTGTCAGAGATGTTGCGAACAGCCCCCATTCCAGAGGACCTTGCAAACCGGAAATTACGTCCCCGTTATGATTCGACTTGATTGGATGGGCGAAGGTGAGGAGACACCAATTGGTTAGGGTTGTCATTAACGGGTAATAAGCCGTAGTGGGAGATGGGTTTAAAATAGTTTGGACATATTGCCAATATTCTACACCAAGGGTATTTAATTGTGCGATCCATGATTTTAAAAATTTGACAAAGTTCATGATGTGAAATATTTGAGAAGAACATTCACAGTTGAATGTCGTAAGTCAACCAACGTCATCGTCTGGCTTCATTTATCAAAACAAAAGAAAAGCAAATGTCTTTTGTATTTGCACTACAGAAGACTATAATTAGAGTATCGGTTTGAAATGTGTATCAATTTTCTAGTCCAAATATTCACATGATGCTAAATTATAGTTGTCGTTCGCTTGGAAGGTAAAGGTACTATGCATCAGGGAATAAATCTTGCTCGCACTATCCCATAGCTTGCTCGCACCGCTTATGGGCCGGTGCGAGCAAGATTTATTCCCTGCTATGCATACATTCGGGAAAGGACACTTTTGATCAGAATCTCAACATTTCAGTCTACATACATAACTTGCATAATATCTATGTACGTAGATTTGTACATATGTAAGATCAAGGGTGACTTGGATTAACTCAAGTTCAGAAATAGATGGCTGAGATAACGTTAAAAAATTTAAAACACTTTTTGTGTACAATGTACACAAAAGATTAGAGGATTTCAAATTTTACTTTTCATGATACTAAAATTAAATTTCTCGCATAATTTCAACAAATAAACGTGAAATATCCGTAGCATTTTATTTACTTAACTCACTGTATGCCGAAGTAACATATTTAGCAAACAGACAAATACATATATATATTTTAAATTTTATCCGTGCAATAAATAAACATTATACTACTCATTGTCACAGCAAGTATTAAATAATCAATTTAAATAATCATATAACTGGCATAATCCTTATGTAATTTGGTCCATTCCTCACCAATAAATAATATTCAAATTCTAAATAATTTGTAACACCCTGATACATATTAATTGATTAATTACGCAAGTAGGATACCTAAAAAACACAATTACAAAATTCCACCCGTTGTCCTCTGGCGCTTGAGGACACACCTGAAAATTAATATCAACATGATCCCCAATCCAATCAGGAGAATGGCCCCAGCCCAATCTGAACTGTTATCATGTTCCCCATTGTCCCTCTGCAGGGTGCAAGTATGCCTCCCCCTGCCATAGCCTCTGCCTGCCCCCATTAGCAAAAAGATGGGTATGAAACTCCCCCCACCACGATTGTAGTGGGACCCATAGCCCACCCTGTTCACCGATCCGGTCGCTCGTCCTGCGGGGACGGACATTTTTCCAAAAGATGAGTACCCACCGCGACCCGCACTGCCGATACCGCCTCCTCGACCGAAGGAACTTTTCCCTCCGAATCCGCCCCCTCTCCCGGCACCAATTCCTTTCGCCATGGCGACGGGGTGTTCTTTTCCATTTTCTGAGACGAGATTGCTCACCTTCGTCTCATCCTCGTCTTGTATTAACTCTGCGTTTGTGACGGTGACCTCAAACAGGGCGCGACACAAGGCGAGGAGAGCACAAGTATCGTGGGTGGACATGTTGTGAGAGACGATGTCATCTGAAGAGAAAAATCAAGAGTCAAATACTGTTTAAAATACATAGTGGATCATAATCATTGGTTGTAGAATGTGTACGTATCTAAATATGTAAATATGTGCAATTCATAAAAACTTATGAACATAGAGAAATAAAAGATGCCTGTACTTTAGCATTTGCGAAAGTTATGAGTTAAATAATATTAAATAATGATTTACTTTTGTATTAATTTGTGAAGATAAAAAAAAACTTTGCAATCACCAGAATTTCGATATGAAAAAACTTTCACCACAATTAAAACAGGTTAGCATTTCCATACCTATCATACTAGGTTCTAGTTCTTTCAGTAGTTCTGTACATTTTTCAGTATCCTCCTCATTTCCATGCAGTTTACAAGCATGTTCCAGTATTGGTAGCATGGCAACCTACATATTTTTTAATGGAAGTTAGCTTTTATATCGTGTGCATATTTATAAATACACACACACGCATATCCCATTTATTTCCCTTTACTAGTACCTGATTCTTATTTCCTTCAACGACCTCATCCTTACACATTTGACACTTGTCAGCATCCTCTCTCGGAATGATGGCAGTATTCCATTTACAATGTATGCAGTACGGAATTGTGTGACACGCCTCGGCTTGACTGCGGTCAATATGAGGAAATTCATGTCACCAATGATCAATGATATCACACATGATATAATATTCGTTTATCTGATATTTCACTGACCTCAATGTGTCGCATAAATCGTCCAGTGGGCGATTGCAATTGGGCCCCGTCTCGTTGCTGAAGCCTACAAATTAAATAATACCAAAATATTTATGCACAGACCACTTTCACCACAAATTTAAACACCACCCACCTTGCAGGAGTCGGACATGGTTAAGTTGAAAAGTAATCAAAACGATGAACAAGTTTGGCAGCATGATTATAAGTGCAACAAATTGGTTCAATTTTTAACCATGTCACGTACTTACTTCGTAGAGACTACAACAACACCTGCTGCTTCGCCCTGGATGATCGTCGACACGTATTCTAGGCCATGGCTGGATGTGTATGTACATATAGTAGGGACGTATATAGGACAAGTTCTTACCATCCTATCCGTGGTGAAAGCAGGCAGGAGAAAGTAGGGTTTGAGCAAAGTAACGAGTAACTAGGATTACTACGCACTTCGGTTTCACATACATTTCATAGGAACACGTGGAGACATAAGAAATTATTGGATTGTGACGGTTTGTAAAGTTGGACGAATTGTCTAAACCCGATAAAGTTATTGCCCCCGGAATAATTTAGATGGAAGAAGGATGTATGAGTTTAATTTATTTTCTACTACGTTGAAATTATGAAAATCTACTAATGTATCTGTATGTAGAAATGACAATTATTGTCAGAGAGAAACTGAATGTTATTTTCAAATAATCAACGGAATATAGATACTAATACATTATTTATCTACAATTCAGTCTTGCAGGTTAAAAGGATATGTATGTACATACATCTGCATATGTACATGCATATGAAAAATTTAATACTGATCCTAAATGTCGAGATGAAGGGTTCGGACTGACTTATTAGAAAGGAGAAAGCCATACATACATAAGTTCGAAGATGATCAATATCTTTTATTCGTTTGTGCTTTACGGGTAATGACGGGTTGTAGAAATTTCAAATATCATAATAAACATGAATTTTCTAGAATTTAATTTCTCTTGCCTAGTACCTATTCTCAGTAATCCTTTACGTAGTGTAATGTAAATTGATGAATATTCCTACAGCCCTTCTCATCACCCTTCTCATCACCCATCACCAATATCTTAAAATACGCACTTTTACATATGTACATATTTTATATTTTATATGCATATCATGCATGGATAAATACATGGGTAAATTATTTCGTTTCACATTTTCACCCAGGGTCTATGCCCTCTCTCATCCTATTTTACTTTGTTCGGAGCTCCCAAAACCTAATTCTAGCAAGCTATTGGGGACTGACTGAAATGGTATAAACTAAAATAGGATATGTACATACCAACGTTTAAACTATGATGATTGGAATTTTTCCCTTTGGTACTTTCAACGGATATAAAATAATATACACGTACAGGACATATATCTATACATAGTTATTATTCATTCTAAATTAAAATGGGCTTGTTGCCCATTGCCTTAAAAAGGGAGCTTAAGACTGGAAAATGTGTCATTTGCATACAACAAAATATTGAACTCATTCCTTCAAACAAGACGAATTACAATCATCATGGTTTGTATGGAAGTGTGCATTAGGAAGCCGGTAAGTAAGAAATTAATAATTTGTCTTACTGTCATCATCCTGCTCTGTCATAGATATATATTTCATTATCAAGTCTAGTCTACTACGTAGAAAAATACTTACAACTCACTTGTTTAATAAAATATATTATCTATTTATCTAAGATTCAACCAAAAAAGGCAAGTCCTGATTCGGCCACAACAAGTAAGTATGAAAATACAAATTAAGCTCCTAAAAATGCCCATACAAATAGTTACTGCTGTGATTTTATTATGGTTAATTTATTATTTTCAGAACTGCAATACAAAGCAGCTTTACTAAAGTACATTATGCTCGAAACTTACCTAAACCATCCAGGCATACAAAATGGAGGTAAGATAACATGTAAATCTGCCCTTCACTTGACGAAGTCATCAGCTCTCAATCTGACCATTTTGAATATTACAGATGTCCTCAATTTGGAACTGGAGAGTTTGGATGCTCTCAAAGTAAAGTTACGGAGACGTCTTGCCCGGCGATTTAACTACAACTCCGTCGTTCTGCATGAAATTGACGCCGAAATCAGTAATTTGGCCGAAATTATGGGTTGCGGGCAGCAGCCTGGTTGCCAAATCTGCAAAAAGATTACTGATTGTGAAGAAGGTGACAATGCGGATGAACAAGATGAGAACTCTTCAGAGAAATTAGAGGAGGACGAAAAAACCCAAAAGAAAGCGTGAGAACAATGAGGAGGAACAAGGAAAGTGAGATATGTACATGCATACATATTTATGTGTGCATATTTTTTACCGCAATATGATTGCAAATTCATTTTTTCTCGTGTATTGTGAGTACTATTGGTACAAACCCTGAAAAAATTTGATATTTAGTCGATCGACAATGAATTACACTTATTAATTTATCACAAGGAAACACTTCAAACTCTCCTAAATTTCTCAATTTACACTGAATTTTCATAGATTTATCGAAGTAGGTCCAAATAACATGAAATTGCTTTTAGGCATACATAAATAGAGATTTGCATTGCGTGAATAAGTTTTACACTTATAGCTCTATCACAATTTCTATTTATACTAATTCAGCTCTGCTTTATTAAAACGATTAAACTTAGATCGATTTGTTTCGTGCTTGTTATCCTAACATTCCAGAATATTAATAAATCCGCAGAATTTTTTGTAAATTAAAGTAACTAACAATCGACGCATTTGCTCCAACAATCGGCATCATCCTTACAAATAAGTACTGTGGAATATCACCCCATCTACTAAATAGTACTCATTATTATTTTTAAATGTTATCATTAAAATTTACACAACAGTACATATTTACTTATGCCAATTGATCTAGGAAATTACTTGAACATTTCTTCCACAAGCATTCCAATATATGTAACTATGTATATTTGGATTACAATACATTACATGCATAATTAAGTTTCTAAACTTTGATAAAGTTTATTCATGTACATGATACTAACTCGATTCATTTAATAAAATAACTTTAAAAAAGCTTCCTTAGGTGAGGCGTTGCTAAAAGTGAAAAACAAGATTTATGGCCTTATCTTTTAAATATCTCGTCCCCTCATCATTGTAACAGGAGATGGTGGCTTTGCATCACCGTGAGGCCAGTTATTTTAGCCATATAACATATCACGCCGTTTATTACATACCGCAACGATAACAAAAATTGCATTTGCCACTAAAAAATTAATTAAAACCTTGCTAATTAAAATATATATTGATGCATAAACAGATTATTTTCGAAAGGCTTATAAACTTAAGTTTATAAGAACTATTTCGGAGGGTGAATATGATTAGATTAGCAAATAATTTATTTCACAAGCTAACCAGTACTTCAGGCAGCCAATATAATTTATGGATGGCCCGTAACAGAATTTAATTGGCTTGTACAATTTTCTGCATGTGTTATACAAACTACTTCAACCACCTTTGCTGAATTTTAAAAATGCCCCGTTCGAAAATTTAAGGGTAGAATTTTCTTCCTTAAATAATTTATAAACAATTGACCAAGCCAGCGGCGGTAGTACGTTAAAGGCTAATTGTATTTACTAGCACAACTAGTTCCCAATACGAACGAGAAAGTAACACATGATAATTTTGAGAAATTCGTGAACCTAGACTATCTTCCAGCGAGTTGCGGATTATTGTGAATATATTCTTTATTGACAGAAGCTTAGCCTAAAATGACAGGCCTCACGGTGATGCAAAGCCACCATCTCCTGTTAAAATGATGAGGGGACGAGATATTTAAAAGATAAGGCCATAAATCTTGTTTTTCACTTTTAGCAGCGCCTCACCTAAGGAAGCTTTTTTAAAGTTATTTTATTTCGTGGATTTTAGGTGATTCATATTTTCAGACAATTAATTCCACTTGTCAAAATTTTTAATCTATTCTTCAAATATTGTGAGCTCTTTGAAACAGGCTATGCGATTTGATTATTCTTTCGATGCAAAATTACTGTTCAGCCACTATTAATAGTCTCAATTCCTTGGAAATTTTTCTGAGAGGTTATTTGGTTTTCGGAAAATAATATAAATTATCTGCCAGGAAACCTTTCAGATTTTTTTCAGACTATTAATATCGGCTTAACAGTAGTTGAAAATACCTATATTAGGTAGTAATTTTTTACCAGGATTAATTAATTTTTGAGAACAACCTGGATTTGGGATTAAGATTAAATAATCTGGATTACTTTTTTTTGATTAAAGATTGGATTTTAAATTGCAAAATGACCAAATAAACATTTAAAATCAAAGTATGTGTAGGACATTCAAATATAAAATGCAAATACCCATGGTGGCGTATATAGCAATAAAACGGACAGTAAATTTGACAAAATAATCTAATTATTAAATTTAAAATTTTCAATAGAATTTACAATTATCCCTAGTCCGGATTAATAATCACCAATCTGATATTTCCTAACTTTGACCAACAAGGGCGTGTCTAAATGTTTTATACCAGAAATTTCTTAAAGACAACTACTCTTATTTTTAGTAAATTGCTATATTGGCTGCTAGTAGCAACCAGCTACATTGCAATTTTGATGAAGAATGCTTAGCAACATGAAAAGTTTCAGATGCCTCCATCAAAACTCTTTCAGTTTTGAACCGATCTCAATCGGATTTGTTTTAAATGATACATAACCGATTTTTACACAATAAAATCAGGTTTTATGCATATATTCCTTTGACACAAGTGTCTCAAATTTTGATTGTAAAGTTTCAAATTGAAATTTGGGGGCTCAAAATGCAACTTTTCCATCGGGAAAGCTGTAAAACCGCATCTCCTCAATCTCCTCTGCACGATTGCTCTTTACACCATTTGCGTAGGATTAACCGTTTAGGCTCTAGCCTTGTCGACAGTTTCAAAGGGTGTATACGAAAGCATACTTAGGCTTCGCCGTAACCATGGTGATGCTTTTTTTTGCGGGCACCCATTGTTACTTTTGCCTCACCTAAGAAAAACATTTTGTAATCTGTGCTACACATACTCCAAAATTTCCGCACGAATAATTTTAGTCGCACATAATATATGTACATAACTCTTAATATTACAACGAGAAAAACCTCTCTCCTAATCTTTATCCCTTCCATATCCCGCTGATCGTGTAAACTGCAACAAAATAATGAGATACGTCGATATTACCGAAAAGAAACTCAACATCGTCGACGTTTTGATGAACACGAAATTACCACACTTGAACCCAAACTCGACGCAACTCTTGACCCGAAGCCGCAACAATTTAAAGTATTTCTCATGTTCCACAACCAACCTTAAAGCGTCCCTCGAATACGCAAGTTCCCTCAGCCAAGCTATTTTAAACGACTTTGAAGCATCGTAAACAGACCCCATTTCGGGAAAAACGCGGCAAAATATGAAAATCACTGCTATAAAGAGAAAAACATAGCCTAACAGTCCCAGCGGGGAGGTTGAATTCCAGTAATGAATTGGCAGAAATGCGACAATGCAACACAACACGGAGTAACCCCCCATTTGCAGTGCTATCAACCATGCATATATTTTATTCGCTCCATCCATCAGTTCACCGAGTCTTTTATTGTATCCCAACGCGTCATCCATTTCCAGTAGAAGTTCGAATCCGGATTTGTCTTTATCGGGTGACACCATAAGAGTGAGACAGGATTCAAATATTCGGCAAATGTTCATACATCCTGCGACCAGTTGAACCGTGAAGAAGAGGTCGTAAACCATGATCGCGGCATGGAAAGCGACAGAGCATCCGAGCAGGACCCAGTTTTCAAAGTGTGACGGTAGCAGGGAGTAAAGGAAGACGGGCGACCTCGGTTCCTGCAAGTGCTTCATGCCGATGACAGCACTGGCAATGATGCTGAAGACGAAAATGTTTCTCCTGATGCGATGAAATTCACGGGTGTGTCGGACAACATAGGTTGACACATGGTTTCCATGGTTTCTGTATTTTTCTAGGGTTTTGAGAGAAAAGCGTAATCAATAAATTCAGCACCATTATCAAAAATATAGAAGCAATCATTTTCAAGACGAGTGTCTCAAAATTTTGGAAAAGTAACTTTTCACAATACAAATAAATAGTTCGGGACAGTAAAATACCGTAAATTTCTTCCTCCAACGCATTAATATCCGTCATCCAAGCACAAATCGAATCCCTGTCCTTGTAATGTTTAAGTGCCACGAGTAATCCAAGCATGGAAGTTCCACACCATGCCACTAAACTCATAATTGTTCCGAAATCCTCCTTTAAGATGACGAGGTTCCAGAACAATTGGAACGCTTGGAACAAAGAGTGCATGCAGTGGGTGAAAAGAACTAGTTTGCACAGAAGGACAAATTTTCCAGAAGGCTCGGCGTATATTTTACGGAGGGGAAGTACTCCATCGAAGCCTTTGGGGACTGGGTGGAATTCGAAAGAGCACGGAAAAACGCCCACATATTTGAGAAACTTGTAGAGTGGGACGCAAATACTGGTCCCTGTGGGTTGGGCCTGTTTTAACTTTTCCATTTTTACGAGCATTTTATAAGACAAAGTGTGATTTTTTTGCATGGATATCTTAACTCTTCCTTATCTGTAGCGTTCCGTTGTGCAAATGTTGTACATTTTTTGAATATTTCTACTACATTAGTATTTAGACACGTACATATATCTGTGTGCTTACATATTTCCAAAGAATCAGACAAATGTGTTTTATTTGACAAGATTTATTAAGCAATTCATTTCATGGATAAATGCAGTGAATTTATTATCAAGAAAACATAAGGCTGGATTTAATTCACCCTTAGGTTTCGTAGTTAACAGCGCATAGCTAATGGAAACCACCTTTGTGTTTTCATTGTATATAAATATGCATTTATGTATGTACGTATAAATACGCCATGCTACAAGAAAATCGATTCATCTATAAATCACTCATCCTTTATCTGATGTATGTATGTCCCACGTGTATTAAGATACTTACCTATATTAATCCATGTTAAAACACTAAGGATAAGTGTTGCAGTTAGCCGATTCAGAAAAAAATACCCTACATAGTTTATGTACATATGTACTTACAAGTTATGGACTAAATATGCAGATTATATATAATCAAAAAGCATTAAGGACCAGTACACATATATCTAATTGTGGTACAAGTATACTATGTAAATTGGCGTGTATGTATGTATGAAATTAAAATTCAGTTAAATGAATCGTTGTCGCAGAGGCAAAGGTAAAACATATGTACACAAACGTATTTAATTACATTACGGTATTATTTTTCTGATCGTTTCGTTAATTCTGGATGTAAAAGGTTACCCCCGCTTGGAAATTTAATCTATGTTTAAAATCTAGATCAAGTGACTTGTTGTTGTATACATATTACTGTAATATGTTATCATGGCAGAATATGAAACCTATTATACGTCCATAATTATTAGATATGCGTATTTATAATGCATCCAAAAAAAGCATCTATGTCAAAATGGCAAGGTAAAGCTCGCTAATTACTAGTATTGACCGCTGCTATGCAGCCCGCTTCTCTAGTCATTTATAGAATGTCGAGGGTTTATGAATTTGTTGAGTTTATTTGAGCACGCATAAACAGCTACAAATCTCACTAATGTAACTACTGCACCTTCATTACCTTGTGCTTCTTTAAGTTCTCTAAAATTGTTCTCTGGATATATTGACATTATAGTATCGACAACATGGCTACACGACAGCAATGGGTTATTGTGAACAAATTTTACACAGTGTTTTCTAAAGTTTCGTTCCTTCTAAGATTTCACGTGAACATTAAAGAACGCAGAATTCAGAAACTCCACGGACGAACTAGACTTAATAAATGTCATATAGCGGCCTCCAAATTAACTCCCATTCTCTCTTTCGCCATAGTTGCCACATTTTATTATCAAATGTGGGAAATAATTTTAGGAAAAGAATCAGTAGGTCATAATTTCTGGGATTATTTGCGAAAGGCGATTGTTATATACGCTGCAATGCAATGCTCTGCATTAATTTCGATGATGTGGATGATGGCATTTCATCCAAGGGTTCTCATAAATGCCATAAATCCGTTGGGGGCCATGGCCAAAATGGTTGAAGGTAATTGCTCAAAACCTCATGCAAAATTTGTCCTTGTGCCAAAAATATTTAAAAGAGAATATAATATTTCAGTAATTTTAGCAATCTCAGGTGACCATATAAAGAATGAAACCGTGCACTACTGGAGTACCCTGCTCGCCGAAATTGTCCTCGTCTTTCCAACCGCATTTATTCCTTTGGGGGTTATTGTCGGTGTAATTCTAGATATCGACCCTACTCGAAAATTTTGCGAACTTTCCCTGCCAAATATTGTACTAGATCATCCATGGGGTTTCGTAGTCTTGTGCATATGGAGATGTATCGTGCTATGCTGCACAGAATACCAATTCTTAGCCGTTGGACATGCGTCAGTTATATTTTTGACAATTCCGCAGCACCAAGTTTGCAAATATATTGACCTCCTAGATGCATCGATTAAAAGGGTAAAGATTACGCAAGTTAAGTCTGACCCTAGACGTAAATTGGCACTTGGACACGCCAAGATGCGATTTTACAGACAATTGCAAATCTATTTTCTCCGTGTAGACATGACGTTGAGTCAACCGGTAGTAGGACCTGGCTTATTTTTCGCCTTACTTTCACAAATTGTTGGAAATTTCTATATCGTCCGACTCTTTGGTAAAATACCGTTGTTGATTCACATTCTTGCATGTGCTTATGTGACAACCATGGCAATCATGATTACGGTCATGTTGCAATTAGCAAATGAATCGTCTCGCGTGTCAACATTGTTTTTGGGAAATATGAGAAAGGAACTGATGTCAAAATACTCGCTAAAGATATTGCGATCCATTCAACCGTTAACTGTTGGTATTGGAAACTTAACCAAAGTTCATGCAAATACTAACTTGATCATTTTAAAGATTGTGGCGGATTACACGTTCACGTTACTTCTTGCGTTTTAAAATCTTGGGCACAGTTAGTTGCTCGGATCTTGTAAAATTTGTGAATACTGAAATTGCTTTTGAATGCAAGATATGTAATTTTCATGGACAGGTTGAGAAAGCAAAATATGCATTCATTAAAGAATTTGTGTGTACATATGTGCATAGGTAGGAAAAATTGTTTACTATTTATTTTTAAAAAAATATGATTTAAGCACTTTAAAGTTCCAGTCTTAATTATGCATAATTGTTACTTAAAATTAAGTAAAATGTGTTTTTAAATGTATCTTATATTTAAAATATATATTTTAAATTATAACAAGGAATAGAAGTTGTGCACAGCTTCCCAAATTCGACAAAATCCGGTTTAAATAAATATAACGTCCGTAGCTGATTTTTTACTACGGTGTAGGTCACGAAACCTTGCCCCCACCTCTGGGAATATGCTTGTCTTCAGCTTGGAATTGTGTGAAATCAAATACAATCACGTCGAACAATTCCGTTTTACGCTCAACCTGTAATAAAATTGAGAATCATAAAATGTTACATATGTACAACCCGCAATTGAGCTTTTTCTAAATAAATCCGCTACCTGTCTACTTATCGGATCCCCAAATTTGCAATACGTTGCAAAGTGTTCACAATTATTTCTAAACAGGTGGAACTCAAACATATGTCCCAAAAATGATTCCGCCATGGCAACAACGTCACTCCTCTTCTTTGCTTTGACGCCTTTCCTCTCAACCCACTCTTCCAAATTATTTACGCGACACATATCCAAATATTTTTCAAATGCACAAATTTGTGCCAAATTTTCCCTCACGATTTTATAGTTCCAAATTGTTCGCTCCCCGACATGGATGCAGTCTCCGTCACCCACGTAAACCGCCCAGTGTCTGTAGAAACCTGAGCTTCTCTTGATTTCGATCAGGTCACCGGGCACAGCAACTTTTGCAACGTCCTCGTAATGCTGATAACCCCAGGGATTGAGGTCACAAAAGTAGTCTTCGACGCTTTGACGTCGTTCCGCATCCTCCTCATCGACGGATGACCACAGCGGTTTGTCATACTTGACGACACTCATCAGCATTTGGCGTCGTTGGCTGGGATGCTTTGGATATCGCAGGTCAAATTTTTCAACCTGCGTTAAATCATGGATCATTTCATCACTCATGTTTCTTAACTTGGCGTTGTTTACAGTGGCGAGTTTTCCCAAGTTGTTGACACGACATGGAGATTCGGAAAAGTTGAAAATATCGGTGAATTTATCCACGGAAAATTTTACTTTGTCTGAAAAATCCTCTTCAATTAAGTGCAGGACAAAGTCATCTCGAATAAATAAAACCCAATTGTTGTTGTGTGGTCGTCTCAATTTGTCTTGAATTTCGATCAAGTCGCCAAATTTTACTAGTTTTAATAACAATTCGGGATTGTGAAATGTGTGATTTTCAGAAAAATCTGTTAATCCTTCCATTTCTGATATGTTTGCTGTAGCGTTAATTACTGTTCATATTTCGCTTTATGTACGTACTTATATATGTACTTATATATGTACGTGCAAGTCACTAACAATTTGTCAATACAACACCTCCGGCGATCACTTGCGGAGACAATGATATTGCAAAATCATTACCATGCCCAACAAATTATGTATTTATTTACATAACTGTTGAACTTTGTCCAACCACTGGGTTATTTTTACTTTTACTTATTTCCCAGCTGAAAAAAACCGTTAATGCGTTGTCGTTTGAATGTGACTGGTTTGCTTGAGTGGTGTGGTTATGGTTGAACAAGGCGTACACGTCGTGGAAAAGTAGAAATTATATAAATCAATGAATGAAATCCACTCTAACTTGTCTGATTGATATTTGTAGTAAGTATGCACTCGAATTCATCAGAGTCTGATGATAAGACTCTTCAAATCGAATACAATGTATATGAAATGCATATTAGATATGTATATTATGCATAACAAACCAGTCTTTTGGGTATGTTTTGTAAATAAATTGATGTGTACATACACACCTCCGTATCGCGAGATAATATAGTCAATGAGTTGTATTGATGCGTACATAATACGCATATGCATGGATGCATTTATATACTACCAAGCTTAACATGCATAGTATTAAAACATTAAGTGATTGACACTGATTATAATTATTATGTACTTTTTGTCCGAATTTCTGCTCCGTCATACACAATCTAACCAAAACATTCAAAGTCATCTCAAGTACATGCCTATCCCCCCCACCATAGGCTGTTATTATTCACAAGTGTGTGTATATATATATAGTCAGTCGGACATATAGTTAAGATATCATACATATAGTATACATGTGGTCATGGTATCTACATCTGTACATGTAGACGCCATGATCAAACATTGCATATTTATAAAATACTGGATTTCTTCATTCTTGTGAGAAATAAGAGGATGGTCGATAGTTTTCGAAAATTACATGAAAGCCATCTGTACCACTACTGCATGTTAGTAATTCTGTATATTATAAGCTGGAAATGTTTGTCTGCAACGGAAGTGAAAGTAATTTTCCGTGACGGAAGTAAAAATGGAGAAAGTTTCACTTCCCTCGCCAACAGGCATTTCTAGCTAATTATATAGAAAAAAATCATTCGCAGGAATTTTAAACAATCCGACTTAATTTTCACGAAAATCAAATAAGCTCTCGCCCGGAGGGAGACGGGCTTATACACTTGTTCTGTATATTGAAGTACTAACACAATATTTCAAATATTGTATTATAAAATTGAATAAGTCAAATTACAAATGCAATTGTGGAGAGAAACTGCGCATATGAATATATTGTTCTAAATATATATTTACTATAAGCGAAGTAAATATGCACTTTTACTTGCATGTAATAAAATTTCACAGAGTAAAAGAAGTTTACTAACGATGATAACGCGTCGTGAATATTCTCACTACAAATTTTTGCAAAGTGATTTTTAGCCATTGAGAGAAAAAAAGTATGAAAAGTGCATTTTCCCATGTACATAAGGGATACCATGTGACTGAAGTAATTTTTTAATTAAATGCCACCTTTAATATGCCGAGATAAGTAGAAGAATAATAATTTTCATGGAAATCTGTTGTATGCAATGGAGAGAAAGTTCGTATGTACATACATCACGCGATGAGAAATGTAGCTTTGTATCCATATATAACTGATCGTGTGTATAGTACATACATAAGTATTTAATCCTCGCTTTGTACATGATGTATGTATGTATGTAAATGACGAAGGAGCACAAATGTACACATAATGCTGCTAAAAAATGTACCTTGTCAGATCAGTTAAATATATGTACATATACATATTCCACATCGCAGCTGATTCATCTGCAATGCAATCTGTCCATGATTTTACCAATAATTGCATTACATAATCTTATTCGTTAAACAAATTAAAGTATTACATAAATTACGCAAGAAATACATTTCTAAAATGGACAATCAACCCGTGGTACAAATTTCTGCAAAGTTCAAAGCAGCTATACAAACTTTTAGCTTACAAGACTTAAAGGTTCATATAATTACACAAACAATTCGATTATTGTACAAATGTATAAATATGTAGAAACGTTACAATTTGTAAATTTTCTCAAATTCTCAAAGTCCCTGCTGGAATCATACCTGCATTTTATCAAGGATGAATCTAACGTAAGTTGCTTCGATTATTACTTACAACTAGAAACTGCAACTAAAAATATATTTCCAGTGGTTTTACGACGAATCTAGTCCCCAAAACGGCGGCCCCCTACATTGGGTACTTGCGTCCCAAGAAACACGACGTCCTAACACCTTCGTTGTGAAGGAAATGCTCACCATCCTCTTGGAGAAAGGCTGTCCCACCGATTTCAGAGACCTTTACGGGTCAACTCCCCTCCACTCCGCGGTCACGAAAGGCTCCTTACCACTCGTCGTTACTCTCTTAAGTCACATGGCCGACCCGAATTTAACCACCCACCGAAAAAAGACGACCCCTCTTCACCTCGTGGCACGGTCAAATGACAGCTCTCTGGACATCTTAAAAGCTCTCATCGTCTTCAATGCCGACCTAAATCTGCGGGATGCTAAGGGAATGAGTGCGCTTCATTTGTTAGGAGAAAATACTGCACCCTGGGCAAGGGAGGGCATCGCAGTAATGCATGCTGTCAAAGCAGCTCGGTATGTAGAATGTGTGCTAATTCTGACCAAATTTTGGTGTCGGATTCAGACTAATGTATCTCTTTGTACTTGTTCTTAAGATGTCCGGAATTTAATCCCGCTCTCTGCTCAAGGGATTGCAAATATGAAGAACCTGACGAAAATGACGAAGCTGGGGACAACGTTGCCAATAATTTAGTAAAAATGCTGAAATGTGACAGGTATTTATGTACTTGCATAAATGTAAAGTTTCGTAAGTTTTAATATCAAATTTTGACTTAGGAAGTCAACCGGAAAAAGAAAGTATCATTTGTTATGCCTGGACGGGGGTGGAATACGAGGCGTTGTACTCACGCAGATGCTCACATGTTTCGAAAAGGTGTTTTAAGTTGGAACAATTATTTTGTCTCAGTTCTTTACCACAATTTAACTCCAGATCATGAACCAAACTACGCAAGAGTACTTTAACTGCATCGCTGGAACGAGTACCGGTGGCATCCTGGGTTTGGGTTTAGCGTCGGGAAAGTCTGTGATGGAATGCCAGGGTCTGTATTTCCAACTGAAGGACAGTGTTTTTAAGGGAGCGAAAGCCTACGGAGTCACCCCACTGGAAAACTTTCTTAAGAAAATGTTTGGGGAAAATAGAAGACTTGATAGTTTGACCGGAATGAGGTGCAAGTGCAAATAATACATTTTGCGACAAAATGCAGTATGTACTTAATATGTATGTGCTCACCGAGCATCTCTCATTCAGAGTAATGGTGACAGCAACGAATGTCACTCAACTGCCCCCAGAACTTCATCTCTTTCGAAATTATCCTACCACCGGACAAACAGACGCGTACGAGGAGACCGATGAAGATACGCTTATCTGGAAAGCGGCCAAGTTAACGGGCGCAGCCCCATTTTACTTTCAGATGGAACACCATTCGTTAGTTGATGGAGGTTTTGTCGCTAATAATCCGACGCTGGATGCATTAGCAGAATTGTCACGGTGTCAACGAAATTTATTCGAAGATGACCATGATTTGGTAAAAGTTATAACATTCTATGTAAATACATATAATATTTATACATAGACCATAATTTTTAAAAAATTCCATGAAAATGAAACAGCTCCCTACTGTCGTCGTGTCACTGGGAACCTCAATTTGTTTGACAGATTGTGGGAGCCAAGGGTTGGGCTTGAACCCTTCGGTATGGAACTTCTTTACTGATCCAATCGGTTTAATAACGAAAGTTCCAGGGTTTTCGAAACTACTATTGGAGCAGGTTTGGGAATATAATATTTGTGCATATTTAGCTTAAATCCTACAATAAATTCTCTATAATCTGGATTAGGTTACGGCCTCTAATGGGCCAATCATTCAGAGAGGTATGGAAATGTGCAATCTTATCGGGTCAAATTACATACGATTAAATCCACAAGTTTCGACCTTGATTGAGTTGGACGAGACTGATGATGCCAAATTAATCAATTTAATATTTGAGACAAGGGTGTACACTTTGAGCATTGCAGACCAATTGAGAACGATTTGCAGCTAATCAAAGACGTATAAGTGAACAAATTATGTTTCGAAACAAATGCATATGTTAAGTGATTAAATGTAAATATGTGATGTCAATCCTTAAACATTTCGTATTAAGTTGTAATACTTAAGTTTTCATTAATTTTTGTCCATGATAGTTTTGAATTTCGACTAAAGAAAAAATATAGGATAGGATATTTTATATTTTTCATAATTCAATTGTTATTTAATAAATCAATTATAAATTATAATCATGTCGGACGTAACTATTCAGGTACTTTAGAATCTCAAGTTTACATAATTAAGCGTCCAACTGCACGTTTCTTGGTATCTTCATAACAGAATTTTTAGAAAGTTCACAGTAATTGTGCAGAATAAGTGAATATTTAAATATGCAAAAATGTTTGCAAACTTTTGCTAAAAATAAAGCCACATTTAAATTTTTAATTGCAGCTAATAATTAATATCCTCCTTAAAGTTTGTCCTCTTCTTTCTCAACTCCAACAATCTCTTGACCACCGGCAGCATCAAGTGCATCAAGTGCAACGTCCAACTCCTTCGTGTAAAAGGCAACCACAATGACGGAGATACACCGAAAGATAAAATTTCCCCAGGTCACGAACTGCTGTTCCGCTCTGTCAACGCGAACAAGTATGGCGAGCAGGAACACTAAGAATATTGTTATCATGATCCGATAACATCTCGTCTTCTTCATTGCATCAACGGGTTCAACGCCCTAAAAATGGAGTCCATTTTATTATTTTTAATTAATTTCACGAAATTTATAAAAAAATCTTTTGAAATATCATCTCCCTACACATGTACCTCGCTCGTGGCGCCCAGAAATCTCGCCGCTGCCAAAATAGTAATCAATTCCACGAAGATGACAACTCCGTAAAATATCTGCTGCTTGGTTACTGAAAACAATTACATTTTTTGTGTCAGCTAATTTGAACTGCATTTATGAAATATGTACCTTCATCACTCTCCACTCTTTCCCAAAGGATATCCAAATCCCTTGTTGAAGGGTCCTTCGCACGCCGCTCCGCAATCTCACGTTTCATATCCTCGTCTCCATACAAGCTTAGACAAATCACTGCCAAAACGGTCACCAATAGGGAGAAAGTGCTCAATATCTTAAAAAAACAATGTAAGCATATCTTCCGTAGTATTATGTACCTATTTATGTACCATGATAGCAATGTACAATTCGATATGAAACCTTACCAAATCAACTATAGCAACAATTTTGGAGGGTTTCCTCCACTTGGAAGGAGCCAGTGGCATTTTTAATGCACCCCAAATACGAGAAATACTGAGATTTGTTACAATTTTACATGTTAATCTCGCAGTTTTCGTCTTTCTCTCTGCTGCAGCTGCATTTATTTTTATTGATCTCGGCATGTATATAGCGTCCCATAACAAAGATGCAGTCGCATTACCACATTTCACTTTCTCCTCGCTGTAGAAATCGCATATCATGGTAATAAAGCCATTGCTATACCCGGGGCGTCTGGAAGTCGGGCAGTCGGTTTCATGGCTTTTACTCAGCTCGCTACTTTCTCCGCATTGTGAGAGAAAGCCTCTGACCGCCAGGGATATTGATCTATCGACAGATGCATAATTCTAAAAATTTTCGTACTTAGCTGAAGTTTTACATTGTTTAAAGAATTTCTACATAAATTAAAATCACATTTCGCAACACGCAACGCGCAGAAAACTGAAACTTGACAAGTTTTCATGCAAGTTTGTATTTGCAAAGGACTTACACGACAAGCTAAATTCACTTGCATATGTAGAATTATATGGATGCATGGAAATCTGCAAATATGCATAAAGTAAATATTTGTTACATAGGTAGGATGTCGGTTAGCTGGATCACAAAAACAACTCGACTGGGATGCAGTTTCATCTTCTATATAGTTACTAAACTATGTTATGTTTAACAAATCACAGATATGTACGTATGTATCTTACATAATGTAAGTATTACTGAGGATGCTTTTAGCAGGACGATTCCAATCATACATATGTATGTAACTTCGCTCTCAATTTTCTATATTCATTTCACGAAATCGTACAAGTTTTCAATACATAAGAACGTAAGCGTCGATAAATACAAAAGTATTGTTTTGGGTTTTGATTAAGTAATTATTAACCCATATTTTATTCGCTGTAGTATTATTAATTTGTTAAGGACGATCTATAATCAAATAGAATATCATCATCCCCCATCGGAATCCACAACACTTGGAAACGAAAAGTATACTTCTACATGAATCTGTCCTTAAGTAGGAAACTCCTAACTTTTTCATTTCTATTTAAGGTGATAAATAATCATGCCTGATCAAGGAGGAACAGGAGGACTTATTGCACTTGCAATAGTTCTCGTCGTCAGTATTTTTACTGTTATATTTACTGGGACACGGGATGAAAACGCAGGATATGAAAATAATCAACGAAGACGTCGGGACTAATTCAAATTACTAGCCTTATTCATTTTGACGAGTCAATCAATTTGTCAGACGCCGCCCAAAATTTTTTCATCGATCGGTTACATACGTAAATATGTGGTATAAGAAGTTGTTATGGATTTATTCATGAATTTTTTCTGCTCAATAAATTACGTGAATACGTTTTCCATTAAATAAAATAGCCTGGTTATATAACATTCATTCCTTTCCTATCTTGCATGTAGAAAAGTTGTCCATATTGTTAGCACAAAAGACCATGTGCATATGAACATACTTCAGTACTGTGTATATACATACGTATATGTACATACTTACATCACATCTTCTAATACTGCACATTATACCCAGCGAAAGTTTACCATCGACCAAATGCAAATCAGACACTAAAACAAACTGAAAACATCCAAATCCCATGGAAAACGTTTACAATTAGCAATTATTAATTCGCAAGTGATACTCCATTCAGTGCAATTCCATGTAGAAAAGCTCGTATGAAAAAGTGAGAAAAGTACATAATTAATGGAAAAGAGGCGAAAATGTAACAGGTGGGTGAATTATTCATAAAAATGGGAGCAAAACTTTTGTAGCATTAAAACTAAATTAATCGTCAATTTGTTTCACAGCACGTCTTACTTGTCATCACGACAAAATCTAGGTGCTACTGATATGGATTGCAAACCGAGCACATCTGCAGCAGCCGGAAAGACAATGGACACTTTCTCCAGCCAATTGACACCATACACTCAGCGCTTTGACGACTTGGAACTAATTTTATGTCCTCAATCATGTTCCTCATGGACGGAATCTTTTTTGATTGGAATTTTTCAAAAACTATCTCGTGCATATGGAGATGATGACGTTTTGGACGTTTCGCATTTTCAGAAACTGTACAAATTATCGGATTCTGACATAAGTGAATTGGTCCAGAGTGCCGATAATTTCCTGACCACTAATAACGGCTCATCATTTCCTACTGTAATTAGTAAAATTTGTGGAACTACTCCTCCAATCAGAATCTACATCAAAACCGTGACTGAGGAAGTAATTTAAAATTAAATTCAGCACTTAACCTTTGATTTATATTCTATTTATATTTAATTTGATATTTATTTTTAGGGATTCCACATCCCGAAGGAAGTCGACAACCCAGGCGCCACGATTTTGACCAAGATAACCATCCTAGATAAAACTATCTATCGCCTCCTAATCCACAAAAGGGAAACTTTCTCTAGCGAACAATCTTACGTGGACGATCTTCTCACAAGGCTGGAAAACAAAGGATTAGAAATCCAGAGCTATTATGAAAATCATGTCAGCCATCTCACCGTTTCCGAGCTTAAAGAATTCCAGTCTAAAATGTGGCACAAGTTGGAACAAGATTCGAACAACGAACCAATTACCACCGTGATTATGAACTTAATTATCTCCCTTGACAATCAAGCGCTTCAAGAGTCAATAAAGATGCTCAAAATCCTGTCCCAATACGAAAGCCAAGGTGACTTTCGTGACCTTGTAGCAGCTCGAGTATCAGAACATTTCTCAGGAATAATTTCCAAGGCTGTGATGGACAGAAGCATTCTACTACTGCATAATTTAGCCAAAGAGAAGCATAACCTGGCCGAGCTGAGGGAATTTTGTTGCACAGAAATTGATCGGCTTGAAAACCAAGGCGGTCAAGAAGATCAATTACTCTGGCAGCGCTTAACATTGAAACTGATTGACTTTAAGCCAAGACTGAAACACGTCATCTACCAAGATAAGACACGTGATAAGATTTTATCCATCTGTGATAAGCTACGTCATCGAGACACAATTCAAACAGGAGTTGACCAACTTCTCGTGATATCGGAAATTAGAGACTCTCAACTTTCTACAAGCTTAAAGGATTCACTTTCAGAGCATGATTTGTACACTATTATTGAAATACTTGAAACCCAAGCCAACCGATTAGTAATTAACAGCCACCCAGAATCAGGCATCCTAAAAATTACCGCGACATGGTTATCGCTCTGCAACGTGGTGACCATTGTCAACAATTATTTGCAAAATAGTTCCAACCCAAAGCTGCACCGGGTTGAGGTATACGTGACAAAGGAGACGCATTTTAACGTAGATTTACCCAAGAAAGTTTTCAATGGGGTCAATCTGATTATTTGCACGAATACTTTGTCCCTCATCGGAAATCAAATTACAATCGACACTTCCGGAAAGGATGGGCTTGTTCCGACACAGGAATTTCAAAAACTTCGACCCGGAAGGGATGGAAGTCCTGGAGCCGACGGAAATCCGGGAGATAATGCAGGCAGCGTTTTCATTCAGTGCGAAAGTGCTGAAGCTGAAGTTGACTTTGTACTCTACATCCATGCAAAAGGTGGTTATTGCAAAATTAATGAAATTATTTGCAACTCGATTTTAGATAATTTATTCATTATTTAAAAAATTGTGAACTTGAATTTTGCCTTTTTTGTAGGTGGGAATGGCTCTGACGGTCTTCATGGTCAAGATGGTATGCCTGGTACGAAGGGTAAAAATGGTGTCGACGGAAATCCCAGCACCGCAAAAGCTCCCGAATGGAGGGAAGTGGAATCCGGGACGCCTGGTGAGAGGGGAATGAAGGGAGGAGATGGCGGCGATGGGGGCCTCGCAGGCGCAGGTGCGTTGATTATCATAAATCAATGATGGGGTTTGTCTAAATATCTTAAATAAATGTACATCATGATCTGTGGCGCAGGTGGAAAAGGTGGCGAGATTACTTTGAAAGGACTTGACAATATCAGAGTGATATGTGACAGCAAAGATGAGAAAAATGGTAAAGATGGCATTCCAGGAGAAGGTATGACAAGAGTTAAAGATTCGACAAGGTATTGACCACCATAAAAAATTAACAAAACATTGTAAACATAGCTGGTCGTGGTGGTGCTGGCGGTGACGGCGGCGCTGTAGATGGTGCTGAAGCTTGGCACTTTCTCAAGGCACCAGAACCAACTATGGCCATATTTCGATTTGGTGTAGGCCGAAAGCCTATCCTACAATTAGGAGAGTTAAGATTGTTCAAAGTTTTTAACGTTGTCTCAAAAGTGGCAAGAATATTCGGCACCAGTGACGGGCGACTGCTTGGATATGACGTCGAAGTGAAACGGTCCCTTCAGGAAATAAAAGCATATCAACACGGTCCTGGTGACAAAGGGAAGGATGGAAGAAAAATAAAGCAGAAAGTTCAACAATCTGAAAATATCGATAAAAAAGTCAACTTGAATCTAGTGAACGAAACATGGACTGCAATTTTAAAGTCAGAAAAGCAAGGCGAAACTTTGGATAGGTTTGTGTTAGAAATAAATATGCAAATAAATATTAACTATGTAAATTAAATGTATTTTCTCCTCAATAGAGAAGCCTTGCATAAAACCATTCACCAGTCAAGAAGTCAACGCGGAGTGCTGAAAACTATGCAGAAAAAAATCAAATTTGCAAACAATTATGTGGGCGAGTATTTCAATCGTGCAAAATCTGCAGTCTGCACCTCTCGAGTCGCTAATTTTTTTGGTGCACAAACTCCTGAGCATAATCAACTTGCTCAAATCCTTCCATCATCAATCTTGCATCGCGACAATGACAGTGATCAAATCTTGACAGAGTTTTGGAATCTGTTGACAATCAATCAAGATGAGACCAAGCTTATCAGCATGCGATCCTTATTACCACACTGGTGCGAAACTCTGTCATACTTGTCCACCAATCAGGATAAGCATCCCTCTGAATTCAATCAAATCAAGAACTACCTGCTACGTCCACTACTAAAAAAACTAGCTTCAAAATCAGACGATGTAAACTCCAAACCTGATGAAGCATATCAAATCCACTACGTCACGAGTGGACGACTCTGTGAAAACGTCAAATTTCTCTTACATCACAAACCAAAGACGTTAAAGCTTGTCGAATTATTGGGTGAAAATATAAACAAAATCGTAGGTCGCTTTTCTAACATTCCACATCTCTTCTCACTCCTTACACTGTGTGATAAGCCATGCAATTTGGATATTCCGATCGACTCGGAAGACTCACTTCTTCACGAATTGACCGAATTGACTTGGGACAAAAAATTATTTTTCCAAGTATTCAACAAACTTTTTACAACTTTTCGGAACGATGTGTCCAGCACGGTGATCGGATGTCAGAAAATGATCAATAGCCTAAACAATAACGATATCAACCTCACCCGCAAGGAATTTTACCTTTTAACTAGACTAGATAAAGGCGTTGAAACTAACTTAACTCTCGATAAGAAAACTTTCCTTGTCGTCATGGCAGCTAAGTGCGTCGATCTGGAACTCAAATATACATCCGGAACAACTGCGGAAAATGAAATGAAAGCATTTTATTTTCCTAAGAATAATAGTGGAAATGTTTACATAGGCGCAGGCGTTGAAGCAAATCGTCTCAATTTCATACTTCCCTTCGTAACCTGTTCAACTGAAGAATTGCAGGCGGTCAAAGATTGGGCGATTTCCAACCAGGAATTATTATCAACAAAGTCATGTTCAAGCTTGATAGCTACGACAGACACAATGTACACCGCACAAACTACTCAAGCTTTCATTACGACAATGCATGAATTCAACATGGATCCGGTATTTATTTCTAAAATTGTACAACTTGATGAAAATCCTCTCATCCAATTGAATTATATCCAAAAGAAAGAAATCTACAACGACTTGATTTCACAGTTTACCACGACAAATTATGACTTTTACGCCATCACATTTTCAAAAATACTTGCACAAATCGGAAGTGAGGCAGACGAGTGGGAACATATTACTAGCGAGGAGGAACACATTTCAGAACCAGTACCAATTATAAACCCTATGAAATTATCATTTGCACTTATGCAATGCAAGACTTCGCTTCAATCTGACCCACATTTTGCTCACAATTTTTTAGAAACCTCACAAAAGTACGCCACCATTATCAAGGATCTATTTGCCTCTCTCGAAACTTACGTTGTGAATGGTCAAATCAGCCTTATTCACCTCAGCTCATGCTACAACGAAATCATTATGGACTATGTTACGAAAGTGAAAACCAACAAGCTCCAAGATCTCGACAAATTCCAAGAAAAATTGAGTCTCGGGATTGATTGGTTTGCAAGCTCGGAAATTATGATGATTGGACAGCCCCCAATTTCAACCCTTCTCCCATCTCATCTACACGACGAGGCAATTCTACGTCAAAGAATTATTGAATACTTCAAATTTCACCTGTTTGCCCTAACACCAACTTTTTTGGAGGATACGCTCACAATTTTCAAAGTTCCTCAGCCCATGGATTCAAATCTTACAAGAAGTATTTCAATAAGCTCCATGGACAATTATGTCTACAACATGCTTAGGTTCGAGCTACAACCAAAATGTTGGGATTTCCTATTGAAATCGTTATCTGGATTGGAAGATAATGACGACATTTCTGCATTCATGGTCAAAATTCAAGAATTTTTCGCAACAAATGTCAATCAGCGAGATGTAAGAAGTGTCCTAGACTTCGTTGGAGTCGTCATTTCATCGCTTACTTTAAATTTTCAATTTTTGAATGAAAATTACATCGTGATACCAACCACAATTCAACTCTTGGAAATCTGCAGCACTCAACTTATCATCGAGTGGACAAGATACTCTGCGCAATTTGGCGTCATGGAGAACTCGAGCACTGACAACCTGAAAAATTTACACAAAATTGTCTCCGATAAGGGAACACAGTTATTGAAGCGGATTTACAAATTCAAGCAAACCATCAACTCATCATCGGAGTTGATAAATTTCTCTTTGCAACGATTGGAAAATATTGTCCGTCTCACCATTGATGGAAATGCGTATGAGAAAATGCAATTTTTGAAGGGTCACATTCTAATAAAAGTCAATAACTTTGGGCAACGGATTTCTAAAGAGTTTTCAAATTTGAAAAAGTTTATGAAAATCTTGCTAGAATCGTGGACAATTTTTAAAACATCAGTCAGTAATGAACACCAAGAACAGGAGGTGATTTTACTTTCAAAATTTCATGAAAAAATTTGGACATTTATTTCAACCTTTGATTCACATCTTACCCAAACTGAAGATAATTATTACATTGAGGAAAAAGTTGTTTCAAAATTCCGAGCCTTATTCGACGACCTTATTCCTAACTTGGAACATCAAAATTCATATGGAAATGAAGTTAATAAGTTTTTTGGTACGTTAGAACTCAACAGAAGGCATCCCACCATGAATGATTTCCGGAAATTCAATCATGTCCCAAACCAATTAGACCAGCTACGTATGGGAATCCGAATTATTATGAATCATTTTTCACTGCAAGATGTTGTCACGTCGTTGCCATGGGAACTGACAGATTCTTGGATTTCAGCAGAAAATCCTACGCCAAAATTGCTCTCATCACTTTTTGCCAACATGAAAAATCAAAGTCCAATTGAGACAGCCAGGAAGGAAGTCATAATTCTAAATTTGATATCAAAATTGGACCCTCGGGACGCCAGGATTTTCGAATTCTTTGAATTTATTCCAAAACTAGACTACAGGAAAACAGTTCTGGATCGCTTATTAAATTGGAAACCAATTACTGCATTGACACTGGACGATATCATAAATCAAATCTATCTGAAAAATTGTAACTTTTGGTGGGATATTTTCACTCAAATCTATTCCTCCTCGTTGATCGCAGCATACCAAAATGGCAAAATTTTGGAGGGGATAGTTTCAAAATTTCTGGAACAAACTGAACCAAATGTTGACCTGTGTAACATAAAATCTTTCCCGGAAGACGAGTTTCTTAACTTGTTACAATTTATCCTGAAACGCTTAATTCTGGATCCACTCACTGACCAGAATTTTGCAACAGTTTTTCCCATTTTGTCCGCCATATTACAGTGCAATCATCAAGATGAGAAATTCATCAATCAACTAACTCTTGCGTTAAACACTACATTTACCAAGGAATGGGTCCAAGTTTTACTTCAAGTAGCCTATGATTCATATTTGAAACGTCATGGACAACAAGAGGGCAAATATTTTAGCGATAACTTAACCGAATTAATAAAATGTTCCAAAGAAGAAAATTCCTTACTTCTCAACATTCTGGGACAAAAGGTTTTCGAAGAACTACAACTTGACGAGCGGAATACTTTAGTCACCCCACCAAAGCAGTTTAATCACATAATTATTTCGTTAACTTCGTACATCAAGGAAACATCTCAAGAAAATATTTCTCTGCTTGGAGAGGACATGATAAAAACTCCAATAACGCTTTGGCCCGAAGTCATTCAGAAATATGTCACCATGTCAAAATGGAAATGTGATAAAGAAACAGCCAAGATTATAACTGACCTAAAAAATAGTTATGATCCACAATTCATAGAAAATCGTCTCCTGCCATTGTTTTGCAAAGAAAGTTTGACTTCAGATGAATCTGAAGTGCTAAGAGACTTATTGAGCCAGGACGGGTCAGAACTTATCTTGTCCGAAGAAGGAGTTGGAAAAGCAACGGAAAAAATTAACACAGAATTGAAACTACGCGATGGACATCGCCTGCCTGACTCGAAAAGGATGGAAAGTATTCGAGATGGTTTTAAAAATGAAAATTCTACCAGTGAAATTGACGTGGAAACAGTGTTCAACATGATGGACATCTCTGTAAATAATGCAGACATCCGGGAAAAGTTACTAGACAATCACAAGCTTCTCGATATGTATAACCAAGTTACAGCTTTCCGGGAAACTTGTGATTCTTGGAATGAGCAACAAATTAAGAACTGGATTCGAGAAAATGGATTCACGTCAAATGCGGAACCACTTCCATCCATCACGGCTAAACTAACCGAGTGCGTCGCCGTTTTGTATCGCGGCGTCGAACTCGTCCTCACATGTGGATCTGCTCCCAACCACCCCATGACCCTCCGCCCCACACAGGTCCTAGCAATTCTAATCTATCTCGAACAAACCCTAAATCGTGGGAGGAGCATTATCGGTGAAATTCCCACCGGCGAAGGCAAATCCGTGGTGGGCGCCGTAATCGCAGTCATCCTAAGTTTGGCTGGTCTTAACACCGATGTCATCACGAGCAGCGCGGTCCTGGCGAAGGAAACATTGGATCAAGTTGCCAAACTTTATGAGCTTTTTGAAATCCGGGCAGCTCAAATTTGCATGGGGGACGTTAGAAATAATACAGCTTTGAGGTCTGCGTGTTACCAACATTGTCAAGTAATTTACTCCGACTTGGCCACTTTGCATAAAGACTTTCTCTCTTCGAAAGGGACAACGTCCATTCTCTGTGGTCGCACTGCAGACCGCGTCATTATCGATGAAGTCGACAGCCTTCTTTTGGACCGAGCCGAAAATGTGACCTACCTCGGACACACCATTCCCGACATGAGATACATGAATTCACTCTATATTCAAATTTACTTGGCAGTTCAGCGGGTGCTGAAGAAGGATGAAGAGTTTCTAACCCAGGAGGACAAATCTGCAAAAGTTAGCTCCATCATTAATGGGCAGTTGAGCCAAGGAATAATCCCGATGCCCAAATACATGACCGAGTTCGTTCGATTAGGTCTCCCCACCTGGATTTCGTTAGCCTTTCAATCCCTCAAACTTATCCTCAACGACAAATTCGTCTTCGCCAAGAGACCCCTTTACCGAGACAAGATCACCGTGATGGATAACAGCGTTGGGGTGGAGCAGCCAGATTTAACGTGGACTCATTTACACCAATTTTTACAACTTTGTCACGGTGAACGGCTGACCCAAACAATGCTAAAGGCCGACTTTATCTCAAATTTGGGCTACTTTGCACAATTTGAGAACCACTTAATCGGAATGACGGGAACTTTGGGGTCCCATGCGGAGCGTAATCTACTCCAGATTTGTTACAAATTGGAATTTTTCTCAATGCCGAGATCTTACCGGAGGAAGATTTCAATTCAAACTCCAATCCTCTGTGACACACGGGATTCTCAACTTGACGAAATCATCGCCGAAATTAAGAAATGTTTAGAAAACGACGGGAGCATTTTAGCCTTGTGTGACACTGTCCTTTTCACACTGGAATTGGGCAGCCGAGTCCAAGCAGAGTTTGGTTGGGACGAATCAATCCGAATTGTCCTGTACACGAGCTCCTATCAAGAACAGCTTTATCAAGATGAGCTCAAATGTGTCGAGAGGAGACGGATAATAATCGCGAGCAACATCGCTGCACGAGGGACGGACGTCGGTATCAGTGGCCAACTTCGGGAGATTGGTGGACTTTATTTGATCATGACAAATCTTCCCATGAGCAAAAGGACCCGAGTGCAGGGGGAGGGCAGAGTAGCGCGTGGGAAAGACCCCGGGAGTTTGCGGTACATTTTATTGAAGGAGAGTGAAGATTCTTCGCCAGACATGGTGACCCAGTTCATCCGACTTGTCGACCAGAAAAATATAGAGGACGCGACCCATCTGAATACTTTTAGACTTCACGTTCTGCAAAAGTTGCTAAAGGAGGAGAACCTTTACGAAAAATATGTCTCTTTCCGAACCCAAGTGAACGACGAATTGAGCCAAAAGTACAATCAGTTCCCAGAATTTGTCGATATTCAACTCGAATTCCTGAAAAATAGGTGGGCATTCTGGTTAGAAGAGATGGACTACAAACCTAACCTTACAGAGAAGCAGGTATTGGAACAGTTTTCAAAGTTCGAGACTGCAATATGTACTACAATTCGTACCGCGAGTCTTATGACGATTGGACTAGCTCAGGGACCCTCCGAGCTGTTAAGACTTGCCAACTATTATCAAAACGTACGGAGTGAGGAATCATATTCTCAAGCAATGACCTGTTTTCAAAGAATCATAAACGAGGATGGGCCAATTGCAGAGATGGCGCTCTACTACCAAGCAACATTACTTCTTCAGCCGAATCCCGACAAATTGCTGACCCGTCGGGTGGCTCTCCATTTATTAAAACAGTCCAAGGCTCTGATATCCCAGCGTGTAAAGGACTCTTGGAATCAGATCAAGTCAATGGAGCACGCGCAATCCTTAGAGTCCCAATCAGGCAGGGGGACTTACAGTAAAGATGACAATTTGAACAAGATCAGACAAGAAATGGAAGTTTGGTCGAGACTTGAACGATCAGTGGATTGCATGATCGGATTCGAGGTAGACTGGGAATATTTGAAGAATGCTACGATAGCAGGTGCGCACCTGGAAAATAACTCACTTAGTCCCGAAGACACCAAACGTCTTGAGCAATCCGTCTCCCAAGTATTTGATAAAATTAGACAAGAATTCAGATCAGACCAAATCTGTCCATTTAAACCTATCCGACTTAACCAAAAAGTCTGCATCGATTCGGAAGATTGCCTCGTTTTAAAGGGGTCACACAAATCGCTTCAACTTGACGAATGGCCAATATCCCTTTCATATTTACACACGGATTTCACAAAGTCATTTGCAAAATACTTGAGAACCCCATCACCAACAAATTCCTGTTCCACTTTGTCATCTCTGAACCTAACAGGTTTTTTCCACACGAAGGACACCTTATGGAATTTAATGAAACTTACTATTTTTGAATCAGAACAAGCTGTGACCGTCCCAATAATTTCTATAAATTTGGAGTCTGTGCAGAAATTTTCGACACTGCGGGAAAATTTATCGTCCCCCCGACAGAAAGAAATTATCCCCTCACTTCTCAAGTTTCTGACAGAAAATAATGGCAAAGTGTGTTCCAATACTTTATTTGAAAAATGCCAGCAATATGGATTCAGTAGAAGCGAATTCGGAGAAATTATGCCAATTCTTGGTCAAGTTGGTTACATTGAAGAAATTTCGACAAGATGTGCCATCCTCAAACCGACCGTTTTTTATAATTCCGAATCAGACAGTTATCTGGGGATACCTACAAAATTAGAAAAATTCCGTAAAATTTTAACCCCCTGGTTTTCTACCGACCTTCTCCTCTCCCAACTTGATCTCGCAGATACCGTACCTCTTGCAGAAATGGAATTGGAAATTTTCCTACTTGAAAAAAATATCTTAAAACCGGAACGATTTCAAATTCCTCTCGGTGATAATACCGAATTTCAGAAACGCCTAAAAAAATGTATTACCAGAAGCGTGCAATTGATCGGATCAGAATATTTCCCTGGAAAGGAAAACTATGCGAACACTTTGTTCCTCTCTATCCTCAAAAGTTTTGGACTACTACGAACTAAAGGGAAACTAAGGCTCAAAATGACCCCAACTATAACCACGCTTTTCGAAGCGGATTGGTACCGATTTGCCCACACCTTGGTACAATTCGACTCTTTCGGGGTGACCCATGTAATCAAGTGCAATATGACCGATTCCTGGTGGCAAAATCCAAGATATATTCAAGCTGCTGTGCCAGCCATCAATTTAACGGCGATGGGGATCACCTTTGCTGTGATAGGTGGCGGTGCTGCCATGGGTGCAGGACTTCTCGGGTTTCTCGTATCGGTTGCCGTTGCCAAAATTAATAATGAGTTGGCACTTTTCTCGGAACAATCATACTGGCATTCGGACACGTGGAAGGATGAAGAGAGATCCAAGTTCTACAAGAATTTGCTCTTAGAGAAGAGCGTTTTCATCTTGATCGACTTTTGCTTCTCTGGAAATTCCAAGTCTTCTCAAACTACCAATTCAAAAAGATCCCTTCCATTCAAGGTAGTGTCATCTCTTGCCCCAATAATGCCAGTGTTGTGGGAGGTCTTGGCATTAACGGGGACAATCATTGATAGCGATTGGATTCAAGAGAAAGTTGTGGGTCTAGCAGAGAAACTGATTGTTTCGCGGTTTATTAGTAAGCTATTTGCCGGATTGGAGTATTCCGAGGTTTGTGAGGTGGTACGATGTAACGTCATCCTGACAGAGGTTGACGTTCAAGAGTGCTACGACCTGGCGAGAGAGGATGTCCTGCAAAGTGCTGAGGTCAAGAGAACAATTTCTGCTGCAAGACACGCGACGGAACGTGGATTTCGAGAAGCTGTTGACAATCTGAAGGCCGAGTTGCCTCGATTTATGTCCAATTATCTCACCTCATTGATAGAAGGAGAGAGTACCGGGCTGCTTGCTGAAAGTGCGCATGGATTTTTGGAATCGAGGCTCAAATACAAACTGGGAGCAGTGATTGAACAAATTGATAAAGTTGGGATAGCTATTTTACGCAGAATGAAGACCTTGTTGCACGAAAGGGCAAGCAGTAGAACTCCACTCGATGAAATTAGTAAGTTTAACTTATATTGTAATCAAACAATGCAAATTTTTTAAGTATGCTAAAACTTTATGCAAATATTCCAGTGGATAGGAACGATGGAGAATTGGCGAGGTGGAGGACTTCATTCAAAGATAGTTTTGTGTCCTTCTTAAAAACTCCAATCATAGAAATATTACAGTCAACGACAGACTCATCAATTTTGGAGGATAATTCTTCCACAAAAAATTTTAGATTGTCCCAACAAGAGCTGACGCGGAATATTTATGCAGAACTGCAAAAACTGAATATGGTAAATAAGTGCATCTTTAATAATGTCGAAAACACGGAACTGCCAATTTTCTACATTATTTATTTACAGGGTCAAGAAAATGAATTGGACGAGGACAATAATTTAAATGAAAGCGAAGAAATTATGACCAGTGATGCTTGATTCATTGAAAGGAAAGATGTGATTTGAGAATTTATTATTATGTACACAAGTGTGTTAGTGCCATTTAAAAACTATAATTGCATTTGCTTATACTATACTACGTCAACTTTATTATATACGCTTAAATCTTAATACACATATTGAATCATTTATTACCTCCTAAATACGTATAAATAAATAATTTTCTAATAATATTCATCTTTATACTTCTAACCAAATATGCAAAACAACCCCCTTTTTCAATTCTAATCTGTGAATGACTGATTTGTTTATATTGTGTTGTTATTTCAAATTTTTATGTTTATGCTTGATGAAGCTGACTGGGTAATTGAAGGCTATCAATTTTCAAATAAATCACTTATATTGTCCCCGAATACCGCAGACTGACTATAAATATTAATAAATAAATCCATTTATTTAGCACAAAAGCACTAGAAAAAGTGTAGGACATATGTATGTACACATGTATATGAAAGAATAACAGAATTATGCAATTCGTTTTACGACTTTGCTTGTTCATTTTATTCCCATCTTTAATTTATGAACATGTATAAATATATGTGGATACTATTATTTGAAAATTGGCGTTTCTATGTATTTATATAAATTAAAACTAAACATGTAGGAAAATCAGTTTTGAACTTAATTAACGCTTGGAGTTATCCCATTTAACAAAAAGCGGATAATTACAACGCAACTCAGACCTGTCAAACACGAGTAAATTTGGGCATTTAAACGAATTTTTGACCCCATTCATGCAGCCGAAGAAAGTGTCACATTTCGTTGAATTCGGGTCTGCATAGATTCCATTCGGTTTATTTTTGTAGGTGAAATTGCAGACGACCAAGTGAGGAAAGTTGCACTTTAATTTAACCGGATCAAATAAGAGTTCTTTTGGACAAAGATAATCCGACCCCTTCCCAGCCAAGCAGCCAAAAAATGCTTTGCAAACATCTGGATCTGGATAGAATCCGTCCGGCTTTTTGGCACAATCCGCACTTATCGGTATGGAAGTCGTGGGTGTTGTCGGTGTGTCGGTGGTGGGTGCGGTCGTCGTCTCAGTTTCATCCTTCCGAAGCAAATCAATATAATATATGTCATCCAGCACAGTAGTGGATTCCACCAGATTTGTGGTTGTATTAAACCGTGTCAGTGCTCCTCCCAGGATGTAGATGCGATCCAATTTGGGAACAAAAATGGTCGCAGGTCGGTCAAGTATGGTCCCATTTTCTACTCCGGGAAGATTTTGTACCGAGATATTACCAACTTGACGTGTGGTATAGTCAACTTGCAAAATGCTTCCATTTGAATTAAACCCGCCAATAATGTAGCCTGCTCCTCTCTTGTCATCCGTTGCGGATGCTCGCATGAACCGCGTTATCCCGGGAAAATTTGAAAAGTATACAATCCTCGAAGTATCCGTGCTTGGATTATACTCGAGAATCGGGGCTCCTTCTAATGTGGGGGCAGCAGTATTGTTTGACGGGCGTGGTTCAGTACCAAATATGTAGGCGACTTCCCGATTTTTATCGTAAAGGGCTGTCCCCGTACTGTAAGAGATTGACAGGTCGCGCAGTGTGGTCACCGTGGCCATGCGAGGGTTAAAGCTAATAAATACAAAGACGTTTCAGAAAGCATGTGAACGGCTTCAGGATGAGGGACCTATATCTATCTCTATGTCTAAAAATAACCGATTTATTTAAAATTTATTAATGGCCACTAGTCCATTCACGTAAAATTGCTAAAATAAATTTACAATTTGGTACCATATGATCGAAAAAATCAATTTTTCTTTCAGCTAATAAAGCGAAATTGCTCTAAAAATGGCATGAAAAAATTACAGAGCAGTAAAGTTTCACATACATGCACATAAATACACATTAATTAATATTTCAAATACAGATGAAACCCACTCCGATGGTACATTGAGACTTGGGTCAAAATCTTTAAAAATATTCTTTAAGTACCTCACCTGAAGAAAGACTTCTCCAGTCTTCAGTTTATTAAATTAGTTTGGTTTGGAATTATTATTGTATGAATTTATTTTAAGTGCAGATTTTACGTGGGAATAAATGGGTACATTTACTTAAATTTATAGGAATAGAAAAAATGCTGACAAAATTGCAAATATCGGTATTTGTAAGATAGCATATACATTAGTTAATATATAAGTTTTTCCTACAGTATCTATCATGTCGACACGTGTGTCCTACTTAAACAACGACCAAGTCTACTCTATGTTTTCTCCCTCCGAGAGGATTCGAGAGATGTTTGAACAGGATTAAGGGTCAAGACGACCCAGAAAAGCTTGCCAACATTAACCCTGTCGGATATGCACACGCACGTAACATCGAATCTTTCTGGACAAATAAAATAACAAGTAGATATGATGTTCTTGTGAAAGAGAGGTGTTCGTTTTATTAAAGATTTTACATTGAGTGAACCTAAGTTAACAAATTCGAATTATTGAAGGTATCTTTCATAAATGCCACAGTTACTACTTATGATAATCAAACATTCAAATCAAACTTTTCCTATGTATGTACATACATAAAGAATCATTAAATAAAGTACGCATTAAGTATGCGAGATATAGGTAGGTTGATGTACGCTCACAATGGGACCTTTTTTCAAGCTACACCGGGATTGACTAACGAATTATATCAAAAAATCAAGCCAAAAATTAGGAATCACATGGCGCTTATCGTTCCGCCGAATGGTCCCTCTGAAAGAAAATTATTAGGGGTCAAAGTTCGCACGAGCGCCTTGGTTTTCGCCCCGTGGAGGAAAAAGCAAGGGAAAATTTGCTCAAAAATTGAACTTAACCGCCAATATTTTTCTTCAAAGGGGCCATTCAACGGAAAGATAAGTGTCACGTGACTCCTAATTTTTGGCTTGATTTTTTGACATACCTCCTTAGTCGATCCCGGTGTAGCTTGAAAAAAGGTTCCATTGTCAGTGTTATGTAATGTTATGTATATGTTTTTGTAACTTCTTTTCGAGCAAGTAAAGTAATCAGAAAAGTTGAGACAATGTAGTGTACTTTTTCACATTTCGTAGATCCATACCTCGAATATAAGTACATCCAAATGGCAGTATATTTATTTAAATATGTCAATAATATTTATAGCACATAGAAGAGCAAATTCATGCATAGAACGCCTACAAGCGACTACTCACCATTACGCCCAAGTGAAATTACTTGTTTCATACATTTAGATCCAAACAATTTAAGTATCCACCTTCAAACTTAAATGCAAATGCATCCTGTCATAATTCACCCCCGAATCGACACATTCTCGACCACATCCTCCCGTGTACGCGGTAGAATTGCCACACGTACTCTGAAGAGATCCAACAATTTCTCCTTGAGGAGAGGGTCGACCACCCACATGGCGAGCATGGGTCCGAATGCGATGTACACGTAATATAAGACAAATCCTCCTCTGATCAAAATGTCTCGCAGATACATTGCAGTCGATGGTTCCTCATAATGATCCAGCCAAATTGGGTCCACCAACATCCGATCGAAGGTAAGCAGCAGCCCCATCGGTACCCAAATGAAGATGAGCACAATGCAATAATTGCAAAAGTACCGAACTCGTCGCAATTTCTCGTCCATCATGTTGTGTCCGATTTCGGAGACCTTAAACAGAGAATATGCAGATATGTAAGTTTCATTAACTTAGAAACAGTTAAAATGACATGATAAGTTATTAAATAGGAGTGGACCACCTCTAATAATTTTGATGAACACAAACCTCAGCGTCTTTACCTGTTGTAATTTGATCTTCAACAACTTATCGCAATACTCGAGCAATACTGAAATAAATATGAGGATCTTTTATTAGAAAATTTGTTAGAAAATTAATCTTAGCAAAAAATATTGGCTGGGTTACACAAAATTCGCGATTGTACTTATATTTTCTACAGTCCAAATTCATGTGTCTATCTTATGCATATTTTTATATTTTATTATCATTTCATAAAGCAAATTTCACCATAAGCAAATACGTGAATGAAATAATGAATTTATGCCTGATGATGATCCGCTGTAAGCGATCGAAAGCTCGCAATAATCAATAAAATCAAGTCAAAATGTCCTCAAATAGTACCGTCCAAACCAATTTAAATAAGCAAATACGTTAATGTATCCCCTTACCGACCAAGGTATGACAAGGAGCAACACCCAGGAACAAAAATCCCCTCATAAATTCCGCCAATGTCAGCAAAATGTTCCCTCGAATTGGTACCTGTCCTCCCAATTAATAATTAATACACAACCATACATATTTATTAATCAATTTTAAATGCATCGAATTAATGTAACTATACAAGTGTCCGACCTCTGCACAGTGCTCAATCACATATTCATCATACTCGGTCTGGGTGAAGTATGTCAAAAAAACCTCGTAGCTTGCCCAAGATACATATATAAATACAAAGTATGTAATTCCAATTTGTGAACGTTGAGTGGACTCAAAAGACTGGGTTTTTATTTTCAATTTCAGCACAGCAAAGCTCCAATCCAATACACATTATTATTCAAAGGGGGAAAACCTTTCCGTAGTTCCGTGGTAACGGCACGAAACCACTTTCAGTTCTTAAACCAACCCATGTGCTTAAGTAAATAGGTATGAAATTCATACATAGTGGCGTTATTGAACTACAAAAGTAAAATATTTCAAAACATCTCAATGTTTTCTAACGTATTTTGTATTTACATGTTGATGTTATTAGAAAAGCACCCTTATCAGGTAGTATTTGCAGTGTATTGATGAAAGTAGGTGGAAATGTGTATAGGTGTAAGATGTCCAAATTGACAAAATTCGTAATGCTATTTGTTGTTAAAATTTCGAAAAATATAACACTAAATTACATATTTCTAATTAATTCTAATGCAAATTGTATCCAATAATTAGCCAGAAGTGAATATTGCAACGAATTCCGTTATATTAGTGCGTATAAATAAAAGGTTTTTGCACTTGGGGGGCTGCTTGGTGATCAATTTTTGATGTTAATACAATACCCATTTTCGCTCAGAAAAGAACTTAACCATACCGAAATACATAAAATTGAACAATGTCTATAATTATTTTTAAGACAAAGCACTTCCTCTAGTTATAACCTGGCATATGACCCATTGTTTGCTCGACCCTGTGTTGCATGCGTCAGATGCATTTCCACAGCTGAAGAATTCAAACGCTTGCAATGAAGGGAAGTCACACCCTTGCCAAAAGGGTTATCTTAATCCTTCTCGTGGCAGGATTTTTCCAAAGGGGATCTACAACTTCGCATGAGGATACTAAGGTCGTCCCTAAGGGTAGGTCAAAAAAGCATAATTTGCATATTAAAAAAATATAAAAATCTCGGCAGGATGTGTGAATAAGACAGGATGCATAAAATCTGAAAATGTGCACATACTTATGTCCATACATATGTATGTATTTACGTCACTAAATATGTACATATGTCCCTTGTGGGGGTGTTCACGACGACTTTGCAGCACAATTTTTGTGTAACTTAGAAAAGATTTCAATCAATTTTTAAACTTCTTCTTAGATTTTGACACATTTACGAACTTTGTATTAGCAATGATAACTCGTCGTGATTGCCCACAGCGCGCTGCAGCGTACTTACAGGCATGCAATTACTGGATACAGAATTTTCTTAGATTATGGCACTCCTTCAGTATAAAATTTTCAATAATACTTATCAATACTCTTTTATTTTAGAAATTATCAGCACATGCACATTTAGGAAATAAATGCATAAATTATTGTTTTTAGCTTCAGAGGAAGACGCTTCATGCAGTAGTAGCGAGGAGACAGATAAAATAACGAGTGAATCAAATGAAGAAAATACAGAGGAGGACTTTGTTGATTCTTCTGAAGAACGACGGCCCAAACGGAGACGTAAATTCTATGACGTTTCAGAATCATCCTCAGTCAGTAAAAGTTCTAGTTACGAAGACCCGAAATTTAGGCGACCACGACGGGGACGGAAGGATGACCGGAAAACGGAAGTCAACGTGAATGTCAAAGTCTCTGCTCCAGAGCATCATTATCATCATTATCATGACAGGAGAAAGAGGCCGCGCTATGGTGGGGGTTGGGGGGCTGGTGGCAAAAGACGTAAGGATGGCGGTGGTAAAAGAAGGACAGATGCTGATCGAAAGCGTAAAAATCGTGGTGGAAATAAGCACCACAAAGGAGGAAATGGAGTTGGAAGGGCGTTTGGCCCCAGAAAGGATGATAAAGGAAAAAATGGGACAACAGTTCCCGATGTACCGATAAACGAAAAAGCACCGGAAGTACTGACAAATGAAAAAGCACCGGAAGTACCGACAAATGAAAAAGCACCGGAAGTACCGACAAATGAAAAAGCACCGGAAGTGCCAACCAACGAAAAAGCACCGGAAGTGCCGATAAATGAAAAAGCACCGGAAGTGCCGACAAATGAAAAAGCGCCAGATGCATCAATCACCGAAAAAGCACCCGAAATGCCGATCACCGAAAAAGCACCGGAAGCACCAATCACCGAGAAACCACCTGATGCTTCAAACCCTAACCCTACCACCCCTTCATCCACCGGAAATGTCACTCCTCCTCCTCCCACAGACAACCAAGCCGTCACGCCTCCGTCCGACTATGACGGAGGAAATTCGACCCTTGACTATCCCGACTTTGGTGACAACAGTACCGTCGACTATCCCAATTACGACCCCAACGCGACAGAAGACCCCACGATGGCTAACAGCACCATGCCACCAGATTACTACGTTGACGACGGAAATGATGGGAACGGAACTTCCAACTCAACCGGCGGAGGGGGAAAGAAACGTAAAGGGAAGCGATGGTGGCGCTGGTGGCGTAGATACCGTTGGAAAAGTGGCAAAGGAAAGAAAAAGGGGTTTAAATTCGGCGGCGGGAAATTTAAAAACCAAGGAAAAGGAGGCTGGAAGCACAATAATGGGAACGGGGTCAGCGTCGGACATAAGGTTGCAGAGGGCGCAAACAAAGGTAATAAAGGTCCGGAGTCTCCACCGGGGAAGCGTAATTTCTTTAAAGACGCCAAATATGCGGCGAAGGAGTCCGCAGCGATTGGACGGGCAATGATGATGGGTCCACCAAAGATAGGTTTGTGATACTTCTTTAAATATTTTAGTTTTTTTTATTTCTTGCAACCTATGTATGTAAATAATGCTAAACTTTTATCCAGGAATGCCATTTGGTCATTTTGGGGGAGGTAAGAAGGGAAAAGGATAAAGACGCGGAGTCCATAAGTTGACGAATCAGAATTAGTATCTGGATCAAAAATAATGCAATGTAAACCATGATAATTAAAATTTAACAAATACATATGTGGTATATTTAAATAAATGAATTTTCCAAAATTTAATTTATTGATCAACTCAAAACTAAATATAGCTTAATATCCATTCATAAATACCTAATTCAATCTGAGACCAAGAATGTATCCGCCGAATACATATTATGCAACAAAATACGTAATCATTTCCTAATGCAATTATACTGTAAATTGTTTAATTCCATATGCACAATGGATCATTTTAAATAATTCATTCATACCTAAAAATTTTATTAACTGAATGGCGTTGTGTACCAAAGAGCCAAATACAACGCCAATTTGATCGGCAAAATATAAATTCATACGAATCCATAATTTTAATTTCAATAAGTAAACAAGTATGTACATATGTGCTCAGTGGTTTCAACATAAAAAGCAGATACCTAAAACATAAACTTTGGCATAATATATGTACTTCAAACAAATCCCTAAATGTGCTACACTTAATTAATAATCTCAAGAAATTTTAAGAATTAAATTAATGAAGTATGCTTGTAACTCTCATCAAAAAACTTTCCGGCTGGAGAAGTTATCAACCTTGAGCGTACAGGAACTTATCAATATGACGAATACTTTGTCAACACTATTTTCGATCTCTATATCTCTCCAAATACACATTGTCATTGGACTTGACCTTGGGACGAGTATCGAACCTGTGAGTGAGTACTTCTTATGTATATACTTCTGAACAAATTGTACCAAATTTCCTGTATCCACATTTCCAGTTGGAAGATTTGACCCACAATCAACAAATTCCGGCATTAAGAAAGATAATTAAAACAAGTAATGGCAGCGACTTGCTACTCGAACCTCAAAATGCTTTAAATGTGGACCATCTTTCGGGTATAATTAAAAACCGAGGTAATTCCACAGTCAGTGAAAAACTTTTTTCTGTATATTTTAAACGAATTTCGAAAATTCAGTTTTTCATGAAATATTAATAAATTCTCCTTCTTTTTTATAGATGTTTCCAACTTGAAGCTCCTTCAATCTCTACGTCCTCCTAAAACTGAGCCCTATTTATCCACAACTTCCAAATCTACTTCTAAGGATTACTCCGACAGCAGTGAGGAATTGGTGACGACGACAAGAAAACCAGCCCCAAGAAAATCAAGCAAAACAAATCAAATCATAAGAAACGATTATAAAATACATCCTGAAAAGAAAAGGGAAAATGAGACAAGTTCTCAAACGAAGGGCAAGCATAGTAACACAAACGTCCCTACGAGAACTACGATGAAAAGAACGACTGCATCGTCATTAAATGTTTCACATCATCAAGTAGGAAGAATGATACTCAGGCACGAACCTACAAATGAACCTGCATATACCAAAAAAGTCTATGGAACCACCCCCCGTCCAAGTAATGGTGTTACCCAGAGTTTAAACTATACTCTGTCACCACAAGGATATTTTACATCAACCACACCAGGCAGCACCAAAGGGTCACAATTGTTACGTCCCAATGCATCAATAATGCGAGATTCTGGCACAGAAAAATTGTCAGAATTGCGTAAAGCGTCAACACTCAGGATTGAATCCTCGCCAATTTATGAGACTGCATGGCCATTGATACTAAAATTGAAGCCTACATCAATTCCAGCAGTTGTTACCTCCTCGACGCCGCAAATTGTGACATTTGTGACCCACTCAACGCCGAAAAGCGTTACCAACTCAGGATCACAAATTATCACTCCGTCAATCCCACAAGTTGGTACTTTAATTTCGACAACAGAAATGATAAACAATAGTGAATTTGAAATACGCCAACCATCCGAATCCTTTAACCCTTCTCAATTCGAAACTGCGTCTACAATTCCAATCGTGCCTTCCACTTACCCCCCAGCGAGTAAACCTCCTACATCGTGGCGTACATCCCCTATATTTTATCTTGTGACTGCCAACCTTCTTTCTCAACTACAGTTTCCACTGTCAAACCTTATACGTCAATTTATTCACCGGCTGAAAATTACACAAATCCAGTGACATTCGCTGGAAATTTGGAATCTAAATTTACTCCGCCTCCACCAACTCCACCTCCAAATAATATCCCAATTATCACCATGAATCCAACTGTAAAATACAACGGGAGAACATGGCAAAGGACGGGAGTAGCTTTAAATGATACGAGTCGTGTGAACCCTTACATCATAAATTTAAGTGATAAGAGGCCGGTAGAAATTCCGTTAATTTCTACGACAATAGCGAACATTAACAAGTCTCATTCACATTCAGGACTTCGGTGCCACAACAAACGGAAGAGCAAGTTTCACTATAATTTTCCCCTGTCAACTCCTAAATGTCGTAATTGCAGAAAAATATATAATCCAAGATACCATAACAAGCAAAAGCAGAGATCAAAACATCGAAGAGGTCGGCGTCATCAAGAACGACGTCATGTATGGAAGAAACGCTTTTTATACTTATCACATCCAAATGCAAATCTGGGCAGAATTAGGACCGATGTAAAAGTTTCTGTTAAAAATTATTGATTCTAAAATTAAAACGCAATCAAAACTGATGCGTGAATTATACGGGATATTTATATAAAAAAGTAGAATAAATATTCTGAAGCAGGGATCTTATGTATAAAAAAACTATGCTATGAACAAGTGAGTATAAAATAGGATAATATTTATTAATATGTATTGTTAAATTTCTAACCGATCTCAAAGTCACTGAATTTCATAGTTTATGGCAAATCATTCTACATAGTGCACCCACAGGTAATCAATACTTCTTCCTTCTTAAATTACTCTCAGAACACAAAAAGCAAAACATTAACAAATAGTAATACTTAAGTCAGTGATAAATGTATCTACATTACAAAAACTTTCACGCACGAAGGATTTAGTCAGTAATTTAGACATACACATATATTTTACTTACCTAAAAATATCATGGAAATTCATATTTATAAATTAGTATACTATCTGTAACAGTCTCTGGATAAACTACATACATGTGTAACTAACTAACTAAATACGAATAGGAACAGTGCTTTCGTCTACCCACGTATTGCCGGTAAGGTGGTGAATTTAGTAAAATTATTTATTTTCGAAGTATACAAACAAACGATGTCCTATATTTACTACTTATGAATAGGCGTAACGATTTGGTTTATCTGTCAACTTGATACTTTTGCAGAATATACACAGTTCCTCACATAAATTTCCTCAACACATTAATCCAAAATTGAAGCTTTAGTCGCAACTTCCTCCTATGGCATATTTTCAGTCGTTACTTCCTCTTCTGCGACTGGAAGTTCACCAACTGGCCCCTCTTGCCCCCCAGTTTCCACTGCGGCTTCCGACACCTCACCTGCATAACCGGGTTCTTCAGTGGCGACATAACCACTTTCCGTTGTGACATATTCACTATCGCCACTTGCACCCGTGGTAACGCCCTCCCCTCCTCCTATCCCGTTACTCCTGCACCCACGTAAGAGGCACACGACCGATCCAAATGCCCCTTTCGCAATTGTGTACACCTTCGTCGCTGCGCCATTAACTTTATTTAGAATATTGTTCCAAAAGTCAATCTTTCCGCCTTGAGCGTTATGAAAACTTGGGACGTCTTGTCCGTCTGTGGATTAACAGCGTTATCAGATTTACGCAAAAATTAATTCTACGTACATACAGTTCGGGCTCGCCATTTTGAGCATGTTAAACTCATCATCATAAGAAAACGCGAATTTCTCATGGAACTAGATTTACCTAGATAACTTAATGTGTCCATAATAGTAATATTTTTTTAGAAAATGACGTACCCTGGCCCTGTCCTGGAGGGAAGACGTCTTCCACAGAACTTATTTGTTCGACGGATTTCTCTTCGTCTGATGCAAGAGAATCGCCCCTCGTATCACTTCCATCGTCCTTCCCCTCAGCTTCGCCACTCACTTGCTTACTTTGCCCACCTGACGTGAAAATGTCAAAATTTTGGTCAGCAAAATTCACGAGTATGGCATTTTCAAAATTTTTAAAAATTATTTTTGAATTACCTTCACTGCTATCCAGCACATTCCCACTTATAGGTCTGGAATGCTGTTCTGACTCATTGGGCGCATCTACTGCAGAACGTGATCGCCTATATTCAGGTCTCCGGTAAAGCCAAGACGATCTCCCGTCCACTAATTTTTAACAAGATAAGATCTTTCACTTCGGCAGGGTTTTTAAATAAATTCAAATCATGCCACGACCTACCTGACCCCATAACACCCAAAGCTGCTAATAGCATTGCAATTAGAAAGCACTTTCTGCTTGAAATGACCCACATTATTAATCTATGAAAGTAACAAATGCTAACGTATAAACTTTCCCCTGCAAAACAAAGGACTGTGTATGTAAATATGTCAAGTGTTGGCTATCATTCAATATTTAGAGAACAAATCGATGCGATTGCCCTTTAAATGTAATTTACCACATGACAAACAACGTTTAAATTCAGGGTTCTAGTTCCGCATTGGGTTTTCAATCAATTAACAATTGTCAAGTTTGGATCAATTGAGGTCGAGCAATTTTAAATGAATCGAGAGGTAAATAAATACTAAATATATGTATAACCAAAATGCATTTTTAAACAGGTAGACAATGTGTATGGAGAAAGTGGTGTCGATTTTAGCGTTACAATCATAATGTACATATGTATGCTAAAAAATACCCTTGAAATTTTCAAAATCATAATTTTGCAAGTTGAGAATAAATTGCAATTTATATTTTGCAATGCCTTAAAGTAATCTTGAAAATGCACTCAACAGTGGGTTAGTCATGGATTGGAAATAAATTGTCTCGTTGTTCGAAACACTTGCTATGATTGATAAATACTTTTACTTTTCGAATTTTTTCTGAACTCATACAAATGCATTTTCAAAATATCTAAATAGGTCGAAACTGTATATTTCACATCAATTTAATAACTACAAAACACAGAATCCAAAAATCTGTTTATGCAACAAATATATAAGTACAAAAAAATTTACGTTATAAATGAAACATATCTCATCTTCGTTTGGATATTTACCTCGCCATGAAACTGATTCTTTTCTGGTTTTAATTTAACAAATTTGTATCGTAAAGACCCCAACCTCGCTTTCAAATCATCAATATCGTTTTCCATCATGATTTTCAAATCCAAAAATTCATCTACTCGAGGCGTATGAGTGAGCATATTTTCATACTGCCATATTTTGATAAACCCTTCTGTCACGTAAGAACTACTATTTTTCATAATTTCATCTTGGTCATTTAACTTTTGTCTGTCCTTTACAAAATCATCCCACGGTTTTCTAGCACGTTTTCCATCCTCAGACGCTGTCAGGGCTTCGTAAAAGGTGGGATCTTGCGTTTTTATATTGTCTAAAAATACGCGATCGTCAATATCGCTTTCGTCCACGAGTAAAATTTCCCCACCGCCTTGTTCCTGCTTCATCTCGAGAACTGTGTTGTACTCCGAGAGATAGAAGAGGTTCATGTCTTCTCTGGTTTTAAATCCGTTCGTGTAAAATATTAGCAAGTCGCGCAAATTAATTAAATCTCGGAGTAAAAGGTCAGTATTTTCATTCGGATTGGACACGTGGTTGTATTGGTGGTCGATTAGATATAAAGCAGAGTTCCACGTGGTAACATCAATTCCTTCGGATCGGAGCGAATCTATGGCTTCAGTATTTTGAAGAATCTGGACAAAATCGTACAGTGCTTCTTCTAACTCGTCGGTTTGGTTGCGTTGGGCGACTATAAATCCGGAAAGCTGAAAGTGTACATTTAAAATGTCATGATTTTTTTACTTTCACAATATATAAGGTGGAATTAGTTTTACTTTGTGAGACCAAATTTCAAATTTTGTAGGAAATTTTAAAATTGGATTGATATATTTTGACTAATAGAATGGACAAGAATTATTTTATTTTTCTCATTACCACAGATTCTAGACCTTCTAATTCCTCCTGCACTTCATCCAGTTGGGCGAATGATGTTGCAATGAAATTTTCTGGTCCGCCTGGTATCTTGTCATGCATTTTTTCATACTGTTGTAATTGTGCTCGCAAACTGCTCAGCCGATCCTGAATTGGGGTAAGCCCCGATTTGATAAATATCCTGAACGGATCGTTTTCATAAGCCATTTGTAGCTAAAAATATAAATTGTAAAATATTTAAAGCGTTAATTGTCATGCTTTTTTTTGTCACAATAACTTACAATTATAATTTCTGTCACCAGAGCGTCCACCACTTTAAATTGGGACTCAAAAATGTGGCTCGCCTTAATTTTATATGGTCCTTGTTCTTCATTAGTACTTGCAAAATGTGTTACAAAATGTCCACCCAACAATAAAATTACAATGAGGAAGGCGCCGACAAGGGCGAATTCACAACTTGTGGGTTTTTTGCCAATTTTTCCTTGGTTCCTACCCTCCCTTAATATCTGTTTTCTCTTAAAATTTTTATTTCTTTGCATTGCAAATTAGTGTTCAATTATTCAGCGTCTATTTACTTAAATCTGTAAAAATGTAAGTGTTGATACATAATAGTGATTAAATTTTAAATTTGTACTGAATTTTCTGAATTCTATGTAAAAGTTCATCACTAATTCTCAGCTGTGGTGAATGTTGAATGTTTTAATAGGATTTTAGGAAGGAGGAAAGAGAAAGCACGGATATGAGAGAAAGAATTTGTACGTGTGGCCAGTATTGATCTTTTCGAATCAGTTGCTTGGGTGAAAGCAACAAGTACATATTGATTTTTTGTAGATTCAGCTATGCAGAACTTGACGGGTACTGTTATGAACAGAAATTTCATGAATGCTTACTTAAATAAATCATATATAGCGCATATGATGTAAATACCGAAGTTAAATTAAAGATTATAACTTGAAACGGGTATACATATTTCACACGCTTTGTTAATAACGTCACATCTAAATAAATACTTTAGTGGCTTTGTTTATTTTATGTATCTTTACGATTTGTGGAATTAATCCCCTCATTGACAATTAATTGCTGATAAACCAACCGAGCGAATAATAATGATGACTCGTAATTACAAGTAGCATCATCTGAATTTCATACTAAATTGCATACTAAATATTTACATATATTGCATTACATAATAATCTCATTGAATGCTTAATTGACGGATTTGTTCAAATCTATATATCCACTTCATTTAGATTATACATAATCTTCACTTTTTTAAGTATTTCTGGGTATTCTTTATCTTTCACGATCCATCACTTGATTAATTACTGTCCACTTCAAAGACAATTGAATTCCTAAACATAAAGCACATATGCAAGTATATACGTCAACCCTGTGACATATACAGCATGTATGCATTTTATTGATGTTTGGTAAAAACGCCCAGTTTGAAATTCATCTCCCTGTCAGCGTCTTCTCCCTTCTTTTCAGATAATAATGTCGCTACCGGATGGGATACGAATTACAACCACAAATTTCACAGAAACGCTTCCCTGGTCAGAATATCTTGTTATTGGAACAGTTATCTTGTCCTCGTTAAGCATCGGAGTTTATTATGGCTGTTTTGTTCCTGGGAATACAAAAAATGACCAATTTCTCATGGCCGGGAGGTCCATGTCCATTTTACCGGTGACGCTGTCTTTAGTGTGCAGGTCTGACCAATTCAATTATTTAAGATTTGTGTTCTGATTTTAATTTTAAGCTCGTGTTTCTCAATGAACAGCTTCGTCTCAGCCGTGACCCTGTTGGGAAATCCTGTCGAAGTTTACTATTACGGCCAACAATGGACATTCCTTTGTTTTATTCCGATGGGGATCACAATCTGGTATTTGTACCTCCCAGTATTCCATGAGTTGAAATTAACGTCAGCCTATCAGGCAAGCTTTAAAAAATTGTCAATGAAAATTTCGAACAAGAATTTACGATTGACCATACTTTTAGTATTTCGAATGGAGATTCAGCCGAACAGTGAGGACAATGTGTTCAATATTTGCAATCGTACATTTGGTCAGTTAATATGTATTTAAGTATTTCCCATACTTTTTCCAAAAGTTTTACCATTGTTGACAGACTACATTTCATAATTCGCTAGATGACATACATGCCGATAACAACTTTGGGTCCTTCCTTGGCGCTTGGACAGGGTAAAAAATCATGGAAAACAATCCTAATGATTTTCAATTTTTTTTAGTTTTCTTGAAATATATAGTGGCTGGATTGGACTACAGAATTTCTGCAGCTACGATTTTCGTCGTGTGTGTAGCTTATTCGTCAATGGTACAAACATAAAAATTCATTAAACTGGATTTTAAAATAGTCTATGTGCTAAATTACATGTAAATTAATTTACCAAGGGGGGGCTCAAAGCTGTACTTTGGACTGATTCACTCCAAGCCATCGTAATGATCGTCTCTCTTGTAGCTCTTGGTATTTGTGGTATAATTGAAGTTGGTGGTTTCTCGCTAGCATGGGAACGAAATGTGGACACTGGGCGACAATTTAATAATAGGTGCAAATTTAATCCATTTCCCTAATTTTCAAATTTGCACATCACATGTAATATCTTTCCCAGCCTGGACCCAGACCCACGCAGAAGACATACCGTATGGACCTCTCTCATCGGTGGGTACTTACTCTGGATGCCATTCTTTGCTGCCACACAGGCACAAATTCAGCGCTATAATTCTGTCGCCACGCTTCGACAAGCACGAATGTTGGTACACATGTAAAATACTAGATTTTATGACACAAATTTTAATTTTTTCAACTACAGGTGCTTGCTCTTTAACACCGTCGGCATGATGGGCTTCTATTTACTCTGTGCACTCTTAGGCATGCTGATATTTGCACAGTTTTACAATTGTGACCCAGTACATGCGAAGGTGGATACTATGCAAATTAATTACAAATTCATGTCTAATTCATTAATTGACTGGCTGCATTTGTTTTCCTAATAAGCTCGTCACTTCACCAGATCAATTATTACCATTATTTGTCATTGACGTGTTAAGAGGATACCCGACTTTGCCGGGGTTACTCATCGCTGGCATCACTTCGGGTAGCATGAGGTAAATACTCAAATATGTCGTCACAAACTTTTAATTTGCTACATTTTAAGCAATTAATTTCTTTGTACAGTACTGTCTCCAGTGCTCTCAACTCTTTGTCTGCCCTCATCACGGAGGATTTTGTAAAACGATATTGGCCAGGAAAAAGTGACATCGTGTTGGGAAACATGTCCAAAATTATTTCTGTTGCCACCGGACTCATCGCATTTCTTCTCGTGTTTGTTATGAAAACTGTTAACGAAACTATTCAGATTGCACCGGTATGGGAATCATCGTATTTGGCATATTAATTTAAATTACTAATTTGTGTATATGAATCTAATATGCACGTCATTGCTTAATAGTTTACCACGTTAATTACTGGAAGTTTATTGGGCCCAATTTTGGGAGTTTTCACGCTAGGAATGTTTTCACCTTGGGCAAACAATTTGGTAAGTTTTATTAAATGTAGTAAAATTAATTTTGTTGCTAATCGTCGCTTAAAATTTTGAGTAGGGCGTCCTATGTGGCATGATAATTTCGATAGCAATCTCAGGATTTGTCGGACTCGGAAATATTCTCGCTGGGAGGAAAAATCTTTTACCGAATATGAGACTACCGCTGACGATAAGAGGATGCCCTTGTGCAAATATGACCGGATTTGAAGCAGCTTGTGAAGATTTGGTGGATGAGGATGATCAAGATCGACTCGATCTGCCAGACACGAGTGGATGGAAAAATTTAGAATATTCTGGCTGGGTTAAAATATGGTCGGCGTCATACAGTAAGTACCAACACATGCGTTTATACGTTTGAAAAAATTTGCACAGCATTGAATTGCATTCAAGAAACATTGCTAAAGTTCGAGTCAAGATTAGAAATTTTAAACTTTGCAAAGGTCTCAACTTTCACATATTAAATATTTCCATTGATATAATTTTCACTTTCATCGTTTCTTTCGCACAGTGTGGCAACCTGGAATTGGCATCGTCTCAACTCTCATATTTGGAATTTTGTTTAGCTCTCTAGTCAGCGCTTTGTTTCCTCAAAGGTATCCTAAAGTTAAGTCCAATCTCTTAAGCAGGCCCTTCGTCAGACTTTGGAATAAAATGTTTGGGGTAAAATGTATGCAACAATTTATAGATTATGGAGAGCATAGCGATAATAATAATAACGCTGATACAAAATTCTGAAAATACAAGAAGTTTTTTACACTTCAAGCCAAGTTGAGATTTATTTATTTATGTAATCATTTTACACAAATGAGGACACTTTCATTTAAACTATAATGCACACTTCTTTTACAAATTCATAATATTTTAATACTCGTACGTTTGTTTGCTATACAACCCTCGATGTCATCACTCTTATTACTAATAGCATTGGAATGATGACGTCGACATTGAATTACTTCCAAAATATACATGTGTACTACAAAATTAATATACTAGAAAAATTACCCATTCAATTTGTTTTCAATTTATTCTAAAGTGCCTTTTATACATGCACACGCTTTACGCCAATTAGAAGTAGCTGCTTCTCTCAGAGCATCGGTTTTATACACAAAATAATAAATGCTGTCGGTTGTGGTTACTGCTTGGAACAGAATGCTTCCAACGCCGCTATTTTCAATTCTTGGATGTGTTCCGGATTTTTCAGAGTCGAGGATCGTTTCGACATGCGAGTTGTTTCTCTCATTGTCGTCCTTTAATTGAACTCTGACAGTGTACTTGTTGACATGACGGCCTTTTCTAGGAGAGTTCTTTGATGGGGAGGGAGATCGCTCCTTGAAAAAAAAGTTGAGGGTAACATCACCCTTAAATTCGTTTATTGGAGGTCCTTTCCCGTGAGTGACAACTGTGCATCCGACTTTGCAGGCGTATGTTGGCTCCATACTAGAGATCTGCAAAAAGTAGAGTTTGTTGTCATACATGTGAGTGATCAGAAAAATAATACAAAACATCTTAAGTACATTTAAATAGAAAGCAAAAAAACACCGTTTGAAAGAACTCACCAAAGTAAAAACGAGGAAATAACGGAGGAGAGGCGAAAATTGATGAAAGTTTAAAACTTCAGTTTTAATAGCACGTTTGATATTAAAAATTAACTTGCTTTTCTGTCTAGAACGGTGGATGGAATGAATGTGAAAAAAGCTAGGATTTTTTTTTGTATTGTCAACACTGTGACCAGCAAAGAGTATGCTACCAGTGAGAAGAGTTTTGATAAGCCAATTGGTGTAGTTACTCTTATTTTGTACATAATAAGTTCATAAACAACTTTTATCTTACCTTTTTGTCTTTGTACTCATCATTTTCTTCACCTTTCTCAAGTTTTAAGGTGTCCGATGATGAAACAGGCTCCATTATTAGCTGATTTGAATATCTTTCTTGGGAATGAATTATTCTCGTTAGTTGCTGACTATGCAATGACCCTCAGCCTTTCACTTCATCGTGTATACATATGTACATATTTGTACCATTTTTGATGCATTTCATCTAACTCGCATTTCTATTTTTATAAAAAGGTTGGAAATGCTGTACGTATGTACGTAGTTCTCTTAAAATAGGGCCCGTTAGGTTGTGCTTATTTTCAATTTTCTTAACAGCAAGGCATCTAGCCGTGCCTTGGTATATAGGTAGTTTTGACTTAGTTTCAGAATTAAGCATACTTATCTATTTGATGACCAAAAGTGCAAAACATGGAGACCATTTATATATGCGCCAGGACAGAAATATTGCATAGTCTAAATCCGGCATATGACAAAGAAAATACTATTATTTTTCATTGTATGTATTATTGTAAAAAGTCTTAATAAAATCAAATTAAAATGTACAACCGAACTATACCTTCACCTATACGATTTCTTGTATAATGATTAAACTTGCAACTCTCAAATATCATCTAAGACTTATCATCTAAGACTCAAATATCATCACGGCTACAATTATATTTACAATGCTTATCATATAAATACATACTTATTTTATAGCTCTGTAAAACGCCAGATGCTAAAGCAACAAATTGCTATCCACTTTTTGCACCATCAAAAAATTCAGTAAATAATAAATATGTAAATAATAACTAGTATATAATAAATGATAGATATGCATATACCACGGGTTTTAAAAGCATCAGAATTAAATGAAACAATGACAAATGAAATTCAAGAGCTCCCATGCTACGCAAGGCGAGCTAATAATTTCATAAAATTCACAAATTTATTTGCGCTTTTTCTAGAAGAGGTTTGAATTTTATTTTGTAAATATGTATGAATTTAAGTGTTTGATAATTTTGTATGATCATGGATTTTATAAAAAATGAATATATAAAACACATATGAATATATGAAGCAGTAATATATTGAACGAAACTGTTTCCAAATTTATTTATTAACACAATATTCCAATTACAAACCAATTCATTTCACTTTTTAAGCCCTAAGTACCGACGCAGCAGCAATAGCCGCCCCCACATCGATTCTACCATGCCCATAAACATTATTTGGATAGTCTTCAGTCCCCGAAATCCCACACCTCCTATCAAACGGTCTCAACGGTTGTTGGGTCGTCGTGGATTGGAGAAGTGACAATACCTGGTCAAACGTGTACGTAGGATTAGCCGCCAGGATGAGTGCTATTGCCCCCGCCGTGTGTGGACAGGCCATTGATGTGCCCGACATGGTGACATAATTATCTGCCAAAGTTCCGGCAGAGACGATCATCTGACCTGGTGCGGAAACCTCAGGCTTTTTAACCGCCAAGTCTGGATCTCCTCGCGACGAGTAGCAAGAAATGACATCTTCATCCGTAGTGGACCCTACAGAGATGAGATTTGGCTGATCTCCCGGTGATCCTGCTGTGCGACAGGTGCATCCGCTATTTCCTATCGCGAATACCGGAATGATCCCAGCCGCTCGCCAAGCAGAGATTTGAGCATTGTACCAAGACGAGCCACCCGCTCCGCCCCACGAATTGCTGACCACATTTGGTATTGGGTTGGACGTAAGCATGAATTGAGCCTATTTATGTCAATATTAAAGGTAAGATCAAGTTTGCTAAGTTTATAAAACATTTATGTGCATACGCAAGTTGTTAGAGCTGCTTCACTCCCGCTTCCTAAGTGGTTAAGACCGCGACAAGCTATCCATTTGGCTGCAGGGGCGACACCAATTCCGTTCGTGGTACCAAGAATCGAACCCGCACAGTGGGACCCGTGTCCGTGTTGGTCTGTGGGGCCTGGCGTATTGTAGTACGGGTCCCTCCAAGCCCCTGCGTAGTTCGTGGACAACGCCTCGTGTCCCAAATTGACCCCGGTATCCATAATAGCGACGACGATGCCTTCGCCTTGCGTGGTTGTCCAAGCATCCGGAGCACGAATCATGTCAACCCCCCACTGGTTGCCCTGACGCTCGGATACATTCGTATTGACGGAATGGACGATGGGATCTACCATGGCGGTGTACTCTTCTCGGAGTTCAAAGCTTCCCACAGCTGTGGACGCGAAGGCAGACAACTGGTCGACAGTGATGTTTTCCAGAAGGACAATGTTAGAGGCCCAGAATTGCTCGTATTTGATGCCGAGTTGCTGAGCGAGGGTGATGTAGGGAGCTTGTGACGTAGAGGTCAAGTCGGTCAGCATGTTGACAAGGGCGACAGCTTTGGCCTGTCTGGACAGGCCGGATAATACGGGGGACGATTCGGCGATTCCGATGACTTGGGGAAGTTCGAGAATGACGTTGAGTCTTCCTGCTGAGCTCACCTTTAAAATAGATACAAATGGAGAATTTTTAAAATTAAACGAAGCCAGGGGCGTTTCGAAAACAATTTTACCTTTGTGTAAAGTGAGGGTTGGACCGTTCCTGCGGCTGCGAGTGCTAACACCGCAGATAAGAGGATAAAAGTCTTCATGGTGCTGGGGTAATAGGTGGATCTCTTCTTGGGAAAAGGCAATGGCGACTTATGTTTTAAAACTGGCTGAGATCTCGCTTTTATATGAATTTTCGTTATGCAAATTACAGTGACACGTATGCAAAATATGATGGATTATTATTACATGACTTTGGTAATTTCCAATAAAATATGTAATGCTGTACAGGATCAATTCTCTCATTTCTTGGGGATTTCAGGAGTTATGAGAACATTTTTGATAAAGGACAATGAGGAAATTTCCTAATCCGTGAAGCAACTGATCCAGCACAGATATAGTGAGAAGATAAAGTATTTATGCATGCAGCTAATGGATAAATACATACGTAGTGAACACGGTTTGCCTAAGTAGTTATCTTGGTCCAATTGTAATTTGTATTGGTTGGTTAACCGATCTGTAAATTTTGGTTCTTATCAATATATCTATCATTACCGGATTTTCTGATGATGCCAAAGTACATATTTGTTATTTTGGTATTTGGGGTTTCACAGAGTTATAAAATAAGTATTTGTAAACGTTGTATAATTCCAACAATGGTGGATTAGTGTTATTTCTGTGTTGGAGAATCGCAAAGTTAATCGCAATGAAAGAAACCCCAGAGATGAAAGTCGTAGTCAGTAAACTTCTAATTGTGGTACATTTTATTTTGATTTATTATGACATTTTGCAATGATAAATATAATGACTAATAGAACAATGATATTACACTTGTATTCTTTTTTTAACATTGAAAATGCCACAGTTCTGAGCAGAAGTACATGCACTGCAATTAGATATATATTTTCTTCTGTAATTTTTACTCAGAGTGACGATAAGGTTCCATTGGACTTTCGGTGACCAACACAGCCGATCAAGTATGGGGCCAAAATATTAGGGAAGCATGTTGTGTATGCATATATGTAGAAATTTTGCAAGGTACAATTTTTATGAATCCATACTCCCTCGTTTTACCTCCGATAAAGATAATTTCTCTGGGCAAATAAATCTGTAATAAATACTTGACTTCAGTCGGGTGCAAATTCGAGAGTCCCGGATTCAAAGAAATATCCATGTAAGCAAAGAAAGATTTGTAAGTAATTAAATAGTTAATGTTTCATTCTCTATTGCATGCCATTTGGCCATCTGTAATTATGCACTCGTTTAGAGTCAATTGATTGATTTATTTTGTCTGTGAGATACGTACATAATTGACTCAACTTATAACTATATTTATTAATATCTACGAATATATAGTGACACACATGTTCTGGTAGGTGGATGAGAATGCAAGGGCACTTGACTGACTTCATTTTAGCGATAATTACGATATTTTTATACACGCATGTAAATTAAATTCATATTTATTTACTTAGCGTTACAGCGTTAGCGTACACATTAACTAAGTACAATAAGGTCTTAATGTAACGAAAACAGTGATCGAGTACCATTAATTTTAATTTTGTTTGGGGGGGACATGGAATTTGATTTTGAACTTTCAATGACATTGGAATGATTCAGGCACACACACATTTATTGATAAGAAATCCACATGTCAAATGCATGCATCAAAATGACACTATTATTTGCAAACTCTCTTAAATTTTGCACACAATGCTAACCTATTTATTTCTATAGCATGTATCGGCTTATCTCTTGTTTACATTGAATACTTAATTTGCCCTGCTATTGTCCAGTGTCCTGATAAACTGGACACTTCATTCCCAGAAGATAATTAGCTGAAGCAGTTAATTATTGATCAATCCTTTATTAACACCCGTTCTCCACATTGTTGACCAATATTCTGTAAATTCGTCCCACGAAGACATCAACCATGATCTCGAAAATTTTTACGACGATTTTGTCCATGTGGGCATTCTTTTCTTTTGCATTGGTAACTGGTCAAGAGGTAACCATAATCCCGACGGGGAATGACTTGCTCAACATTTCCTACGTCCTCGGCCAGCTAGATGGTCAGCCAGCCGTATATTTCGAAATCAGGGCCCAAACGAGGGGTTACATCGGCTTCGGATTTTCCAACCAGACCTGCATGACAAATTCTGACGCTATGGTGACCTGGATGGATTGGGTCACCTTTGAACTCGTCGTGCAGGTACTTATCTATCAATCTGCATATTAATGCGAATAATTGCACCCATAGAACTTTCATGGCCGATTTTTTCTGCAGGATTGGACCTTTTATACGACCGGGACTCCTTACGAAAGGGAGTTGGATCAACAACAGGACTGGCAGGTTGAGTCCTTGGTTTGGAATGAAGACGGCGTTTCTACCACGTTGCGTTTTGTCCGTCTGTACAATACTGGAGATCCGGTGGACATAATTATTGAAGTGAGTGAAAAAAGATAAGCGTACCAATTTATAAATATGTTGCTCATTATTCACTCTTTTACTTATAGGACAAGACCATGAATCTAATATTCTCTGTGGGTGAGTGGCCTGCTCTTCATTCTCATCAGCTTGGAAGGAGTGGAAACATTCCATTTAACCTTATCCAGGGTACGAAGTAACCCTTAAAGATATAAATATATGTACAAGTCTACTTACATTGTAATTAAAGGATTAAATTAAACAGCGAGAAATCAAAATTTGCCATATTCCTCTCTAAATTATTAATCACATGGAGTCTATGCACATAGGTATTTAAGTCAATGAGCAAACTTGATTGAAATTGAATAAGTAATATGAGACTAATAGATAAGTCGTACAAAATTGTGCACACGATGGAGATTCCATGCTTTGAGTAAATAAATAAGTACGTGTGCAAACGCGTAACAAACAAATATGATGTGACAATGCATTATGCAATGATGCATCATGCGAATGTCATGTCATGTTATAGATAATCATACTTGTAAATATATATCGAAGACTAGCAGCAGATAATGACGGTTGATGCAGATCGCTAGTTTATTCTACGAGCTGTCTCATCTTCAGATATGTAAGCAGGCATAAATTAGTATATACATATGCATCTGAATAGCCATCTGAATGTACCTATATTCTGTATGTACATACACATTCATGAATGAGCTAAAGGGTGCATGTCAACGTAATGAACTTTCTTAACACTAGTGATATTATTAATATACGTAATATACTCTAACTTAAGTATCTGCGTAATTTTGCGTATACTGACAAATTATGTTTGCTATGGACAGTTCTAGTTAGGAAAATTAATCCTACAAGGCTACAATCAATATCATTTATAAACCTTTATAATACATGTTTAGGAGTAAACTGCAAATACGCTATGATCAAAATTATATTCATTTGTTTTAATTTATTTGCGATTCCATACATCTGTATTTAATTCAGAAACTAATGTTTATCTGTAAACATTTATATTTTAAAAATATATTAAATACGTACTTAACGCGACTGATTCTTATCAATGTACTTAATTTTTGTGGTGGGGAAAGCGAAATTGCAAGGGCATTCGGATAATTCCTCACTTCAGTTTGACATACAGCGATAATTACAACACACATGCATGCAAATGCACATGTGGTGCTTACTATTAATGTTACAGCGTTAGCCTACAGATAAAATGTACAATAAGAATGTAACGGTAACAGTGATTGAGTACCACTTAATTTTAATTTTTTTCGGGGTATGGAATTTTATCTCGAACTTATTGCTCGATGATTCAGGGACACTAGCAACATATAGTAATTGTACACATGTATGATAAGAAATCCACATGTCTACTGCATGCATCAAAATGATACTCTTCGCATATTTGACAATCCCTTAAATTTTGCTTGCAATCCTAACCTATTTATTGCAATAGCACGTATCGGCTTACATATCTTTTCGTTACATTGAATTCTTAATTACTTCTGCTGTTATCAAGTGTCCTGATAAACTGGACAATTCGTTTCCAAAAGATAATTAATTGAGGCAGGTAATAATCCTTCATAAACACCCGTTCTCCATATTTTTGATCAATATTCTGTAAATTCGTCCCACGAAGACATCAACCATGATCTCCAAAAATTTTACGACGGTTTTGTCCCTATGGGCATTCCTTTCGTTTGCATTTGTAACGGGTCAAGAGGTAACCATAATCCCGACGGGGAATGACTTGATCAACATTTCCTACGTCCTTGGCCAGCTGGAAGGTCAACCAGCAGTATATTTCGAAATCAGAGCCGAAACGAGGGGCTACATCGGCTTCGGATTTTCCAACCAGACCTGCATGACAAATTCTGACGCTATGGTGACCTGGATGGATTGGGTCACCTTTGAACTCGTCGTGCAGGTACTTATCTATCAATCTGCATATTAATGCGAATAATTGCTCTCATATAACTTTCATGGCTGATTTTTCTGTGCAGGATTGGACCTTTTATACGACGGGGACTCCCTACGAAAGGGAGTTGGATCAACAACAGGACTGGCGAGTTGAGTCGTTGGTATGGAATGAAGACGGCGTTTCGACCACTTTGAGTTTTGTCCGTCTGTACAATACTGGAGATCCGGTGGACATAATTATTGAAGTGAGTGAAAAAATATAAGCATACCAATTAATAAAAATGTTGCACATTATTCACTCTTTTCTTATAGGACAAGACCATGAACCTAATATTCTCTGTGGGTGAGTGGCCTGCCCTTCATCATCATCCGATCGGAAGGAGTGGAAACATTCTGTTTAATCTTATCCAGGGGACGAAGTAACAGTTGATGATATAAATTAATGTAAAAATGTACTTCTATACCTTGTATTTATATAAAGGATCGATCAATCAATCAACAAGAGCTAAAAATGTGTCAAATTCCTCTCTAAATTATTAATTATACAAAGTATATATGTATGTATGCATAACAATAAGCAAACTTATTGAAATAATGATTTTAGATTAGTAAGTCGTACAAAATTATACAAAATTGGTTCCTAGCATCATTACGTCAGATGACAGATTGCATGCAAACACGTCAAGTACGTCTGCAAACACGTAAAAAACAAGTGCATACATAAATGACATGTTATAAATAGATAAATAATCATACTTGCTAATATATCTCGAAGACCAGCAGCAGTTGCCGATGATTGATAAGGATCACTAGTTTATGCTCTTTATTACGAGCTGTCTCATCTACAGTTATGTGACCATGCACAAATTAATATGTACATCTGAATGTACATACATATAGTACATACACATTTATGAATGAATTAGAGAGTGCATGTCCACATTTATTTTCCTATTCTTTTTTGATTTACATCGGACTATTGTTACGTACGGCGCTCAATCCACTTATCCAAGTAGGATAAGGGCTAGGATTTGATAACATAGAAGTCCTGCCAGAAGGTGCAATGCAGTTTTGTCATGCAACTTAAAACACAGATACAATTAATTGAGTTGTAGGCATTATCTGCAAGTATCAGTAGGTTTTAACAGTTCGCAATGCTTAATTTTGCATCAATTTTGTTCATTCCAGTTATGTCCAAATCCCATTTACTTCACAAATGCATTGGTTACTTTTTAAAGAAAATAAATGATAAATACTCTTCATCGTAGCAGGAGAGTAAGGACCTAAGCAGAAATACAGACAGTTGACCATGGATCAGTTGACAGTGTCAAATTGCACATGAAATCACTCCATCCATCCAGCTTCTTGTTGACTTACATAACCCAATGTTAAATGCCTATGATTCTTATGTATACTCATTGGACAGACTGCCATCCGTCCCATGCAATTTGCTCATTATTGTCATGGTTCCACGATATTTATAATCTTCTCAGCAAGACAAGTGCAATCTTCCTCTTGCTAACCTAACTTATTAAAAAACTTGTTGTATTTGTGTAGACACGTTAACTCTTTATGTTCAGCCAGTATTAATTACTAAGGCACATTTTAAACTTATTGCAACTTATTCTGAATTGCAAATTAAACAACATTTACTAGCAAATTGGAATTTTCATAAATGTGCAGCAAGAAAACGCTCAAAATCCTTCTTCTTGTCCTTATCGTGGCAACTGTTGCCATATTTGTGTCCTGTTTGGAATGGGATACATCAAGCCAAGAACCACCTTCAAGACCTTTTGAGCCTACCCGTTTCCACTACTTTTTATGTGACCAGCCAAACCTGGACTTAACCAGAGAACAAGTTCTTAATAAATCAGGAAAGCAATTGACCACAGCGTACTTTTACATCATGAATGTAAATACTATAGTATTTACATTCATGTTTTACATACACGGATTTGACAGTGAAAGTCTAGAGAAAGCAGAGTCTTACAAAGTGAAGGATGCAATTTTTAAAGCACACCAGGTACATTCTTTCGATTTACCTATACGGTATGTTTACGCTGGTAAATTTGGTGTACGGAAATTTGGGTATGGAAATTTGGGTCTCGGAAATTTGGGTATGGAAATTTGGGTCTCGGAAATTTGGGTATGGAAATTTGGGTATAAGGAAATATGGGTATTGGAAGTTTCGGTCTGTAGAAACTTTGGTCTCGGAAATATGAGTAGCGGTATATTTGGGTATGCAGAATTTTAGGTATGGGAAATTTGGGTACGACAAAAAATAATTTTCAACTATTGCTCTTCGGAAAATGTGGTGGCCCTTAAAAGGGCCGATTATTTACAAAGTAATTACATGAGCTACAGTATGTAACAAAATTGTAGATGCAACCCCATATTTTTTATTTCGATATGATCCCACAATTTTTAAATTGTTTATGAAATAAAAGTTTATAAAATTCCGAACTTCGGGAACAAATGTCAAGAGTATCTACGGACAAAATTATTTTTTGTCGTACCCAAATTTCCCATACCTAAAATTCTGCATACCCAAATATACCGCTACCCATATTTCCGAGACCAAAATTTCTGCAGACCGAAACTTCCAATACCCATATTTCCTTATACCCAAATTTCCGAGACCCAAGTTTCCATACCCAAATTTCCGGGAATCGGTAAAGATTCCCGGAAATTTGGGTACATATACATATGTACTTTCTGGGTGTAGACATGAAAATTTATAAATATATTTAATTATTTACTATACCCTTTCATGCTTCAAAATTTTTCGTGCTTTGTAAAATCATATGTACATATTTTCATATGTTTTATAATTATATTTTCAAGCCATGATAATCAAAGTAAATACTTGAATTTCGCTATCAAATACTTTGACAAAAATAAAGATGCATGTAAATAACTCTGAATACGTATTCCGAGAATAAACTTGTATGTATGTACCTCTAATAAAACCAAATTGCATATATGTACATACATGTATCAATTTCCAACGAAACGTTTCAAGTTTAACATTCCAGTTCCGTGTTATTATGCAGTAACACTAACAATTTATTACGAGGGGACTTTTACCAATACAAGCTTAAAACTAATATGCATTTCTCTCATCTTTTAGAACACTGACCTCGTCGTGGTCGTCGATTGGTCCAAGGAGAGCAGCCGAGGTCAGTTTCAATACCCAATTGTTGTCAAATACACCGTTCCTGCCGTAGCCCTCAACGTGAGCTTGGAAATACTCTGGATTTCTTCTAATCTTGGAATACCTCCGAATCAAATTAAAATGGCGGGCCACAGCCTCGGCGCACACGTGATGGGCATTGCAGGAGAAAGAACTGTTACAAAAAGATGGAAGTAATAACTCTCTCATCGCCAATATGACCGGTCTGGATCCTGCTGGACCCTTATTTGACGAAGTTCCCGACCTCGGCGACAGTCGCCTCTCTTCTGGTGACGCCACATTCGTCACGTGCATCTACACGGACGACACATTGGGCACAATCGAGCGGAACTGTGATCTCAATCTTTTCCCCAGAACACCATCTAGCGCTAATTGTAGCGTGATGGACTTTCTCTGTCGCCATAGTATTGTAAAAAGTTGGTTTATTCTGCGCATGATGGGAAGCGTTACTTTGTCTCAACGAGAGCCTCCAATGAGTCAGTTAGACTCGGAAATACGAGGCATCCTTGAAACATCGCTACGAAAGGCGGTCATAATTTTAATGTATTCAAAATTCGCGTTGGCATCGTTTATAGTGTTGTACGTAATTTTTGCTTGTATTGTTCCCCTACTCTTGTTGGACTTGAAAATTAGCTGGTTTTTGTTATTGAATATTGTTATATTGGACGCTATCCCAGTGGGGTATTATTTTGGCATGGTTCGGTTTGTGCCATGGATGCTTTCGAACTTTTTACAGTTGGGTTTGGTCGTAATGTACTTGATTTTTAGGGGGATTGGGTATTGTTGTAAAAAATCTGACTACAACGTAGGTCTTATGTACAAACTACGGGATTATAATGGATACCAAGAGCTGTGAAGAGCCTTAAGTAATGAGATGATTAGTAGAATTAGTGTTTAGAAAAATCACCATTAGATTTAATCTTGTCTCTTATGATCTCTTCAAAATTTGTGATCCATGACTTGGAATTCTGTGAATGTAAGTGTTACCGTGTGTTAGCTTTAATGCAAAGAAAATTATAAATAACATTTAATTCATTGACAAATCTTCTGATTTTTATCAAGTACTCATGTAAACTAATGTAAAGTCTTGTTTAAGTCGTTATCGAAATTTATAATGCTCCATGCAGAATTGCATTCATCAACTTTTATGAATTTTTTTAAACTAAAATAAAAGACTTAACTAATGTAATATTAACTATACTTAATTAATAAAATTAAATGAACGAATGAATTTTATTTTATTCAAATCCGTAACTTGTCACATATTCACGTTCAACGTTACGCAATATATGTACATGATTTTATCGTGTTCCTTGTATTTCACATGAGATGAATCATCAGCCGAGCATATGCGGGATTTGCATATGTACATAATACTACATATATGCATATGTACGTATCTATCTACTTGCACATAAGTTATGTAATGAGTTCAACAAAGTTCACTTTCGTGGAAAATTACAAATATATTTCAAGTCTTTACGCTGAAATTTAGAATTTTTTAGAACATGAAAACATTGATAATTCGACCACTCCTTGAATCCGACTACGGTCAAGTTTTCCAATTAATTAAAGAACTGTCTACCTCACCGGGAGAACAGAATATCGTAAAATTCAATGAAAAAGGTTACACTTTCAATAATTTTTCTGACACGTTTCATGGTTTAAATGATTTATTGTGTATATATGTAAATATGTATATTGACTTTTATAATGTTCCTCAGACTTCCTTTTTGCCAACCCAAAAAAGAACTCATCGTCCTATTTCTCAGGAATTGTCGCAATTGATAAAATTGACAAAATTGTCGGCGTGCTGCTGTACCACACGAAATACTCCACGTGGGAAGGTGAAGGTCCTGGAATTCAGATCAATACTTTCTTCGTTACAGAATGTTATCGCAGACGCGGTGTAGGATATCTGCTTCTGCAAAATATATGCATGGTAACCATTCCTTAAAGAATTATTCTCACAATTATGATATATAATAAAATAATCATAATTACACACGTAACGTAGCGTGTGACGTAATTATTTATAATTATGAAATCTTCCAAATAAATACTTTGGTGTTTAAATAGTCTGCTGAGGAGAAAGGGCAACAAATTTCTATCCCAATCCGGAAGCATGACGTCGCAGGGATGGAATTCTTTATGAAACACCACGCCACAAATCTCACGAGTACTGAAGGCTGGCTAAATTATCATCTGAATAAAACTGCTGTAGAGAACTTATTGAACTTTAATGACAAGAAGGGAAAAAATGTTATTTTGAGACCTGCGGAAGCCAAGGATTGTAACCACATTGAAAAAATGATTCAAGATCTTAATGAATTCGAAAATATAGGAGACCAGGATAATAAATTAGATGCAAAAAGTAAATAATTTGTATTTTTGCAAATTTTCTGAAAACCTAGATTTACATAAGATGTAAAATTTTATTAAATTTTCACATTGTCTAAATATTACATTGCAGCTTTACAACGTGACGGGTTCCAAAAAACCAGTCCTGATTTTTACTCGTTTGTCGCAGAATTGAATGATGGTGAAAATGGACTTGTAAAAATAGTTGGCTATAATTTAATGTTCTTTGAATTTAATCCCATCCATGGGAAATTGGTACATTTGGAGGACATCTATGTCAAAGAAGAGCACAGAGGTGAAGGAATCGGTGTGAAATTGTTCAAGCAAGTTGCTCGTGTACGTAAATTCCTCATAAATACTTAATTTTAATAAGCCTTAAGATTAATTTGGTCAAATTCAAATGTCGATAATCTGCATTTACAGTTTGCTCTGGACAATGGTTGCCAAGGATTTACTCTCGAAGTGCTTGACTCGAATACGAAGGCTATCAAGTTTTATGAGGCGTTTGGTGGTGTGAATTTATCAATTGGGGAGAATGGGGTACAATCCGTCAAATTAAAGAAAGCAGCTATACATAGGATTTTTAATACGGATAAAATATCAAATTCTAATAAATAAATTTTTAAAAACAAACTTAGGTGAAGGACGCGCTTAAAATATTAAAACAAGAAGCATTAAAAAATGTCATAAATCGTTTAATATTTATTAACTTTTACTTCACCGTGGGCCCAACTATTAAATTTTCAAAGCAATGATAATCAACAATAAATGTAGCTGAACCAATGACTTGATTAAATATTAAATGCAGCATTACAGAGGGAGTTATTAAAATACGCCAGAACATGAACAAATTTCCTTTGTAAGAAGTGTCGCGATTTATTGAAAGATAACCATTCAAATCTTGCAAGTTTAATATACAAATAGATATTACGTATTTCGTATAATTGTTCCAAATGCTTGAAAGTATAGCTTTTTTCCTGTGTTAGTTGGGCCCCCGGTAAAGTAAAAGTTAATAAATATTAAACGATTTATGACATTTTTTAATGCTTCTTGTTTTAATATTTTAAGCGCGTCCTTCACCTAAGTTTGTTTTTTAAAATTTATTTATTTAATTATTTTTAGTGATTTGTGAATTTATATGCATAAAATCAGATGCAATTATAAAACCTTAAACGTTGTTAATTCTCCTGTGGGTGGATGCGCGGTAAACCAATTTATTCCCCCAGTTTCTGAATTTTAAGGATTGCTCTGTTGCAACATGCGTTGACACTTAGCGATCTAATAATAACGTAATTCGATTGTCTAGCAACATTGGTTATGTTGAGTATTGAATATCGATGCTAAATAAACTATTAGCGCACGTTAGCAACCAGGAGGTTGCTTAATGGAAATATTTCAAAAAGCTATAATTCCGTGAGTTTTCATCCGATTAAGTCGAATAAAGGCTTAAAATTTGCGTATTATCCTGGAGAATAATAAAAATGGCAAGCCCCCGGTCGGAAACACTTCCTTGATGCCAAGAAATGGATTTGAAATTTTAGGCATCGGACTTTCTACCTGAAGGAATTAGAATTTTTGAAAAAATAAAAAAAACGTATCTGTAAAACAGAATTCTCTGGTTTTTTTGTTTCAACATGTTTTTCATGCAATGCACGGTTCGGGCGAAATCTCAGTGCGACCTTTTCAAAGTTGCAGCTGAATGCATACTTAGGCTTCGCCGTAACCATGGTGATCTTTTAATATGATCACCTTATGCTTACTTTTCCTTCACCTAAGAAAAATGATATATAAATCAAAAAATTAGAGTCTTTGAATATGTACTGTAGATTAGTTATTGATGCAACGGCGTTGGGTTACCTCGCCATTAGGATTTATGAAACTGATTATACTGAGAAAAATTTGTGTGTATAGAGTGTGAAGGATTTCAGTCCAATTTTTTATTTCACTTTGGTTGAGATGGCACAAATTTTGTAAGGCGTTTGGAATTTGGAAAATAAAAATGTACGATAAGGGCGTTGCCATATTCTTACACCTTAATTTATTTTTAATATTCTTTAATAATTAATTCCTGCGTCTTAAATTAATTCTATGCTGGCCAAGGGACAGTTGGCCTTTGCTCCGTGAGAGGAGCCTCATTCTTCAACATCCGTCCCCCGTCACGAGTAAGGCGAAGGTAATAATCGGCCGAACAACGGACGCCGTCCTCATCCAAAGGTAAAAACGGGGACCCCACTGGAATCTGGCTGTTATCTTCTGCCGTCTTGGCAATCTGGTTTCCTTCATTGTATTCGTCCCACATGGAAATGTAAATCCCCTCCACTCCGATCCTCTTCATGTTGTAAAATTGTCTCCACATGAAATCTCCGTGTTGCCTAGAAATAGTTTATCGATTATTTCGTCAGACTTTAAGAAAAAATCCGATTCCAGACTTGTATGTACATACCTTTGTCTCTCGAAGAGGTCACCGGGTAGGACGCAGGGTTGATAATCGATCCCAAGGGTACGTAGAAGGTCATGATCAGGTGTCTGCACGTTGTTGTAAAAGTTATCGACGTCAGGAATACTTCCAATGCGACCCACCATCCAGGGAGAAATCATGTGAAATGCTGTGTAGACTTCCATGAAACCTGGTCTCGAGTCCTCGTTCCCGTTTCGCCAATGTGTGGGCACTCCTCCGATAACGTAAAGACCTTGATCCTTTGAGTTAATTCATGGTAGTATTAATTACTAGAAAAATCATTATTTGATATGAGAGTCTCACCTTGAACCAATTAATGATCCTCAATTACACGTGATAGCTAACCTTCACCACCGAATGGATTAAACCGTTGTAGGGCGACCGTGTCAATCTCGTGCTCTCTCATCCAGCGGAACTGGACGTCGAGGGTTTGGTCATTAAAAGACGAGAAAATTCGAGCCGGTTGGCCGTTCCCAAGGGCTGGGAAATCAGTGGCAAAATACTCGGTGTATTCCCGCATGTCTGGGTAGGACTTGATGACATGGTTGGTGAGGGATGGGGGTTGACCCCAATTTTGACTCCAGTGCCAGTACTCGTTTATTGGGGATCCATCACCCCGCGCAGCAAACCACCCTTGGAAACCTATCGTGATTTTACCTACGACGTCAGACTGTGCAGTGGAAAGGTCCACAAGTTTTAAAATTCCTAAAATGACTATAATCAACTTCATGATTTCGCTTGGCGTTTATTGATGACTGAGGAAAGACTGTGAAGAATTGTGTTTGCAGATCCCCTTTTGTACTTTGGGGATTTTTTTATCTGGTAGTATGAACAGACTGGACAATTATATAATAAATATCTATTTAAAAATGATTTCATGATGGCATCACATGATGATAAAGTGATCTCAGGATATGTATTCGCACTTTTGATGGATTGAGGTCATTTTCACTGTTTATATTTGCGCTAGAATTACTTATTAAAGTGATTGATCATGTTTTTAAGCAAGGCAATAAAACCCTTGAAATTCCTGGTTAATATGTAAATGTGTCCAATATTGTAATGTCCCTCATGGCCTAACCCTTTTTGATTGGGTGTACATAAACCAGATTGGCGTGGTGTGAAGCTCGTACCGTATAAATTTCGTATCAAAAATATGTATTGATATTTTTAGTGATTATCGTGACAGTGATCACTCAACGTCAGTCTTCACGTGGATAACTGATGGCTAAATAATATAGGCTTATCTGACTTGAGAGGTGTGTATATAAAGGGAACGCTTTTGTTATTTGGGTTATGTTTCTGTAAGCACATTGACCAGGAAAGTAATAAATATGTGTATATTGGACCCTATCCCAATTGGGTATTATTATGGGATGTCTCGGTTTTGTTGTGGATGCTTTCGAACTTTTTACCGTTTGGGTTCGTCATAATGTACTTAATTTTTTGTGGGCTGGGTGGCGTGAACTGGCGTGACCAAACATCCAGCTTTGTTCAACTTATGAGATTATAGATTATGGTTAAAAAGAGTTATGAGGAACATTGCTTAATGCGAAATATAGATACATAAACATACAAATTATATGTATTTATTGGTTAAAAAACTTAAAAAATTGGCTTTGATACATTAAATTAATTCTTAGATAAGGTTTTGTACTACTTACTTAATTTAAGGGGACTTTACTATCGTTTCAATAATTATAATCCATCATTAACATTGCGTTATATATCGTTGTTGCCAGTGCATGCAAATATTGGGACAACTGCAGGAAGCAAGAGGACCGCTTCCTCCCCTCAAAGAGGTCCATCTGCATTAGCGGTGGGTCAAGAATCAACGTCCGTTTTTTCGATACTCAATAGTGCCATCAAAATGAGTAGAATGACTAAAGCACCAGCACAGCGTTACGCAAGGACGAGATTTGCCCAAGGCACTATTACAATACCGACGACTGGGTCGGATTGAACAATGTAAATACAGCCTGGCCTTGATAACCAAACCAACGGAGAAATGTGCCCTCCCAAATGGTTCATGTTCATATATGAATGATTTTCCTAAATTTTGAAATGATTAAACAGGACATTGTAAACTAACTCAATAATTTATTTTCCTCTTAAAATTGACAAATAAAATAATTAGTCGTGGCACATGCATCAGAAACCCATCCATAACTGGATAGCTCCCCAACGACACACAAACACCTTCCGGCACCGACGATAGGAGGTTCGGCCCAATTTTCATAGGTGATTCCTACTCCAGTCGATGCCCACTCCCACTTTGATGTTTGAACATTATATTTCCCAGAAGACCAGACATTTTCGTATTCTTGAATTAAATTATCAGTAGAATAATGTTTAATTTAGTAATTAGTATTATAATTCTTCCCTCACCTGACCCTAACCCTTCTGCTTGTAACCTTAACCTTATCCGTATAAATTCATCCTCGTCTCGGTTATAAATTGTGAGGAGGCGTCCCTGAAAATTTACGAGACATTCTCCCAACGCACCAGACCAAGAGACCTGGACAATAAAAATATGTCTAATGCATGTAGCTGAACAGACAAATTAAATCAAGCTATATGGCCATCCCTACCTGCACTGTGCTAATGTAATAGCTCCAAAACGGTTGTTGGGACAAATTGGATGGGATAGTCCCAAGAAAGTTGAAACCTGCCGAAAAAATTTAAATAGTTATGAAAAACAATATAGGTCTATCTAATTTATCTTTCTTTCTTAAGCTTGCCTGCGACATTCGTCCTGTTCACGTGGTTTTGTAGCGTTTGTGGAACGCGTGGACTCTGTGGCGCTCCGAAAACGGTAGCTATTAAGAATAGAGTGATGGTAAGTGCAAAAAATTTAGGGATCATTGTGGTGGAAAAATATAATTTAAAAAAGTAACTACAAAAAGTCAGCCTGGTTAGGAACCCGGGCAGATGTTATTTGTCACCCGTGGAAGGACATAACACAGTTATGTAAAATATTTTTTATCAACGTGTGATAATTTGGACTGGTGTAAATAAATATCTTGATTTAAGCAGTTATATTGCAGATAGAAAATATGTAACGATGATTAAGTTCCAATGAATTGTGTCAATTATTCTATCTACTTGCGTAAATAATAGATACATGGGGCAGCCATGGACATATAACTTATAACTTAAAATTATGACGTATAACTTATTTTATAAGTTATAAGTCATAGAAACACCATAAGGCGACGTATATTTATAACTATAAGTTAAGTTATACGTCATAATTTTAAGTTATAAGTTATATGTCCATGGCTGCCCCATGTATCTAGTATCTCAAACTTGACACTTATGTATCTCCGTAAAATTAATTACGACTGAAGTATATATATTTATACCCTTCAAATTGCTGAAAATTCCACAGCTAAAAATATAAATATGTAAGTGCTCACCCTTCAATCACTTGTCATGCAAACTATGTATGTAAATACTTGATTCAATTTTTACACAGGAATAAGTTTTATTCCAGTAATTATTATGTATCACCTGTCAATCAAAGTCTTTCAAGTACCGAGTTTGAACTAATTTTTCGTTGAAACTTTTGAAGTTAAGCAATAATGCGCATACATCCGTTATGCAAAATATGGACTTTACTCCAATCAAGTTGGATCCATATTATATTATATTTGTCACCATTGCCATAATATCCAATGACACCACCAAAGAATTAACAAATAAAAATAACTACACCTACAACTATAATTTTTATTTCCTTTTAAACCAATTATCTTAAAAAATAGGGTAGATTCACGTTCGACAGCTCTGCACATAAGGTCAATAACTTTGCCTTCAAGTTTCTAAAAATCTTCGCGGATTCCAATTATTTTGACATGTATTTTCTTTGAAGAAAAATGCATGGATTCTGAGGACATGATATTTTTTGTAAAATTGATACTAGCTAAATCATAAATTAATTGAAATACATGACACGTATTTATTAGAATTAACAAATGACAATGATTTCCAACCATGTGGCTATGTACATATGTACAAAAGGTGGCTATGCAATGAAATAAACTTAATATATACACACATACTCATAATACGAATGCCGATGCAATTTTTAATGTATGCTGTAAAACGCATATTCTTTCAGTAATTATTAAAGTCTTTTATTTTAAACTGATTCATCTTAAAATGCTTTTAAGCAATGATAGAAATATTGAAGGTATGCACCTTCCTGGATCCACTGCTGCATGTAAAAGATACCGTCGAAGTCATAGATCTCAACCCCGTCTCAGCAAAATATTGGGAGAATCTCGCTCTGGCCAAAATTTTGAAAGTAGTTCCATCAATTTGTTGCCTTACGTAGATTGAGTTCAGCACGGACGACGGATCACTTAAGAGCCCCTCGTACCAGTACAATTCTGCCTCCCTGCAAATTTAAATTTTTTTGTAACGCCGATTTAGAGAGGATTTATACGCTCTTACCAAATCACGTATCCTTCCGCGGTACTCGAGGGAACCGGATTAGTCACAATATACTCTAAGCTATTCCCGATAAAACCGCATGCTGTAAAAAAATATTGCAACTTTTTTTTACAGGAGTATGTATTTTGCAAATTTGCATAAATTTAGCATAAACCTCGCCATACCTTCTTCGAGTTCATTATCAATCTTAAAAACCCATATCCCAGGACTTTCAACGTTCGTGGTTTGCGGCAAATTTGTAACTTGGGATGAACAAGAGCCTTCGATCGTGTAAAAAGTTCGGCCATCTCCATAATCAAATCCTGCCTTTGCTGGCGTTCCCCCCAGCCCGCATGAATCACCCCCTGACGCCGTCCCAGTCGTCCAGGTTACAGTGTTGTAGTAGAAAATGGCGAATGAATATAACCCATCTGAAACTAAAGCCAGCTGGAACGTGTTCCGCTTATTGAGCCCGTCGCAACTGGATGATGAGCCATAGAAGGCGACGTTGCTCCAAGTTGTGACGAAAATCCAGTTGAATCGAATGTTAGGCAGGTTGGGGTATGCAAGATCGATGTCACGCTTCGCTTTGTCGAGGAGGGAGGCATCCGTAGCCTCCCGGTAGTACACAAAGCCACCTTTCCGGGTGTCAATGTCAGCCCAGAATGGGACAATCATTGGGACAGATAGTGCTCCGCAAGTGGGGGTGTATGCACTAACACCTACAATTTTAATTAGTTAGAGATTGGTAATACTAATAAAACTTTGGCAAAAATGCATATTTTTTTTAATATACTTATATTTGTTTAGACCCTGGGAAAATGAGATTCCCCCGTTGTTGTTGACAAATAGGGTGGAGTAGGTCACATTGAAGAATTTAAATTCGGAAGTCATTGTCAATTGCTTTGTCGCGAAGCCGTCATCATTTGCTGGGAAAGATACGTCACCTGAGGACGTTCCGAACGGGAAGAAATCGCTAATTTCTACCTTTCCTTCTACTCTGGATAAAAATATGAGAAGAATTAAACAAAAGGTGGGAAATTGAGACATAATTTTGTCCAAGATTTGGTAAACTGGTCGTGCTGAATACAGAGAATACAGAATCTGTAGTCCATGCGAGTTAGGACCGACAAATGTTATGACCTAAACCTAGGTTGGAGTGCAGCTATATTGTAAATTTCGATGTGAAGTTGACATAGAATTGTCATGGGATATTTATGAGATCTTATCTGACACGAATTTTCTGCACTTTTATATACAAACATATGTATGCGTGTTGCGATTAAATCCTCAATTTAGTTAAAATGTACTGCCTGTTATGTATCAGTCCTCAATTGAAGCAGGTACATACTTATGTTACCGAATTAAAAAATAATGATCACGGGTGTCAGACTCAACTTTGCGAATTTATTTGGTCAAATTTAAATCATATATGATTTGAATTTGACCTATGTGTACCTATGTAGGTACATAAGTAGATATATATTTGATAAATATGCACTTCATTTACGTATCTATATTGATTAATACATATAAATGTATTACGTATGCTGCACCCAGTAAGTATTGGGCCGTACATATGCATAAAAACAAGTAAATAATTTTACTTCAAAATTTCCAAAAGATATCTACCAGGGAAATTTATAATCAGTAAAAGCATTTACTTATTATTTTTATGCATAATATGCACATTGTACTAATCGCTAGTAGTCTAAAATAATAAAATAGGTTGAGGTGTAGGTGCGCATTTCATGAAAGCGTGCAAAATTGTGCAAAATATTAGACAACGATGTCGTACTTTAAAATTAATGTATAGATCTCAATATTATTTTATTATGGCTTTGCATTATTATGTAGTTTGCCACTCAATTGAAATTTACATATCAAGTTAAAGGACTCGGTTTTATTAAATTACAACCTCACAAATATACACGCCCCTCTCGCTGTCACAATTGTATGCAAACCATTGGTAATTTTGTGTAGCGGAGATAGATTTAAAACAACACATTCCTTCAGCATCTAACTGATTTGCGAAATTTCGATACGTCAACTCCTCCCCTGTGGTCATCCATTCCCATTGAAATTTTCGAATATTGAATTTCCCCGCGGTGATAATTTTGCCTGTGTCGATTAAAAGTGTGCTGGTCAATTTAACTTAATCAAAGAGCAATTATTATTGTTGTGAAACCTTGTAAAGGTGTTGTTGAAATGATTTCCGTAATCACGGCCTCTTGAACGGCGCTATAAATTGTGACAAGTCGTCCTAAATAGATATTTTCACATCGTAGTAGCGCGTCATAAGGTAGGACCTGGAAAGGGTATAGGAATATTATGATTTATGAGATTTTCAAAATTTTGTCAAATTTTCATATGTAGTTTGAATAATCTGTATATTTATTTGGGACAATTTCGATTACTCAAGACGATACCATTTACACACATATTAATTAATTGAAATTAAAATCTAATTAAAATTAAAATTCCAAATTATTTACCAATTCATTGATAAGCAGATGTGTTATCTCCAGAGTTCCATTCCCTTAAATTTTGCACAGCATTTTATTAAATTTACATAACACTATTTTTAGTTTCCATTACTTCTTGCTACAAAGTTCGTACCAATTTTGAACGGAATTACTTTTCCATTCGTCTTAACAGGGGATCCATTCACCGAAAAAAATATGCAAACAATTGAAAATAGCAGTGCCAAAATTCCAGTGATTTTTGCCATTTCAAAATATCTGCTGTATTGAAAAGTCGCATAGAGATGCTTGCGGTTAGCTGACTTTAGACCAAGTGTTGTTAATTTGCTGCTTGATTGAAGATTTATAAAAATAAATTAAAATCAGTAGTAATATGTAGATTACAATCCTGACATATCATGAACTTATCGCTCACCAATCAAGTAATTTCTGTATATAACCGATGTCGGCTTGTTATTGATTAAAGATAATAGTCATGCATGATTCTAATACGGCGTCAATTCTGGGAGCTGTGTTTTTTAATACATATTTTTTTAGCAATAATATACAAAAGTATGAAATTATAGGTGTGAATTTGCCAGTTAGGGAACACGGGTTCAGTTGTCAAAAAACAAGCAGCTACATATATGTATGTATGTAAGATTTTTGGTATATGTACGTAGAGAAAACACTAATTGAATTTTATAATTCATGACATTCACAATAGCTAGAATAGTCTACGATTGATTTGATTTTGTGACATACTTTGGATATCTTAATTTTAAAAATATATGTTTCGAAAGATGTTTCCAATTTGGAGTGGCCATGCATTTGAACAAGCTGACTTTCGGTCAATTTAGGCGTGGTAGGATGCAGTCAGCAGTGTGAGAAAATCGAATATTTTTCAAAATACGTACATAAGCAAATAATGTTTGCTATCTAATGGTATTTGGTGATATAAAATTTTATTATACTGACATCAGTCCATCGTAATTTATTTAGGATATTATGCTCGATTATATCTAGCGTGTGATGACCAACGTCCATGCGTACTTGGACCGAATTTGATTCTGCGGGGGCAATACGACAGTAATTCCAGGGTTATCATTGCACGGTATTCTGCACGAGTACTCCAAATTTCCTTGATTTCCGAGTAGTTGAATCGTCATCCCTGCTGCGTAGGGAATCGAGCCAAGCTGGATACGTGGAGTGTCCTCCGTGGGCAATCTGGTGACAATTGCGTAAGTTACAGTTTCTAGTGCGTTGCTTGTGTACCACACGCCATCCGTCGTGACATCTTCCTGCACCTCGTACGGGACGCTGCTGTAAATCGCGTCTCCATTGATACCCAACCACTCACCCAGCTCGCCAAGGAGTTGCTGTTCGATAAGCGGAATCGAGCCATTCCTTGTCGGGGCAACGTTGATAAGAACATTTCCTGAGTAAATTCTCATTATTCGCGATATTTCAATTATTGGCAAGAAAATCATATCATTGGCAATTATTACCTCCACAAGACACACTCTCAACCATAGTAGAGATAATCTCCTCTGGTCTCATGTAGTCCTCAAAACGGTTGTCGGTTCGGAATCCCCAAGAATATCTGTCAAGTGTGAAGCAATTTTCCCACTTGTGTGGCTGGAGTACTCCAGGGTTCCATCGATCTTGACCGGAATAGAAGCCACCGTGTGTGTTTGTAGTGTCCCAGCCCCACCTAAAATTATAATTATTCATGTTAGGGATGGACTCAGCAAGTTCGGTAGTGACATTAATTATTTACCTGTCGTTGACCACAACTGAATCTTTGACTGGGCTCTCGTTATACAGCCAAGCAAGAAATGTTGTAGAATTCCAGTACCAATCATGCGACCACTCACCATCTGACCATACTACGTCAGGTTGATATTGGTTAACCTGTACCAAAGTTTAATATTTGAAGCCATATTTCAACGATTTTTCACTTTATTCACTCACTCACTTACCACTTCATAAAGCTTGGGCATTGTTACTTCCTCCACAAATCTGTTACTTGAGAAGCCACTCCTCTTATCTTGTAGCCACAACGGATGCAACCACTCACAGAGAGAATAATAGAGTCCGAAACGAAGTCCACCACGTCGCGTAGCAGCAGCCAAGTCACCTACGAGCAGAAATTAGTCCTTCGTACCTTCTAATAAACTCAAAAAAATTATGTGCTCCACCCACCCACGAGATCTCTATGTGGCCCATTGTCCACCGAGTTCCAATTGGGGTCAGAGTAAGCGGACGGCCACAACGTAAATCCTTCGTGATGCTTCGACGTCAAGACGACATACTTGGCACCAGCATTCTGGAAAAGTGTCACCCACTCGTCAGGATTCCAACTTTCCGCAGTTAAGTCTTGAGCCAGATCCCGGTACGTGGTTCCAGGTGGGTAATTGTTTTGCATAAACTCAATCAACGCTGGACTTCCAGGTCCGGGTGGGTCCCCAGGGGTGCCGCCATCACCAGGATAATTTTGTCCGGCTGTTGGCAAAAAATAACACCATGATATATAACCAAATAGAAAAAAATACCCAAATTTTCTCCACTTACAAATATACGCCCATTCAAACCACTCCGCACCGAACCATTCGTTGGATTTTGCTGGGGCCGAGTAAACCCCCCAGTGGATGAATATCCCAATTTTCGCTTGATCGTACCAGGCAGGTAGCGGCCGGGCATCAATGCTCGGCCAGTCTGGCGTATATTGTGACTTAATTGGATTCAAAACTGCAAAAATTATCAGCAGCAAGAACTCTGCTCGAGTCTTGAGACGCGCCGCCATCTTATCATTTATTGGACAATGTCCTGGGCACCGTGCTTGCAAAAACACAACCCAAATAAACAAGAGATTTCCCTTTATATACACACCTCTCAAGTCAAATAAGCCTGCATTATCCAGCCATCAATTATTATTTAGCCATCAGTTATCCACGTGAAGACTGACTTTGAGTGATCACTGTTGATAATCACTAAAAATATCAATATACATATATTTTTTAGGCAAATAAACTTCAACGGTACGAGCTTCACATCAAGCCAATCTGGTTTATGCACACGAATCAAAAAAGGGTTAGGCCAGCAGGAACATTGTTGTGTACACACAACACAATTGACCACACATTTTATTCCAGATATTTATCAACCTGGAATTTCAAGGGGTTTATTGTCTTAATCAAAAAATGTGATTAATCACTTCAACAATTCTCCACCCATTCTAGCGCAAATTAATATAAATAGTACGGCTAACCTCAATCCATCAAAAATGTAAATAATTGAGATCACCTCATCATGTGATGTCGTCATGAAATCATTCTACAGATATGTATCATTTCCAAATATATCATTGCTCAATCACTGTCCGATAAAAAAATCCTCAGAGTACAAAAGGGAATAGGCAAATGCAACTCTTCACAGTCTGTTACTCGGTCAAATCCAACAAAAATTAACCATGAAGTTAATTATAGTCATTTTAGGAATTTTAAAACTTGTGGACCTTTCCACTGCACAGTCCGACGTCGTGGGTAAAATCACGATAGGTTTTCAAGGCTGGTTTGCTGCACGGGGTGATGGATCACCTATCGATGCTTACTGGCACTGGAGTCGGGATTGGGGTCAGCCCCCCTCCCTCACGAATCACGCCCTCGAGTCCTATCCGGACATGAGAGAATATACAGAATATTTCGCCACTGATTTCCCACCGCTTGGAAATGGGCAACCGGCTCGAATTTTCTCATCGTTTAATAACCAAACCCTCGACGTCCAGTTCCGATGGATGAGAGAGCACGACATTGACACCGTCGCCTTACAACGGTTTAACCCATTCGGTGGTGAAGGTAAACATATTTTTCCCCAGAAATAAATAGATAGCTAACTATTACCCACGACCATTTAAATCTCCACTATTAAATTACCACTTTTGTGGTACTCTTGTGCTGAACTTCGCGTATTCCCCTGGTCATTTTCTAGCTGTCACTTGTACAAATAGTTCTGTGAATGCGTTGAACTCAAATTTTTTGGCTTATGATTAAAGGTCCTACCCGTGACGCGATGGCAGAAAAGGTCAAAGTATTCTCAGAACTCCACGGACGCAAGTTTTACATTATGTACGACGTGAGTGACTGGCTTGCCGTGGAAGAGCAAATAAAGGAGGACTGGACTCAGAAAATGTCACAGTACATTTCATCCCCAGCCTACGCTATGCAAAATGGTATGCCCGTAGTTTGCATTTGGGGATTTGGGTTTAACGACGGTCAACGGCCCTTCACCCCTGAACAAGCGTTGAACGTCATTAATTGGTTCAAGGTGAGATTTGGTGCAAAATAATGACCATTCTGATGATTAATATGACCAATTATACGAATGTAAATTAATTGATAGGATCAAAATCTGTACGTGATCGGAGGGGTCCCCACACATTGGCGAAATGAGAACGAGGACTCGAGACCAGGTTTCATGGAAGTCTACACATCGTTCCACATGATTTCTCCCTGGATGGTGGGTCGCATTACAAATCTTCCTGACGTCGATCACTACTATGAAAATGTGCAGACGCCTGATCATGACCTTCTGCGTACTCTTGGAATCGACTACCAACCCTGCGTCATACCCGGCAATAATACGGCTCGTCACAGGTACAAATCTCGCTAAATTTGGTACCTAATTTTTTATTAAATCTCAAAAAATAATCGATAAAACTACTTGTAGGCAACACGGAGATTTCATGTGGAGACAATTCTACAACATGAAGAGGATCGGAGTGGAGGGGATTTACATTTCCATGTGGGACGAATACAACGAAGCGAACCAGATCGCCAAGACGGCAGAAGACGACAGTCAGATTCCAGTAGGGTCCCCGTTTTTGCCTTTGGATGAGGACGGAGTCCGTTGTACTTCAGATTATTATCTAAGGCTGACTCAAGACGGGGGAAGGATGTTGAAGAACGAGGCTCCACTCACGGAGGTCAGGCCAACCATCCCTTGGCCAGAATCATACAATACGAAATGATTCAATCAAAGTTGACATAAAATTGATCATTAAGTCGAGTGAATGCCCTTACACTTATTTTGCATGGTGTATTGATTAGTATCCTTAAAACAATTATTTGTAGAATAATGATTTTTTTAGTACCGAAGTAAGTAATATAATTGTGTCAAATACATAATTGTATCTATGTGGGTAGAATGTAGCACAATTTGTGTTCAAAAAATCTTAAATTTGACTACATTTGCCTTGTTTGCAGTGATTCCAGACTCAAGTTTTATTCATATTATGATTGTCATCGACAAAAAATTGTATGACTAGTCTAAAATTATAGACAATTTTAAAAATAAATAAATTATGAATTTAACTAATTTAATTTGTATCGTACATAAAGTCGAACTTACGAAATTCATATGACAATCTTGTCATCCTTATATATTAATAGCATGCAAATCACCATTCTACGGATCGCATTAAAACGACGATACGTATGAAACGTGTCTCCATACCTGGACCATCAAATGCAATTTCAATGACTCAATATCACTAACAGAGTAATTCAATTATCTGATAACAAATATCATTAATCGGTGTTCGCTGTTTCCTTCGTAAGGAATTGTACATTTGCATAATTTTTTTGTGTCTCTGCACGTGTGACACTTTTGGAAACCTCATTTCCTTTGATATCTACGTCAATCCAAAAGCGAACAGATACTTAAAAAATCAGTTAAATACATTACTTCAATTGTTGGTTTCCTCACTTGTTAATCTCAACTCAACCACTCCACACATTCGACTGACTTATCTGCCATAAATTGGCATCTGCATTACACCACCATTGTCCATTCTCATACCGCAAAATAATAATTCCTCAAAATTTCTCTCCTGCAGACCTTCACCATGCACCTCTCCATTTCCTTAATAGCCATCTTAATCGCCACAATCCTCAACTCTCATACGACACACGCACAACAACTCGTCGCAACTCAAAGTAGAGCAAGGTTTCCAAGGACGATAAGTGGAACCTCCGCCATATTACGTGACCCTGACACGGTCTACATCTTGGGCGGATATGGTGCCGATTATTACACAAATTCCAGCGACATTTTCAAGTTCGACATCACCTCCGACACTATCCAACTAGTGGCCACACTTCCGGTCAACATTCGCCTCGGATCCGCATCAATTGACGCATTCGGAAATATCTACTACATTGGGGGCGACGATCGTCAGTACAACTCACGCCATGAAATTTACAAATTCGACCCGTCCACAAACACGGTCGAGGAGGTGGCCTCGCTCCCATCCAGCAATCAGTACAGTGCTCTCGTGACTTCCCCTGAGGACCTGAACGTTGCCTTTATTCTCGGTGGTAAAAACGACAGACAAGGAATCGTCGCTTTTAATATGGTCACCTTGACAACGGAAAGAGTAGGCGACCTGGTCGTAAATCATTCTAGTCTCATCGCCGTATCTGACGGGTCTGGGTCGGCATTCATTTTTGGGAACAATGGATCCGCCACTAATCCGACTAATCCCGTTACAAAACTGGACTTGTCTTCATTTACTGAGACGTATGGACCACCAACTTTCCCCAAATTAGTTGGTGGGTGGGGTTCCGCCTCTGCGTGGGATGGGCGGTATGCCTACATTATCGGGAACTATGCTGACCAGGAGTTGGGCTTCTACACCGATTCAATCCTCCGATTCGACCCGGAAACGATGGAAACCGCGGTTCTGCGGGTGTCCAACTTCCCAGTGTCGGGGAGCAGACAATATTCCGGAGCGAGCGCCGTATTCGTGGAAAGTTTGAATAGGATATACATTTTTGCGGGGACGTGGTGCCCGATTGGGGGAAGTATTTGCGAGTCATTCGACAGAATTTGGTACATTGACCTTCCCGAACGTCCCACGGTGCCTACGACAGAAGAACCAACGAGCACTACGCCGAGCGAAGAACCTATTTTGTCTACTACGACGACACAGCTGCCCATTTCTACGACAATTAATCCCGATATTTTTACATGTACTGACAAACCTGATGGGATGTACCCGCATCCATACGACTGCGAAAAATTTATTAATTGCAATGCTGGAAATTTGACGGAGTTCAGGTGTCCAGCCCCGCTTATTTTTGATCCCGTAACGCGAAGATGTGAACTGCCAGAGTTGGTTGACTGTGAAATTTCCTGTCTTGGGAAACCCAACGAGATGTTTCCTCATCCTCATGACTGCGCCTTGTTCATCTACTGCCTCCAGGAACAGGTGAATGTATTCCGATGTCCTCCACCACTCCTCTTTGACGGTGTAAATAGACGATGCGATATTCCGGAAAATGTTGAATGTTTAGTAGTTTAGATAATACAAAGTTTACACAAATTATGTTACAATTTGCGTAATCATTGTCAAATTTTGTACATAAATGTGCGTATCTTTGCGAATAAATTTGTGCTGCCTTATCAAAACTTAAGAGAGTCCTGCGTTAAATATTCTATTTTCGTATTTATGCAGTTATATATCTATATACATAAGTATGTATGCACACAAATATCTGTAATCGTACATAAATATGCACAAACATATGTACCAGAGTATAAAGCCAGGTCGAACCGGAATAGGCTGGGTTCGACCTGGATGCCATAAGACTTTTCAGCATTGAGAACTGCATAATGGTAGTTGGAGGGGGCAAACACAGATCATGACGTTATTTATTTAAAATACAATTGTACCAAATTTTAAAATAAGTTGTAGTGTAATTGTAATTTGTGATGAGCATAATTACTAATATAATTGGTTAAGATAGTGTTGGTATTACAGTCACTCAAAACGACTTAATCAGTCCAAATACAACTGTGAAATTATTTTGAAGTTGACAAATTTTTTAAAGTGAAAAAACAATTTCTACCGCCTTTAATTAGCGAGATAATTACTTAAAGATAGTGCTGGTATTACAGTCACTCAAAACAGCTTAAACAATTCAAGATTGAAATTACGCAATCACTTTGACGTTAACACACTTTGTAAGGTATTGAACAGGAATTTTTCGCACCAATTACCGATAATTGGTAAAATATAGTGCTGGTACTACAGTCACAAACTACTACATTGAACAAAGTTTTGTACCAAAAATATGTGTGCGCTCCCTTCCATTCATTTTTAAATCTTAAAAGTTATCCGGCAACCTCAGATATCGAAATAGGAAAAGTTCGACCTGGCTTTATACTCTGATATGTACATATATGTGTACATGCATATAATATTTACATAAGCGTCTTATGTCCATGCATCTGAATTATTTCTCCTGGCTGTGTTGTGAACAGTTCACCTGCACATGTATGAAAGTAATAAAACTTACTTTTCTTTTGCACCATATCGAAAAATTTAGTTTAATTAAATTAAAATTAATTAGTTTAAACTAATTATATTAACAAGAAAGGTAAAAAAAGTTCATCAACTTAGCAAAACATCCGTCCTTCACAACCACATAAATAAATAGATAGTTGACCATATTGTATCACAGCTACGACATAAACCCTCATACTATATTTATCTAATGCAAGATATAAATAAAAATCTCCTCACCTAAAGTCTGATTTATTGACGTATGAGTCATTCCAAAGATCTGAAGTCTGCACCTATTGGATAAATAACTGGATATTCAAGTTTATATATAAATAGTAGATGACATCAAAAGATAACGAAGTTGCTTTAATTAACAAGATACAACTACAACAATTTATACAATTCCATGAGATAAAGTCTTTTTCGTAATCGGGATGTCTTGCTATCTAATTAACATTTACTTACTTTCACGTGCAATGTACCCTGCAATGAATTTTCTCACGTTTTGCTATATTACTCATGGCATCACAATAAAACAAAGAAAACCTGAACCTGCGTCCGTATTTAGCAATAATCCTGCACCAAACGAGTGCAAGGTTTGCATAGTTCCAGTCTTACATTATTTCACAGCATTTCTTGAAACTATTCATTACATATTTCAATAAATTGTACAAAACAATGATTTATTCACGTAAGGCTGGTTCTGTAATCATACTCATAATTTCAGTTTTTACCAAGTTTTCAGCGCAAATCTCTTTAAATGAATTTCTTACACTTACCGAGGAGCAGAAAATTAAACTGGATATTGTAAGTAGTCAGTTAAAAAATTACCTTTGATTTTTAACAATTATCGTTAACTTTGGTATTAAAGTTTAGAGAATTAATCATTTCCCGTCTGCCGGAAGATTATATGAAAGAAGATGTCTACATTATTCGCTGGCTGAGAGGTACACACGATTATTGGCACAATTACGGCTGAAATTAAAGTACATACTAAAGTACATAATTTTGCAAACTTTATCAATTTAGACAGTAATTTTGATATTCCTACGGCTGAAAAACGTCTAATGAATGTGAGATATTTTTATTTATTTTCGACTAATTTTTTCACTTACTTAACCCTTAACGCATCAGATGGTATCGTGGAGACAAGAGAACCAAATGGACACAATTTTACAAGAAGACTGGGCTAAGTCTGATTACGAATTTAAAATTTACATAGAAGGTTGTGATCGGGATAAGAAACCAGGTACATAAATGAATAAATAGTGTATTCTTATTCGTGTCAAAAATTATCTTACAAAATTTAAAAATTCGTCTCATTAGTCATATCAGTGTCGGTCGATTGGGACATACGCCGCATGGTCATAAGCGGCGAATCCAAAAAATTGATGCGATATATTGACCGAACGTTTGAAGAAGCAGAGCAGATGGCGAGGAGAATGATTGCTGATGGGCAAAATGTGACCCAACTGACCATGATGTTCGACCTGAGCAACTTTAACCTAATTGAGCAAGCCTGTGGACGATGTAAATGGACCACGTAATTGTTTTCCAATTGTTATAGCGTAAACATTACTACTTAATTTTTAATAGGTCTCCCCATCTACTTTCATCTTATCACGACGTATCAGGATCATTTTGCTGGTTTGCTCCATAAAATCATTATCATAAACGGTACGAATTTCATTGATTTTATGGTCAAATTCTGGAATATGGTTTGCATTTTGGGTATTTTATGTGTAGCACCTGAAGTATTCGTTCCATTGTACGACGCCTTGAAACCCGCCCTGTTCAAGAATACACGTGATCTAATTACCGTTTTGGGCCGGGACAAGGCACACTCGTTGCGTTTCCTTATGAAGGAAATGGACAAAGATCAGCTATCTCGAAAGTACTTGGGATCAAAGAAGGAATCCTTAGATTTTCAAGAGTTGCGGGACTCAGGAGAGGTTTATAGATGTACAAATGTGTAGAAATTTGAATTTGCTATAGTAAAGTAACTCATTAAGTACTATCGGATTGAATAAAGAGGTACCGAAATATGAGAAAGATTGTAAATAGATTATATAAATTGTAATTAATCGCTGGGAAATTTATCATGGAGTAAAACAAATAAATATACAAATACGAGTACTTCCGACTACCTAAAACAGCAGAAAATTAATAGTACTTGAAGTTTAATTTATGGGGATTTTTATTTAAAACAACTTGGGTTTACACCACGTTGCAACTTTGTAACATTGTTTGCTCAGGTATGCAAAAGTTACAGTTATCAAAGTACATAATTGTAATCTGAATAATGCATATATAGTTTGTATGCTTTGCAAATTTTACAAATTCCATGCAGTTACAAAAACTTTGTATAAATTTCCCAGAGTACCTCCGTAACACAACTAAAGTTTTATATCCGTGACCTACGACAATTGGTTTTGTAATCAAGGAGTTTTATAGATACTTATATATGTACCATATTATGAATAAAAGAAGCATGTAGTATATCTGTAAAAAGTGTTTATTATGGTCGAGAGTGCATAGTATTAAATCATGATCAGTTACACATTCCCACTTAACTTAATACCTTTTTAAGTACATAACTACATTATGTAGTCTACATATGTACATAATTTCATAGTTACGTATCGATGGGAATTCTGAGTGGATTAAAAAACAGCTCTTTCTCGAATAATTCATGAGCAGAGGTGTCTTGAAAATTAGACAATTTAAAAAGAAAGTTGAGATTACTACTCGATATGATCACACAAGTATCTGGGATCACAAAAATGTAAATTTTATCAAAATCCTAGTAACATTTGATTTTTTATGGATTTTGAAGTTACTAATTTTTGTGGGTTTTATCCCTTTGAGTGGGTGTGGCGGGCGTAAATGTGGCCATGGAGTAAAATCATTTCAGGGTTATGAATCACACAACACATCAGGTACCTATGGACTTTAGAAATTCCGGATATTTTAAACCACTTCTCATCACAGGATGATCATCCCGTGTTTCTGTTGCACTCATCGTGATACATAAATATGAGGATCACGCTTGCATAAAAAATACATCAGTCTCGCCTCAGAGTTTTATTTCACATAGACGAAAACCTATATTTCTACATATACCGTAAAACCTCTATTTATAGCCCTCTTCTAATTATAGCCGGTCTCCAAATATAGCCGGGTCTAGAGACCAAGATTTCAAAATTTTAGCCGGGTCTCTAATTATAGCCGGGTCCCCAATTATGGCCGGGTCTCTAATTATGGCCTGTCTTGTCCGCTGTGTCCCTGTTCATAGTCTATTAAAGAAAAATGTTGCACATTATGCCAATCAACGAATAAGTTGAACTACTATTTTTTTTCTATTAATTTCAGGTTAATAATGGATATAATTATGACATAAAATTTAAAAACCTGCTAAACTTCGTTTCAAGATGTAGATTAAAAGTGAATGGGTTACTTATGGCTTATCTTGCTAAATTAGAAAAGTCAAATTGAGTCAACATGAATTATATTTGGTTTTGTAACATCTAAAATTTTTGGAGCAACAACATTTGGCCGGGTCTCTAATTATAGCCGGTCTCTAATTTTAGCCGGGTCCGTGACCCTCAGTTTTGGATTTTAGCCCCGGCTATAAATAGAGGTTTTACGGTATATTTATTTATCATCTTTAATACTTTCTTAATTTGTATCCTTCCATACGACTTCCCCCAGTTTCTCTAAAATTTCATAGACGGTTTAACAATTTTACGTATTTGTATAGTCAATTCAACACAATTACAGATTGTTCTACGCATTTGGATGGACTTTGGATCTTTGGTGGTGTGGTGTGGTATGTGTCTGGGGTAAGAAAATGCCGACAAACTGATAAACTTGTCCAGCCTGTATGTACCTACATATGCATATTTACATTATATGAATGTAATAATGATTAATCCTCCCCTGATGTTTTTAGTCTTGCCAAATTGTCTCCCCATTTACATATTTACATCCTCTGCCAGATTACGAGTTCGTTATTATCTGTAGCACTATATGTACATATACATAAGTATCTCCAGTAGATCTACTGTTGCGTTTTTTAACATCCTTCGTGCAAGTTGGGTTAGGTTGTGCATATTGTGTATACATATTTATTATGTCGATCTTTCAGACAAAACCACAAAAAAACTAAACCTTCAGAAAAACAAGAGAGAAGTACATATTTATCTCTATATATTAATATACAAATAAAATGATTAGATCTGCTCACTCATCAGTAGCATTTAAGCAATCCTTCACTCCAGACAGATTCAGATCCTCAATTACCTAATAAAATAACGGGTCAATGGAAGGAAACCAATCTCCAAAAAAATTACGCGATAATTTTCACAACGCCGAGTTGGTATTAAAACTAGCAAAATTTGGCGACTTGATCGAAATTCAGGACAAATTGAGACGACCACACAACAACAATTGGGTTTTATTTGTGCGAGATGAGTTTGTCCTGCACTTAATTGAAGAAGATTTTTCAGACAAAGTAAAATTTTCCGTGGATAAATTCACCGATATTTTCAGCTTTTCGGAATCTCCATGTCGGGTCAACAACTTGGGAAAACTCGCCACTGTAAACAACGCCAAGTTAAGAAACATGAGTGATGAAATGATCCATGATTTAACGCAGGTTGAAAAATTTGACCTGCGATATCCAAAACATCCCAGCCAACGACGCCAAATGCTGATGAGTGTCGTCAAGTATGACAAACCGCTGTGGTCATCCGTCGATGAGGAGGATGCAGAACGACGCCAAAGTGTCGAAGACTACTTTTGTGACCTCAATCCCTGGGGTTATCAGCATTACGAGGAAGTCATAAAAATTGCTATGCCCGGTGACCTCATCGAGATCAAGAGAAGCTCAGGTTTCTACAGACATTGGACGGTTTACGTGGGTGACGGGGATTGCATACATGTCGGGGAGAGGACGATTTGGAATTATAAAATCGTGAGGGAAAGTTTGGCACAAATTTGCTCCTCGCAAAAATTTCAGAGTACTTGTCGCATAAATAATTTACAAGAGTGGGCTGAGCGCAAAGGGGTCAAGGCAAGAGAAGGGTGTGACGTGGTTGCAATCGCGGAATCATTTTTGGGACAAATGTTTGATTTCGAAATTTACAAAAATAACTGCGAGCATTTTGCAACATTGTGTAGATTTGGGGATCCAGTTAGTCGACAGGTATCAATAATTTGATAATGTTATTCGATTGTATGCATTTTACTGAAATCTTACTTCTTACATATTTCAGGTTGATCGAAAAACTGAGCTGTTCGATGTTATTGTATTTGATCTCATAGAACTCCATAACGCAAAACCTGCAATTACTAAGACTGAAATCGTACAATTTTCCGAGGAACCAGTGGACAAACGCAGGAGACTTAATTAAAACTATCTCAATAATAGTATTCTTTCTCACTAAAATTCTGGTATTTCAACCAATTCTGATATTAAAATATTTCAACATGACCGTAAAAATTACTAATAAAATTACTTTTGGAGCCGCTAAGAAATTGTTAAACAAATTGTCACTATGTTTTTTTAAATGGTAAATTTATACCGGTATCAAATGACATTTTGTTCAAAATATAATGTTTTCTATCACAGCAACTTAAAAACCCCAATGTTCATTTAGACAAGTCAGGTCATTTTCCGGTTTATTTTTATCAGAGATACTTCTTTGCGGTCCTTAATTAGTTGATACCACATTTACTTTACATGTATTTGTGAAATGTTTGGAAACTAGACAATTTCTTGTTGAAATACACAATAGTAAAAGTTTAGACCTGTAAAGATATGTAAAGGAGGCGAAATTCCACTTATACATGCATACCTACATACATACGTATGCATAGACCGTAATAAAAGTAGGCAGTGATTATTACGTCTTGTTTTGTTAAATGATAATTTATTTGATATACTTGCAAATCAATATGACTCATACTCATTACTTATCTATCGTAAATTTCTGCTAATGATTACACTTCAGTGACCTTTGGATAGGCATGTATGTACATTTACTAATTAAAATTTACAAAATATGCCTAATCAACAGTTGTCTCAAAAACAGTGATATTAATCGCGTAACGTATTTATATGCAACCCAGGCAAAAAATACGTCATATTACCAGATGGGTTTTCCAATAAATTTTTTTAGTGTTAACCAATTACTAAAAATTGGCATGTCGATAGTTACATTTCTTATCACTGTTCAGACCTCATGCTGGGAATGTTCTCTAAAAGCTTAAACAATAAATTTAGTATGACGAGCACTTATTTACTACTCGGTTTTGTCTTAATTGTCATTCTGAATTGCATCAATTGCCTTCCAAGACGCGAAGAGGACTTCAACGGTAACGGTCAGTCACAACGAGTTCTCTCTGAAACTGTACGTGCGGTTGCTGAAGTTGTGGAGGATGCGGGGGGTAAGTGCAGTATAAAATAGCTTAATTGCTTAAATCAAATTATAAGGTGTGTATTTATTTAAGATGTTAAATAAATATTTTTTGAAGGCGAAAGCTTGGATGAACTGTATTTCACTCTTGGAAAGTTAATGGAGGACCTGGGCTTTGTTGCGTGGGGTGGGTATCATTGAACACTGGGGTATTAGCTATTAACCATTAAATACAGAGGGGTGGGACAGAAGAAGGAGCCACTTTGCCTAAATTTATTGCGGCCTTATTATTCGTTTGTGAAGTTTGGTAATTGGTTCAGTGTGAAGCCCTTTAGTTTATCTAACGAGCCTCAGTCGCTTTTTCCAACCAGTCATGACCTTTGACACCATTTTCAGAGTGATTCTGCACCACTCGTCCTGAACACTTTTCCAAAGTGCATCAAAACGTGCGCGTTTTCCTTTCAAGAAGGCTCCGTTTTAAGTACCCGAATCCAAAAAAAAACATCGGATTGATATCAGAGGAACTAACGAGAGTTTATATAGTAGGAATAATTGTTATACCCAAACTTTTTTAAAAATCGTTCGCGTAGGCTGCTATTTTGTGAGAAATAAGTTGGGTTGAGAGCATGATCTCGGGATTTCCTACGAGTCACTTGCTGTAGGTCATTGTGACTGACTCTAGAAATGTTCTCCTACTAACGTTTAACATTTTCGCCATGCAACTTTTAGTTGGTGGATTTACCGTTTTGGCGAAAAATTGATTTTCCGGATAAACTTTTTGGTTCAAGCGGATCTTGGGTATCCTTTCCGTGGGGGTGGAGCTCTAACCGCTTTTTCCCTTCGCTTGATTCCAACGTTTTTAAGTACATTAGAAACGTACTTTCGATCGACGATAAATCCATTTGCAGCAAATTTTCTAACAATCGCTCTCTGGCTCAATATGTCGTTGGAAAACACTTTTATGCGTGCCTCGCACTCTGGGGGGTGCTGTAGGGGCATTTTTAACCGTAGGGAAAATCTGAATAGTGCTAAATTTTCGTTAACTATCTGGGTATGACATATGCAAATTTTGAAAATGCCGCGACTGTGCATCACACGCCACCCCTAAAATTCTAGTGGCTCCTTCTTCTGTCCCACCCCTGTATATAGGTGGATTTAAGTTATTTGTTAACTATAATCTTAAGCTTTGGATAAGTAAAATAAAATGTAAATGGGTTCACCTCAGGTTGAGTCAAATTTAAGCGTATACGTATTTATATACATCTCCCCGTTGTTATAATTTTCTTAAAAAGTTAACAATAACGTGAATGTATAATCAGCCACTAATTTGCACACAATCAACGCCGTATTTTTCTCCATAACGGTAAACTTGCCAATACTAACTTTTAGCTTGGGCAAAGAAGCAAACACTTTCATCCCGAATTTTGTCGGCTTGTCAATCATTAAAACGTGCCAAAATTCTTTTGACATCTCCGTCGGGCGTGAAGCCTTGTGCAGGACAACACTTATTAAACCCGCCATCTCCAATATGACGCTACCCATCACTACACTACTCGCCAATTGTAACCTCCCCCATGACCGAAGTACTCCATAATTTCCCACAATTTGCGTCAAGCAAGAAAAAAGGAGTCCGAGTGGGGCAATTATCTGACAGAAATTAGCATCCAGATAATTCCAGTAGATTACAACCCTACGATAAATCTTCACCTTTGTCTGCCGGATTTGAAGGCGTTTCGTCCACCCACGAAATTTCAGACAACGCGGAAGTGTGCCAATCTTTACGTTGAGGATACTGAATAAATATTCTATCCTGGAAATTATTGTGCACCCGAATAATACGAGAAATATGCAGCGTATGCAAGTACTTATGTACATATATTAAATTTTAAGTCAAGTTATGATCCAAATTAGCCTTATGCATATCGTCAACTTAACCCTTGCCATACCATATTCATATAGGTACTATATTCATACTTATACAGCAGCATATTTACATACGTATGAATATGCTTGATATTTTGTAGCATTTGTTTTCGTTGAAATGAAAATAATTTATTCATAAAGTTGAGGAAATTGACATTCTTATTGAACCTTTGAGGAATATAAATATTTAAAACATGTATTATCCTGGATTAAGATTGCATCTAGTAGTTTGCTCAGGAAGTTTTCATCGCTTTACGGAATCAATCTGAAGTAATGAAAAATTTAACGATGAATTCTCTGCAATGCAATTTTCCAATAATTTGTCCCTACACTTAGTTAGGCATGTGTGTATTAATATGCATATCTCGGTCTACAAATAAGTACCTGGATTAATATACATAAATATATTTTTTATGACAAATATACATACAAGTATAGTACACAATACATCAGAGTCAACTATTTAACTTGTTTTTAGCACACATTGTTGAGATCCGACCAATCTACCCGATTTAGCTTTCACTCTCAAAAGAAACAGGATTTCGAAGCACAGTGAAAAGAACGTAGGAGATGTAAAGTTATAAAAATCTATTTCTCTGATTCCAAATAGCTTGAAATCCGCAAATAAACTGACGATAACCCTTTGGCTTTACTCTCAAATCAATTTATTTCAACGAGAAATCAACTATATGGACTAAACAATTATTAATCAAATATTTTTAATTAAGTTTTTGCGGAAGAGGAATCTTAGCTCTCCTTAACTTCTACACACCGACCACTAAAAAATACTTCCCACTTCTCTCAACAGAACCCACGCGTCCCTTTTTCCTCACTATCCCACTTACACTCTTATTTCCGCATCCCTCACCCGCTCGATATTGAACATACCATTTTTCATGGGCATCTTATGTTCCATGAAAATGCTATTCTATAATGGCATATTATTAATTTTATAATTAAAATTACAGCATACTAATAACTCTACATATCATTTGACAACTCCTAACTGCTATTAAATTCAAAATGTATCGAGAAAATTACTCAACGAGTAATTTGATAACTCCCACACATGCCAATTCCGTTTTCATACTGATCATAAATTAATGAGTAAAAATTTAACAATATTATTATGCTATGCTTTTAACATTCCTCCCACCATCTTTTGAGAGCAGAACTCAAAAGATCAACCACATACAAGTCTAAGAATCTGTAACTAATTATCATATAACCAAGAACAAGAAATTGTACACTGCACATTCACTTTGAAGCACTAAATCTGGACGGCTCGTTCAGTAGTCGTCCAAAGCGCGACGTCTTAATCGGCACGTTAACTTTCACCGACTTCTTGAAAGCTCCGGCTTGCTCGTTCTTCTGAATCTTCGTAACAGGCGTAATTTTCTCTACTTCTTGAGTCACCACTGGAACTTCGATTGGATTGGAGATTTCCAATGGGAATAATCGCTGCAGTGGTCGGATAAGATGTCCATGCATGGTCTTCACTTTGGCCACCCGACTTTCTCCATCACGCCCCACCATCAGCTCGATGACTCGTCCCATATCCCACATGAGTCTTTTCTTGTTGTCGTCGCCTATGAGGACCAAGTCACCAACTTGGAATGGATGGACTTTCTCCTGTTTTCCTCGCTGTACCAATTGACTGAGGTATTCTTTTCGAAAACGGACACGAAACTCTTCCCTCAGACTCTTCTTTGCTTTATTGTCTTCGCTAGGTTGATGACCGCTCAACTCTTCAACTTCTGGGCACTCTACGTCTTGAATCTCTCGTAGAAACATAGAAGGGGTGAGAGGAATCAGGTCTTCTTGATCCTCAGTTACATAGGTAAGTGGCCGGTCGTTAATCACGGCTTCGATTTGACACAGGGAAGTGTGAAGTTGATCCTGAGTTAACTTGCGATTTTGAGAACTCTTTTCAACAAGTCTTTGATGCTCCCAATCAGCCGCTCCCACCAGCCACCCCACCAAGCTGCACTAGGGGGATTGAATTGCCACTGGATTCTGTGCACTTGAGTCTGATTTTCAATCTTCTCCCAGTTTAAACTCCTGAACAAATTGTCGGCGCCCACAAAGTTGGTGCCGTTGTCACTGTAAATCTTTGTTGGTCGCCCCCGTCTGCTGATGAATCGCCACAATGCCATCAGGAAGTCTTCGGTGCTAAGCGAAGTGACGAGTTCCAAATGTACACATCGATAGACAGCACATGTGAACAATACCATCCAGCATTTGGTCTGGTTTCTCAAAATTATAGGTCCAGCCAGATCCACTCCCGTAATTTGAAACGCTTGAGCTGTCTTGACACGGTCTTCTGGCAAAGATGCGGGAGGTACACAGGGTTTCTTGGTTGTGAAACGACGACAGGTTACACATGCTGACACCACCTTTTTGATGGCACGTCTTCCCTGTAAAATCCAGCACTTTTCCCTTATTCTTCCCATCAAAAATTGCACCCCTGCATGTTGATTCAGGATGTGCTCTTCTCTAATTAGTTGCTCCACCAATGGATGTGAACTCGGCAATAACACCGGATATCTGAAGCCAACTGAATCCTGACGGTTTTGCAACTTGGTTTTCACACAAATCAGTCCATCTTTAATTTCAACACGTAGTCCGCCAATCATACTGTCTCTCGCTTGCAAGGTTTCCGATTGCACAAATCTAAACATGGTCTTTTCAGCCTGGATCAGCTCCCACCGTTTGAGCACTCCAGTTTCGCTATTCTGTTTGGCAAAGAGCTTGACAATTCTCGTCCACAAGTCGCACATTCATGTAATAAGACGAGTATCTTCTCAAATACCACGGAGCCTCTTGAGATGTCGAGACGAGTTTGACTGTTGTCATATTTTTCTTCTTTTCTTTTAATACTTCATCTTCATTCACCTCTGCTTGTCCTGATGGCCAGGTTTCAGATGATCCTCGTAACCAAGTTGGTCCCTCCCACCATCGAGACTTGAGAAGTTGGGCAGGGTTGCAGCCCCTGGAAGGGAGATCTGCAGGATTCATAACGCCTGGGACGTGTCTACAATTTTCCACTTTGGTTAGCGAACAGATCTCCTTTACCCTGTTGCCTACAAAGGTTCCCCACTCATTATTCCTTTGAATCCAAGATAAGGCTGTCATAGAATCCGTCCAAAAGTATGTCTCTACTCCATCCATGGATAAGGCTTCCACCACCGAACTGTGGAGTCTGGCCGCTATTGTGCATCCCAACAGTTCCAATCGCGGAATGGTCATCTTTTTAAGCGGAGCAACTCTCGCCTTGGCTTGGAGGAGTTGTACGGTAACCCCTTTCTGATCTTCAACTCTCACGAAGACTGCAGCAGCATAGGCAGCCCCACTGGCGTCTGAGAACACATGAAACTGTACTGATTTAACCAGTTCTGAACGAAATGCCCATCTTGGTATCTTGACCTCAGCTAGCATTGACGTCTGCCTCCACCATTCTCCAAATTCACTCTTTATGTCCAAAGTGTCGTCCAAATCTTCATCCCAGGTTTTCTTGCTTTCCCAAGTCTTCTGTAGCATCAACTTTGGCACTAGCGTAGCCGGACTCAAATATCCCATCGGGTCAAATATTTGTTGTACCAAGGACAGAATGACTCGCTTGGTCAATTTTCCTTGAAGTTGAAGTTCTACTTTTGGGATGTCAACAAAGAGTTCGTCTTGAACTTTATCCCACTTTAATCCGAGAACACGGGTTAATTGCTGCTTTGCATCCGGAACATCTACTGCCGTTCTTTCCCACTGGCGGAGCTCCATTTTTGCATCAGCCATTATTGATGTTGCATGAGTCCTGAATTCTTCATATTCTTCAATCGAATCCAGCGACGTCACACAATTATCCACATAAAGAGATTTCAAAAGAACTGTTGCTATTGGCCGTAACTCTTCTTTTACTGACTCAAGATGAAGTTCAATTACAGCTCCAAGTAGGAAGGGGCTGCAATTTGCACCAAACATCACTCTCCGCATGGCGGAAAAGTTTGATCACATCTTCTTTCCACCACAGGAATCTCAAGAAGTCCCGATCGGCTTCTGCCACTTCAATCATCTGGAACGCCTTCCTGACATCGGATATCACGCCCAGTTTTCTTTCTCGGAACCGTAGTAGTAACGATGGAATCAGCTCCAATAAATTGGGGCCTTTCTCCAGACAGTCATTGAGAGAGGGATTTCTTCCAACCTTGCAAGAAGCGTCAAAAACCGGTCGCACTGGGGTTGTAAGGCTCTCTTCTTTGATTACTGCTCGGTGTGGAAGATAGTGACACAAGGTTGAATTGTCTTCTTCAGATACCGCCTCAATGATCCCCTCCTTTTCCCAATCGACAAAGATCTGATCATAAAATTTGTAGTTTCCATTGGCTTTTAATTTTGCTGTTGTTCCGATTAGTCTCTTCTCCGCAACCAGCTTGTTGTCGGGAATTTTCTGAGCTCCATCTATCCATGGTAATGTGACAGTATATCTCCCTTCTTTATTTCTGGAAACAGTACTCAAGAAATGTCGTTTCGTTTCTTCTTCATTCTCTCGCTTCGACTTATGCTCTTCCGGATCTTTAATTCCGATCGAGTCCAGATTCCACAAGCACTGAACGGATGCTTCGCCGTGGAACAAAGAAATACACGACATAGCCACGGTGTCATTTGTGTTGATATTGGGAACAGGTCCACTAAGAGTCCATCCGAATATGGTCTCGACTGCGATTAACCCACATCTCAACTTCACTTGCTTCCCGGTAACGAGCTGTCCCCAGTAGTCAATGAGAACCTCGATCTCCGGGTTATCAACATAAGAATCTTGGTAGTCACTCAACCAGATATTCTTTTTACGCAAGGCTTGAATCCATGGTCCCGCTGGTACTCTTGGAATACTTCCGCAAATCTTTGCAGCTTCCCGAAGTACAAGAGTCTTCTTAACATGGCCATCCAAGGACTTCAGGTCAACAGCATATTTATTGATCTTCTTCACATCGGTCACTCCTCCGCCAAACAACACATTTCTCCCCCATTCATGTCCAATACACTTGCTTCCAATCAGGCTGATGGTTGCAGCTCCACAATTGCTGAGTTGGCTCCCTTCATCATAGATAAGTCGAACACTGGTGACGGCTTTGGGGCCACATGCTTTCACAACAAGAGTCTTTAACAACACATCCCCTCGGCAGGCCACGTTGAAATTGGCAGCGGAGGTTCTAGTGGCACTTGACGATGCCTCAAGCTCACTTGATTTATCCACGACTGACCGGAGCGGACACATCGCCTTGCAATGTTTGACTTCGCAAGCAACACAGTTCCATTGGCATGTGCAATCACGAGCGAAATGTCCTGGCTTGAGACACACCAAGCACAATTTATTCTTCTTGACCACTTCTTTCTTCTCATTTAGCGTCATATTCCCGGCCTTATGACACACGCTACTTTGATGGCCAGATTTCTTACAAAATACACATTGTGACGTTGAGTGACCACTGAATAGCCCCGCACCAGTAGGATAATCTGATTCATATTCTGGTTTGGGAAATCTAGAAAATGTCTTCTTCTGCTTGACAGCTTCCTTTTTCTTTTCATCTGTTTCAAATCCACTCTTGGCCAAAGATCGCTGCCCCTCGTTTTCAACTTCTTTCTTGAGAAACTTAAGGAGGAAGTCCAATTCACTTTGGGGTGGATTTGACTGGGATCCGTCATGTCCGTAGAACAAACTTCTTTGCCACGCCACAAGGAGGTCCTCGGGAAGGCTTGACTCCACCATAGGATATAAAAAGTCTGCCATTTGTTCGTGGGACACATTGAGGGACTCCAAAGCCTTAAGATGAGATTCCAGTTTGTCATACATTTTGCACAACTGGAAGTCTTCTTTGCTCTTTGCGTTTTGAATCACCATCTTCAATAATTCTCGAACGTACAATTGTTTCAATAACTTTGGTTGTCCAAATCGCTCTTGAAGTGCCGCTATCGCCTTCGGATAATTTTCTTCAGTGTGTGGATAAACGTCCACCACATCTCTTGCTCTGGATCCGATGACCATTCCCTGCACCAAATAGTCGAACTTATCACTATCAGCCAGTGTGTCATCTTCGTGGATCTTCTTAAACTGCGACCACCAACTCAACCAGTCCTTCATATCACCGTTGAATTTGCGTAATTGGATCTTCGGCAGTTTAAAGTTTCTTCGTTTTGACTCTCCGTTGAGCGATGTGCCCACCGAGTCGTACCACGCAGCACTATTCGTTGGACTTTGAGAACCTCCAGGCAGCTGGAAGGATGGCACAAACATTTCTTCAGCCTTCACCTTCGTGTTCCTTATCTTGTCCTCATATTCTTCAATGCTGAGACTTTCTTCTTCGTATTCTTTTTCGGAACAACCGTCGGCTCGCATTGAACTCAAAATCTTGATATCTACTTCGTTGATCCTTGTCAGCAACACCTCCAACTTCTCTAATTGACATCGAAGGGTGTGACGATCCGGAGTTTCTTTCGTCAGCTCTGACTCTATCAGGTTGATGGTTCGAGTCACCGACGACCGGATGGGTTTCCTCTCAAACTTGAGCTGCTCCATGGCCAAACCTCAAGAATAGTAAATCCAAAAGACAAAATATATTAGAAGCAATTCGCGTGAATGAACCAAATTGGTCAACAAGACCTCAATCACTCCCGAATGCACGGGATAGGGCCCACAAAGTGGCAATACAGGTAAATTTCCACAAGAATTAACTGCTGCTTCCTTCCGCCAAAGGTCGTCTCTGCTCCCAGTGCGGCTAGTTCAGGTCGTTACAATCAAAAGGAAAATTATCACCTCGTACACCCCCGAATACTCAGGGTGGGGTCCTCAAAGAGGCAATTCCAATGAATCCTCTCCAAGCGACACGGTCCCACCTACTCGAACACAAAATATCCTCCACGTCCAATGGCACCAACAACGACAATCCTGGCAAGGTCGCCAAAATGTTGAGATCCGACCAATCTACCCGATTTAGCTTTCACTCTCAAAAGAAACAGGATTTCGAAGCACAGTGAAAAGAACGTAGGAGATGTAAAGTTATAAAAATCTATTTCTCTGATTCCAAATAGCTTGAAATCCGCAAATAAACTGACGATAACCCTTTGGCTTTACTCTCAAATCAATTTATTTCAACGAGAAATCAACTATATGGACTAAACAATTATTAATCAAATATTTTTAATTAAGTTTTTGCGGAAGAGGAATCTTAGCTCTCCTTAACTTCTACACACCGACCACTAAAAAATACTTCCCACTTCTCTCAACAGAACCCACGCGTCCCTTTTTCCTCACTATCCCACTTACACTCTTATTTCCGCATCCCTCACCCGCTCGATATTGAACATACCATTTTTCATGGGCATCTTATGTTCCATGAAAATGCTATTCTATAATGGCATATTATTAATTTTATAATTAAAATTACAGCATACTAATAACTCTACATATCATTTGACAACTCCTAACTGCTATTAAATTCAAAATGTATCGAGAAAATTACTCAACGAGTAATTTGATAACTCCCACACATGCCAATTCCGTTTTCATACTGATCATAAATTAATGAGTAAAAATTTAACAATATTATTATGCTATGCTTTTAACACACATCATAAATTAGAATAATGTACACCCCACAAATTCTTCACAAAGTCAGTAATAACATAAATGTATAATCAGCCACCAATTTGCACACAATCAGCGCCGTATTTTTCTCCATAACGGCAAACTTCCCAATACTAACTTTTAGCTTGGGCAAGGAAGCAAACAATTTCATCCCGAACTTTGTCGGCTTGTCCATTCTTAAAATCTACCGAAATTTTTTCGACAGTTCCGTTGGGAACGATGCCGTCCCAATTGCCACACTTATCAGGCCTGCCAGCTCTACCATCAGACCTGACCACAAGATTCCAATCGGCAATGCTACCCTCGCACAAAACCGAATAACTCCATAATTTCCCACAATTTGTGTCAGACAGGCAAACATTATTCCAGGTGGGGTAATAATCTGGCAGAAATTAGCATCCACATAATTCCAGTAGATTGTAATCCTACGATAAATCTTCACCTTTGTCTGCCGGATTTGAAGCCGTTTTGTCCACCTCCGAGATTTCTTGCAACGCGAAAGTGTTCCAATCTTTGCGTTGAGGATAGTGAATAAATGTTCAAACCTGGCAATTATTATGCACCCAAATTGCATCGGGATATTGACAGCGGTCACACCTTGCATTAATAACCAATACAAAAATGCGACCCTGTAAATGAATTGCGCCCAAGGAGGTCCAGGAATATGCAGCCATTGCAATAATGCACTCGTCACGTCAAAATTCATGGCGACGGCCAAAAGAGAAGCAAACGGCATGCTGATAAGGGGAAAAATTAGACAGGATTGTGCAGCCACTTGAAGAACCTTATACTCCGGGGGTTTATAGATAAGCTCCACCTGGGCGCATATGACGCAGTATTCTGTTAGTCAAAAGCAAGATTTTATTTATTAATCCCGTATTTTAAACATGCAAAGTAAATCCGTTTTTTTAAATCGTTCTCACCTTTGCACATATCTTTCAAATCGTCCAACGGATTTAACACATTGCACAAAACTTTCGGGAAGTGAACCATTAACACCATTACGGTTATAACTGAGGACAAGCCTAGAGTAACAAACACTGACATGACCGCTTTCAGGGGATCTATTTCACTGGTGGAGTTTCGAAAGTTTCCAATCGTGTGCCAAAGTTGTATGTAAAACGTGGAAATTGTCGGAATACATAAATATAAGGTTATTTTACTCAAGATGGTTCTCAGTTTTGACTGAGATTGGTTGTAGACAATTTTATGGTGCCTCAGATCAACTTTGATTAACCACAAGGCAGATATTTTGGAATAGAATTTGGCGTAATTGCCAAGAAAAGTCCAAAATTTGTGAGGTCCCATGATGTTTATCCTGTTAGTCTTTAAAATTAATTGGTGATTCGCATTCAAACAAGAGTTATTTCTTGCGCTTGTGTAGCTGGTTAAGTTAAATAAATTAATACATTTTTAGTTGACCGTCAGTACGACTTATCCTTCATTTCTGGGTAATCGATACAATTATTTTAAACCTTACATCCGAAGAGGGGAAATAATTTTATTAGTACTCTACGTCACAAATACATATTTACAGAAATGTATATGTGTATAACATGTAAATATATAAAGTAACTTTGTGGAAGATATGAATAAATATTTTAAATAGTCCACAGACTAACAATAAGTACATATATAGATTTTTGCTGTATAGCAAAAATCCGAAATTTAATACCTTTTAATAAATTTGTTTTGTATATCTACAATTGGAGCTGGGACCCAATTATTCCATCCCTCACTTTAATTTACTTCAGAGGTTGAGGCCGACTAATTAAATATTTATGTACAGATAAATACTAACAATCGTATACATACATGCAAAGTTTCCGTAGTTTAAAATATATGTATGGTAAATTTTGAGTTCTCAAGAGTTGCATACTTTTGATAAAGATATGTGTAAATATCTATCTACATACCTGTAAAGGGAAATATATCTGTATAAATCATATAAATTTAAAAACCCAGTCAACAATCAAAATGACACTGAATGTGCCTGCTACTGAGGATGTGTAAATCGGATCTTATCCCTCAGATAACCTCTCCCACCCATTTTTTACGACTATCAAATATGCATCACATATATTTATTCAAAGTGGCTGTACAACTCTCGAATCACTCTTGACAAAATGAGGAATTAAAACTAAAAATGCAGTATGTACAGCAAATACATACATACTCGTATGTATTTTTATTTAGGTATATCATGCTTAAGAAATTGACGAGGTTATTATCACATTCAACGGATCAATTTGTTTTAATTCATATAATGTGAACTTACATAGTGAAACCTGAACTCATCTAGCATTATGAATGCACTATCAGTAAATTATTACAGCGATACTAAATACGTAGCACAAACTATTTGTACACGATATAAATGTGTCGGAATGTGATGCTATCATAATGTAAATTAGGGACCATGTGTACCAGTGGTGTTTCTCAAAATACTAAAACCTTTAACTCTCCCAAAACTTGTAATTAAACATAATTGAAGTGATGGTATGCAAGACCCGGTTTACAAATATTGTGAATAACGTATGTTTGATTTAGGTTCATTATTAGTGCAATCTTCTTTAATCTCTTGTCTTCTTCCACGTGTCGAATGTTCCTTCATCACATGTGTCATTTTCTCTTGTGCCGACGTAAACCATTCATCACAAAATGCACATTTTTCTTCAAGTAGAATTTCGTTTGGATCTTCTAAAATAATTGGAGGATCAAGAAGTTGAGACTCTTCATTCGTGGTGTTAAGGTCCAAAGGGGTCGAGTTGGCTGCCCTTCCTAATGATGGATGTACCTCCTCCTCCTCTTCTACTTCTGCCGTATTCAATGTTGCAGGGTCAATCTCTTCGCCAGATGAGCAGGAATCTGTATCTGAAGGACTCGGTGATGATGCTTTATGATTGTGTTTGCAATGGAGTCCAAGAGCTCGAGGTGAACTAAACTGTTTGGCGCAGAGGGTGCAGAACGATGTCTTGGCTCCTTCTTTGCCAAGACGAGATTCTTCTCTTTGACGTGCCCTGCACCATCGAATATGTGATCGGAGTGAAGTGACCCTGTCGAATCTTTTGAAACAGACAGCACACGGATATGTGACATCAGCGGCCTCGGGTTCCTCTTCATCCGCTTCATTGTCCAACTCCATGCCAATTGTGGAATCACCATCGTCGTCATCATCACTCTCTGCTGCTGAGGATATGTCAGACTCGTGGGGATGGTTCAAATTATCAGGAATCTCCTCTTCGCCAGATGATAGATCTCGATATTTTGGTCTGGATAGAGTTGTCCTTCGTTTGCGACGTTTTGATCGATCACGCTTTGGCTGAGAGACAGGTTTAATTTCCTCCTCAGTGTTCGGCAGCGGTGAAGGAGTAAATATTTTAGACGGATCCGTCTCCGATCGTTGTTTTGATGCAGAGTGGATACGATTTAGGTGGCGTAATAAATACTGGAACGATGGATAAACGTGCTTCTCCTTGTCGGGGACGTCCGGGCAGTAAATGCACTCGAGTCTTGAAACGTCCATTAAATGCAGTATGTGAGACACTTGGGCTTTTGCTTTTGCTTCTGATTTGATGAACCAAGGTTGGTTATAGTATGCAGGTCTCTCAGAGGACGTCAAACCAGTCTCTTTAGTGGCAGGTGGGTTACTTGGAACATCTAATTTGGCACGTTTACTCGGAGTTCCTTGCGTGCCGTTGGTAGAAGTAGAATTGTCACTTGGTGTTTTTCCGGGATGATTTTTCTCTATGTGGCGTGACAATGTCCAAGAACTGAGGTACTTGTTCTGCTCTGATCCAGGAGGACAAAATGGACATTCAAAACTTTTAATAGTATCTGGTTCCGTTTTTGGCTTGCTTTCTGTCAGTTTGGTTTCCTTAATGATTTTACGTTTGATTATAGGTTTTGTTTTCTTGGATGATTTATTAGGGGACAAAAGAGATGAACCTGGGTGACAATCGCTAAGATGTCGTAATAGCTCGAAAGGTCGTGAGTAATATGGTGGAGATGATGGACCAGTATTACATTCAGGGCAGTAGTATTTGCCATTGGACAATTTAAATGCACGGAGGGGATTTCCAAGAGTGGTGCATGATGGTGACGATGTCCCCCCAGGTTCTATTTTGGGCTTCACATCGTTCGCCATAATATTAGCAGCATCCTCGAGTTCATCATCCTCTTCACCAGGTTTTCGGGGTGGTGCTACCTCCTCTTCACTCTCCTCATCTTCTTCTTCGACCGTTTTTGACGACGAAGTCCCTCCACCGCCACCAATATTCTCGACTACATCGTCATAGTCATCGCCTTCCTCCTCTTCCTCGGATGAAGTAATGTTCTTTTTTCGCCCCCTTGAAGACGCTGGAAACTTTTTCTTCATATTGGCAAAGAAACGACTCTGACCACCAGTTTTTCGTCCTCCTCGACCACGAGAATAATAGCGAAGCTGTGTTTTACTGATTGGCCTCGTCACAGATTGTAATAATTTATTCTTTTCTGCTTTTGACATTTTCGTTTCATCCAGTTTCGCCTTGATCAATACCTGCAATTTTGACACTCTCAGGTAGTCAGTACCTTTATGCTGGACGAGAAAGTGTCGTTGAAGATTGTGCAGGTTGGAGAACTGCTTTTGAGGGCATAAAGGGCAGTTCGCAGCTTGCTTATTGGGTCCGACTCTGTAAAACTGGAACCAACTTCGAAGAATGGTGAGTCCTTCAACAGATGACCGTGTGATTATGTCAGAATATGGGGGTTCCTCTTCTTGAACTTCTTCTTTTATCTTCTTGACTTTGTCTACTTCCTCTTTGATTTCTTTTTCCTCTTCCTCCCTGATTTTTACGTTTTCCACTTCCTCTTTGATTTTTTCCTCTGCGATGTTGTGAGCATTCTTAATATGATTCTCATAAGCATCTTTTTCCACTTCTTCTTCACTGGAACTTTCATCATTATTTTGTACTCGTGCTTGTTCTTCTGCTTCTGCCGCTTCTTCTTCTCTGTGCTTATTTTTCATAGCTTCGATATTAACCGAGCTAGGACATGAGAGAAACGTTGAAGTTGGATGCAGAACTCCAATATGTCGATGAACATTCCATGTGGTTGAGAGAGACCTTCGTTTCGAGGCTGGACATTCTGGGCAATAGAAACCACCATCTATTGTAAAGTTTGCCAACACTTCGCGAATACGGATAGCATTTGGACCAGGACGCCATTGCCATCGTATGCGGCACGGGGAAAGACCAATTGTGGTGCGTTTAACTGGGCGGCGAACACCGGAAGTAGATGAAGGCTGAAATTTCCTCTTGGTCGGTTTTGCGATCTTGCTTACTAGCTTTGGTTTTTTAGGAACTACTTCGACCTCTTCATCGTCAGATAAGTCTTCTTCCGGTTCAACTTTTACAGTATTTTTATGGTTGCTCATATTGTTGCCATTATCTTCATCAGAGGGTAAATCTGAAGAATTTATGGTTGAAGGGTTTGCTGCCTCAGCTAATTTATCCTCTTCTATACTACGCAGAAATAGTTCTTCGTCGACGGAAGGTGGATGGTAACGACGGATGTGTCCGAGTAACGAACGTCCATTAACATGGTCCCTTTTATCGCAATCAGTCACAGGGCAAATGAAGGGTTTTTCTAGAGTGAGATCAAAGTGATGTGTGGAACCCACATGGGCATCGCGATCTGCGCCAGTTCTGCGAAAAATAATAAATGCAACGTTTAGTAATTACTATTCATAAACTTAACATGAATTTAATTAATTAATTAATTCAATTAATTACCGGAATGCTCGACTGCAGAAGGAACACATAAATGTGAAATTTCTGTTTGAAGGAAGTCTCCTACGTCTGTCGTCGAAAGCAAGACCTGGTCTTGGCGGCATGGAGGAATAATTGTAATGAGGAGTCTTGAAACGTCGATCTAAAAAGCCCTTTCTGACGGGTTTCATTTTTGGCACGTCTATAGAGGTTCGTCTCCCTTGTCGAGGAAATGGTTTGTTAATTCCAAATTTATTTGACTCATTATATGAGTGCTGTTTTTGCGAGGGCAGTGGGGTGCGTGGTGTTAACATGGACGTGGATTTTTGTCTCGGTCTAAGAATTCAGTAAATTTTGATACAAGTTAAAAAAGCAAAAATCAACTTTTAGTGTGTACACTTTAGACAATTTTTACCCATAAAATCTATTTTTCCTGATGAGAAGGTCTCGCATTTTCTCCAATTCTGCTTTCCTCTTCCTCCAGAACGTTTGAGGTGTTTTGTGTCGGACAATAATTTCTGGTGGCAAAGGGTTGGCGACAACATTGCTCTTGTCGTCGTCGTCCGCATCGTTATTGGCGTTGTCGTCTGACTCAGTCTTCTTAACAATTTTGTTGTTTGGTTGTCCGATATTGCTTGTAAAGTATTTTTCTTTTTCTTCGACGCTATGAGTATGAGTCACGTGGGTTGCAATTCCACGACGATTTGGAAACGACTTGTCGCACCCTGGAACTGGGCAGGACAGGAGACGTTTCTCATAATTATGGACGCGTTGTATATGCCTGAAACGAAAATGTCATAGTTTGCATGAAAAATAATTTACTGATTGGGATTAAAAAGAAAATATATGAATTATTCAATTACAACTCACTTTCTCATGTCAGAGTACAGAATGTAAACTTTCTCGCAAGTTGGGCATCGGTGATAATGATCGTGAGTGTTTGTCCGATGGAAAAGTAGACATTTTCGGTTAGCAAAAATCTCACCACAACCAGAATCAGGACAAGAATGAGTCTCATGGAGGAGATCTTCAGCTTCAAATGGGGACATTGTTGAAGGAACGGTGGGAACGCTAAGTAGACATTTAATAATTAATTAGCTTGCACAATGAATAACTCAAATAGAATACTGTTAATCATTCATAATAACCGCTCACCTCAAATCTTCCAAATGTTTCTCCAAGTAATAATCATATAAAAAGCTCATTCCACAAAATTGACACAATATAAACTCCCCATCTGTATGTTGCCTCTTATGTTCTACTCGTAGAGGGTGATGTTTGTCAGTCACCAGTTGCTCAATCCAGCAAGTATTACACTGTGTGTACTTGGTCTGATTGTTCCCAAGTTTCACGAACAATTTTTTAACTCGATCTTGTGATCTTGCTTCCTGTCGCATCATTCTTTTCGTGAGACTTGTTTTTAGTTTCAAATAAGACTCCTCCGTCGAGACTTGTGATTCTGCTGGATTTGATTCTTGCTCTTGGTCATCAGAATCGGAATCATCCGAAGATTCGGAATCATCGGATGACTCATCGTCGTCATCATCATCAGAATCAGAGAGGACTACCGTGGTGCGGGGGGCGTTCTCTGCACGTCGTAACGCATCTGATGCATTCTTCATCGTCAACTCGTTGTCACTATAGAGAAATAGATCGGGTTATTAGATATAAAACTAAGCTATAATTATTATAGCATATGTTCTCTTACCAATCATCACTATCAACGATGCGAGGGGGCCCTTTGACCTGGATGTTGTGTTCTCGATCCAAGTGGATCCTGAATTTCGAGACGGATGGTATTTGAGCGTAGCAAAGTTGGCAAAAAATAATCCTTGTTATTTTGGTTACTACTTCGACGCGAGTACGCCCGTAATTTTTTAGCTTATTTTTTGTCGTAGATTTTTCAGTTTTGATTTCGACGTCAGTGTCCGGTTCCTTTTTGACATCGATGTTAGTAGAATTGACAACTACCAAGTTTGGTAGTTTTTCTCCACTGCCAACCTCGGGAGGTTCAGTCTTTATAGTTTGAGATGGATCGGGCATGTGATAATCACTAAGTTCAGTCTTTGCATTGGACGTGGTGTCGTCGTCATGTTCTTCTTCCTCCACAGGTTCAGTTTTTATTACGAAATTGTCCACCTCAGAAGACACTGTGGAGTCTAATATTTTTAAGGGGACATTGTCCCCACTTTCCTCCATTTTAACCGTGGCCGTGGCCACCAAGCCACAAGAACGTCACCCCCACTTGGTATAAAAGATACCAATTTTTTAAAACGGTTACTAGTTAATTCTTATTTATTTTAATCGAAATGGAGGTAAATGCTAATTGCAAAAGCACGATAAACTTTAGCGCATGTACTCACACCACGTACTATATTTTGAGTAGTGAGAGATTGCCTCGTCCGGTAGTGGTTGGCTTTTATTGTCTCATTTGCCCCCGTTTTTGTCTTTGTTGCATGGAAGCCAATCATTTCCATGTGATTTTGTCCAAATTCATACGGTTAATTTGTAATTAAAGACAATTAGTTAAATGTAAATTCAGCATCGTAGTTATTATGGATAATATTTCAGATTTCAAATGCAGCAATTAAATATGGGAATGCTGTGTGACATATTTAATCATGTACTTATGTATGATTTAAATTGTATGCATTTCATTTAAAAAAAACATGAAGAATTTACACTTACTTATGGTATAGTTGTATGCTAATGCTTATCATGAGAGGTGTAGATAACCAAATAAGTAATTGAAAGGGTTTTAGTTCAAAATTTGCAATATTCTCTGTACAATTTGAAATGCATGTCGATTTAAATATGTATATACTCGTAGGCTTAAACTTTTTCGAATCTAAAATTTTATTGCCAACTACCAGAATTTTTGACATAGATGGAAAAGATTCTTATAATTTATAAATCCAGTAACTGTGTGAAAGTAAGTGTCAACTAATAACATAATTAATTTGTATAAACTATTTCTACCGATAAATTTGTTACAATTTTTTTCTTGATGTTCCGATCAGTATTCGACAATTCTGGTCACACTAGGTTGGCATTATTGCAAATAAATAAATAGTATTATTTATTAGATGCAGTGACGATGAGACCAGTGAAGAGTTATCGAATAAGAGCAATAAGACAAATTTTTATCATACATACTTAAATATATTTAAATAGGTATAACTTTATGACACACTTTTGCAGTGGATGAAATTGAAAACAATTGTGACATGGAGAGATGCTAATTGTTTTCTATTAAATTTTCTATTCAAAATAATACGTGCATGGTTCGAATTTTGAAACCAATGCACGTCTACGTTCATAAGGATGCACTTTGTTTAACTACTTATGTAAATATACCTACATATAAATACTTGAAATACGGACGTCTTTTTTTCACGGAGGAATTGGATTTCCTATAATTATACATTTGCATACAAACTATTTACGTGTATTTATGTACACGCGTCTTGAGTAATGGTTACATGCATATTCCTAATTATGTATTAACCTACATACTTGTTGATGGGTGTGGGCTGATTTCAATTTACGCAGGTTCTTGTAGAATTTTAGGCAAATTAGTTGTAAACTCGAAACAATGCATGTTATTTACCTGTGGTTTAAAAAAATACATGAATCATTAAATGGCATTCGTTCATATGTTATTTAGCTGCTTCTTGAAAAAAACTTACATCCTTAAAGTCCCAAAATTCTTGGCTGGTTGTAATATTCTCGAATGTTGTTTAGTTGGATGATTATATTGTTCCGTTCCACGGTTTCTAAGAACTTGAAATCAAGTCCCACCATATCGTCGGGTTTCCCAAACCTCACCATCAGTTCAAAGTCGCCGTGAAAGCTCATGTCCATTTGCGGACTGGAGTTGATGGTAAAACCGTAGGTAACCGTTTCCGTCGAGTTTTTAATGGTGATTTTTCTTCCTGCTAAATTCACATCTACAGATCCACCGTCTGAATGAGAATGCTCGAATTGCTCTTTAGTCGCCATCACCCTGAAACATTTCAATCCCGACTTTTGCAAAATGCAAATGGTCATTCTTTAAAAAATATGGGAAAATTGCAAAAAACAGTCGTATTTTATAAAATAACTGAAAAATGTAGTTGTTTAACAACCTTTCTCTTCTATTATTAATGTATCAGCTAAAAATATATTTAGTGCAGGTAGATACATAAAGATGTACATTGTACATAACATTAAGCGCATGTACGCACATGTATCAAATATCTTACAATGTTACAGTCCCTACGCTATTTTCATGGTTGTGCAGCCCTTGTCTGAAGGGAAATCAGAAAAGGGTTACATTTATTGAATTGCGGTATCATTTATGTGCATATGAACCTCTAGTTATGCATGTATAATTATTTGAGGCAGGATGCTTTATATGGTGCAATTTAATAAAAAGCAGGGCCATACCTGACTGATTTTGACATTTTTAACATAAAAAAATCCGGCTGCTGGACGACAAACTAATATTTTTTTTTACTTTTTAGATACTTATACTTTGATACTGCCGACCCCGTATGAACTATGATGGCGTTAGAAATTAAAATAATTTGTTTCCATATTTACATAATACAGATAAACCAGGCTCATAATAATTTTATTCATGTATTCAATTATTATAGTCTCCTAAATAATTCTGTCTCGCAAACCACCCTTCCCCAAAGCCATGACCCTTCATAACCTCCCAAACTTCCTCAATCGGTCCCCTCCCTTGTTGCTGGACGGTCGACAAAGTCCCCCAGCTCGGCGCACCAGCTTCCCCATCTTTCCCGACACATCCCACCAACGACATCGCGCTCGCGTCGGCCGTAGCATTTGAAATATGATCCGTCCATCGAAGAACCCATTTCGCCTCTTCCAAAGCCCCCGGATCAGACCCCTTGGAACAAAATGGGAAATCCTTGCTAGATCCGGACTGACAAAGTGGGTGTGGTCTGCACCGCAATCGACCCATTTCTCCGACAACGTCTTCCAAATGTGGATTTTTTTCGGCAAGCGAGGTCAAATTTGCCTCTATCCCTGCCCAGTTCATTGAGTAGGTGGGAATTCTTTTGAGTCGCGACGTCACCAAGGACCACACGCCTTGAACCCCTCTCGAATTTGGGATGCACGTGAGATGAATAAATTTAGAGCCGGAGGAGAGGGTCAGATCACCAAAAGCGTACGATGCCATAAGTCGCATTCCCTCCAAGGAGGCCGAATCAGGGGCGCAAGTGGAATGTAGGGCTTGATAAATGGAGGCGTAGGTAAACGTGTTGGCCGCGGTTAGGAAATAGGTTCGTGGTGTAAGAATCTAGTAGTAAAATTTCAAAAAAATGATGACTTAGACTTCGAAATTGAAATTTTTAAAGTCGACAAAATTTTACCCAGGCCAAATCTCGGATCGTGTTGAGACGATGGGTCGTTTTGGGGAGACGTGGACATAATTGTGGCGTTGTCTCGATGGCGTCTTGAGGGCATATTTTGCTCCCCCAAGATACAGCCAGCATCGATGCGAAGATTAGTCCCGTTGACAAGTGCATTTTGAGCCTGATAAAAATAAACTGATTATACATAGAATTTGGGATGAATATTCTCACCAATTATTTTGGCACAAAAATCTGCACAGCGTTCTTGGAAATGCTCAAATTATTAGTTATTGTCCCATTATCGTAGAATGCATAATGATATTAATTAAGTAACAAATCTACTGAATTAATTTTGCCAGGCTGCACCCTGGAGTGCTTCACTAATGTCACCAGCCTTACGTAGTAATTCTGGATAGTATGTTACCGACTGTGTACATAGTTCAAAATACGAAGAAATTTTCATAAAATACCAACGTTTCCTTAAAAATGAAATTTTTTGCCATAACTTTCTTCATGGTAGTTATAACAGGAGGTGAGGTACAAGTTCCGCCTGGATATCGACGCTACGATGACATGATTCTACCCGAAAACTTCTTCGCAAACTCATCCGACAACAGGAATGCGGTCCCCAGTAAAAGTTTAACTTGGCCTGGAGGAAAAATTCCTTACGTGATTGACACCTCACCTGGTACACAATTAATTAATCACTAAAAACCAATTATAATATATATTATCCAAATTTCTTAGCACAAAACAAGCAACAAATTTTGCAAGCTATGCAACACTACCACGCAAATACCTGCGTCCGTTTCATACCTCGAACGAATCAGTACAATTATGTAAAAATTTTTGCTGGTGAGGGATGTTACTCTCTTGTGGGCGTGTCTAACGGGGGCCAGCAACCGCTAAGTTTAGGAACGGGTTGTACCGATCATGGCACCATCGTGCATGAACTAGGCCACGCACTGGGATTTTATCACGAACAGAATCGCAGTGATCAGAGTATTGGCCACAATTTGAAAAGCTCGAACCTCACCAAAATTGGCTAATTAATGGATTTGACGTATCGAGTATAATGTTGTACGGTGCGACATCATTTTCCAGTGATGGCTACAGCATAACACTGCAGCATTCAGGTGGACCATTGCTCGAAGTGTACCAAAAGTCTGGGATGAGTTATTCGGATGTGCAACGAGTTAATAAGTTGTATGGTTGCTGAGTATGAGTCAAAAATAATTGAATAAAGAAACAAGGATTTGTAACAGACTTTTAACAAATAGTTCATAATTTAATTTCTTGGGTGCATGTGTGTAATTGACGACAAAATTGTCTGATCCATAAAATATAATCGCACATAATAATGAATATTTATCCGACGTGCTAATGCGAAAACGCCACGGGTGGGATCAAGTAAACTCTTTACGACGTACATATTTACATATCTTTCCATATATCGACAAACAATACACCTCTGACCTCCCATGACATTTTTTCGGAATAATATTTTTAGCACATTATCGGAATTTGTACACACATGGATGTACATATAAACATTTACACAAAACCATTAGGGTGAGCAAATGCATATTGCAAATTGTATGGCAAAAAAATAAAACTCATTTTTTAGTGAGAAAAATCTTACATTAACCAAATTTTTGTACTCCCATTAACATGAACGCACTTTGGGTCTTTACAATTGTGGTCTTGAGCTTTGTTGGACCTGTCCTTGGAACAGGTCCAATTTTATTTACAGAGTTAAATTACTCAAGTAAGTTCCATTTCATAGTTCCATGTCGGAATTATTTAACTACTTTGAATATTTGTAACAAGTACATAAATAATTTCTACTTAAACACATTAGTACCAAACGGTTATCGAAGATTGGATGACATGATTCTACCTGAAACTTTCTTCCATCCTAACTCCACTCGAAATGCGGTTAACAGCGCCGACCTAATCTGGCCGAAGGGTCGCATTCCTTACGTGATTGACAATTCACTTTGTAAGAAACACGTAAAATCTCACTAATCTAGTTTACAATAAAATTCTTATAGATATGCAACTTATAGAATTTTGTATGTAACCAATATGCATTTTTTCTTTTTCATAAAATGCGACTTTGAACGCGTACCTAAGAATTATAAATTGTTTTCGAACCAGTTTTTTACACTGCATCTTTTCAAATTTTTCCGATATATTTTCAAAATTTTAGAAAATAATCAGAAAAAATTTATAAAAATTTAATTAAATCGACTATTAATGAATAATTTGACCCTCAATGTAGCCCAGCACTCGCAAAGAATTTACAACGCTATGGGAGACTACCATTCCAAGACGTGCATCCGTTTCGTCCCCCGGACCAACGAGTACAACTACGTCAACATATTCTCAGGTCAAGGATGCTACTCTTTGATCGGGTTAGCCAAACAGGGTCAGCAACCATTAAGTTTGGGAAATGGTTGCCTAGACCATGGGACCATCGTGCATGAATTAGGTCACGCTGCAGGATTTTTTCACGAACAGAATCGCAGTGATCGCGACAATCACTTAATAATCAACTGGGCGAACATCCAGCAGGGTGCAAATTATACACCTATTTTTACAGATTTTAATAATTTGTATCTAAAATTCCTAAATTTCTTGTCAGGTTATGCGTCCCAATTTTACAAATTAGATCCCTCCCAAAACTGGCTGATAAATGGATTTGATGTCTCCAGTATCATGTTATACGGTGAACTTTCATTCTCCAAGGATGGCTACAGTCGCACCATGACGAATCGTGGGGGTCAGAAATTGCTGGAAGTTTATCAAAAGAGAGGCCTAAGTTATGCAGATGTTCAACGAGTCAATAAATTGTATGGGTGCTGATTACACAAAAATATTTGCACATCTGTATTTGCACACCAATAATAAATTTGTAACGCAGTATCCAAATCACAAGTGGAATTCCCAAGTATTTAGAATGCACTTAAAGTGTACACTCTGTTACCGAATGGTACTTGATTGATTGAGCTTGTATAACTGAATTATTTTTCATGCAATCAGGCCACACACCAGGATGAATATTAAATAAAGCAGTTTAACCAATGTCACCACGACAGAAATGAGTCAATTCCCGATTGGGTCGTATCCATCAGAAATTAATTAAGAATCAATTGCGATCATGTCACATGCATCAAACAATAAAACGTTCCATCATCACATTGCATAAACTGTCTGACAGGCTCAACAACCACTGTTCTCAATACACAATATTGACCATTCCGACACGGGCTGAAACCTGTCAGATAAATGCAAATAATTACAGTTCAGGATGAGAACAAATAGATCTGGGTACGAAAATATGCTCACACTTTGCTCTTGACATCGGACACGAACAAACCTCCAAATTAGTACATACGATGGCATCTAGGAAATTATTAATGGGTGTGGTCACCGCACTTGTTCTATTACAAGGAGGGGAATCTCGCAGATTATCTCCAAGAGCTTCAGGTAACACACTAAATAAATATTAGCAAATTATGATTTGCAGACAAATTTTCAAGCCTAAAAAATGGAATTAAATACAGGTCCAGGATTCGCCCCGTACTTCGATGTAACGTTGGATCGCCCAAATCTCTACGAATATATGCAACTGACTGGTCAAAAAGATTTTACGTTAGCATTTGCTTTGGGTGGTAGTCAAGGTGACGAATATTTCATAACGTTGACCTTCCTGATTTAATAATCAATCTCAGAATGTCTAAATCTTATACATAGGTTGTTATCCTATGTGGGGTGCCCAATTAAATATTGACGACCCTGCCGTGCTAGATCCAATTAAACAAGTTATGGCTGCTGGAGGGCAAATGGTCATCGCTACAGGTGGTGCAGTTGGCCCTTATCTGGAGCATGTTTGCTCAACCTCTGAAGCTCTCGCTACTGCGTACAAGGTTGCTCTTGATGTCGTGGGGACGACACATTTGGACATCGATATTGAGGCTCCGATCAATAATGATTTGGTTAACAGGTGGGTGTCGAACTTAAGTCAAATCTTAGACCAACATGTAAATGTTTACTTAAATTTATAAAATATTCACGTAGAGCTCTTGCCCAAGTGCAAAGGGAAAGACCATCCACCACGGTCTCATACACGGTTATGATTCAAGGAGAAGGTAAGCAAAGCCTTACTTTAAAACCAATCTAACTATCGACAACCTGGAACCAATTTTGGTCAGGATATATAAATTAAATCTAAAAAATCCATCTTCTAAATTTTAACGCCCACCAGATTACGGGATGACGCCAGAGTTAGGGGTGAACGTGCTCATAAATGCAAAAGCTAACGGAGTCAGGGTCGACTTGGTCAACGCGATGACGATGGAGTTTCCTGGAACAAGTCCTGAATGGGGGGATTCCGTAATTAATGCGACCAAGGCGACGCTCCGACAAATGGCGGCCATTTGGCCGGAGAAGAGCGAAGTCGAACTGAAAGAAATGGTCGGCGTTACGCCAATGATTGGCCGAAATTTTAATGGAAAGGTGTGCTGAATTTGATAATTAAGCTAACAAATTTTTCGTATTACATTGGAAATTGTATCAGGTTTTTGAGACACGTCACGGTCGTCAACTCGTGGAATGGGGAAACTCTGAGAAGATTGCACATTTAAGTTTCTGGTCGATCGGTCGTGACAATGGGGACTGTCCTGATGGCACACTTTCTCCTTATTGCTCCGGAACCACGCAAGGACCTCAGGAATTTACTTCGATCTTTAAAGGATTCAATCCTGGTCCACCCGTTCCAACCACAACGCGAGACCCGACAGCTCCAGTAAATAAATCAAATATCTGCAATTAAATTATTAGAATAATATGTATTAATTAATGTGTGCATGCATATACAGCCACCCACCACAACGAGGCCACCATCCACGACCCCACCAAACCGAGAGTGTACGCATGAAGGAATTGATGGCATTAAATGTGAAACAACTTTCTGGACGTGTATCATACAGGATGGACAGTTAGTCAAAATTGAGATGAGGTGTGCAATTGGACTTGTGTATGACCCCACGATTTTGGCTTGTAATTATCCCGAAGCTATCGGTTGCTAAACAAAGACTTAAATGTTATCAGACTTTAATATTTGCCTATTTATATATTATAATATAAACTAAACCCTAAAAAGGATTGCTTAGGTGAGACTCGGGTATATGCGATTAAAAGGATGAAATAACCCTCTCCCTCCTCCCACACTGGAGAGCAAGTGTTGGTAAAATGAACATCACCTCCCTGGGAATAATTTCCTAACTGTGCAAATTCTTCCAAAATAATTGGAAGAACTATGTACTGTCATTTAAAAAAAAGCAAATTCAAGAAATGACTGATTAATTATTTCTTGGTTGTGCATTCAAAACAAGCCTTAGCCCACTTCCAGAGAAAGTTTCCGTATTATTTGTATATGTATTACCGAATGCACTTATCTTAAATATGCAGTGCAACATTAACGAGGAATCAACAGGCACCAATGGCCATTATAACGATAAAGTCAGGATGTGCAAACTGAATTCAGATCAATTCCGTCATATTTGGACGCAAAATTATTTCCCCGTGACGAAATTATTCCCAAGGCGGTGATGCTCATTTTACCAACACTTGCTCTCCAGTGTGGGAGGAGGGAGGGGGTTATTTCATCCTTTTAATCGCATATACCCGAGTCTCACCTAAGCAATCCTTTTTAGGGTTTAGTTTATTTGTAACTTTTGATTGTTAATATTCGTAATAAACTAGTAACGAAATCAATTAACGAACTATATTCGCAATAGTTATTTTTAGTAAGTCAAGTTAGTTCTTAATAAGTAAGTTTTAGCGAATTAGTGGACATGAAACTCAGTGGCGGCGGAAGTATGGGGACATGGTCCCCCCGGAAATTGGGCACAAATCTGCCCATGTTAATGAGCTTCTCCGCCTCCAATGCTAATGTCCCCCTAATTTCAGCAGCTACTGATGAAACCCCAAGTGTTTTGATCGTGATACTTGCATCCGCTACACCCACTCAAATGAGCCAAAAATTAAGAAAATCAACGTCTTCAAATGCTTGCCAAAAATTCAGTTTCAACTTTTTAAAATTTTAAAATTTAAAATTTTTTCGAAGCACGGCCACCAGATTTTTTCAAAATTTTTTTAAATTAAAAAAATTGAGTCTAATACGAGTATGATAAAACCACTATCTTGCTTGGAATACAAGATGCTCGAATTTTCACATTCCGAAACAAAATTTGATTTTTGTAAGCCACTTGATTGATTTCTTTTTTTGCCATTTTGAGTGGGTGTGGGTACTACGGCATATCCAAATAGCATCAAAATATTTGAGGGACAGTTGGTGAAGTTTTCTTGGGTGAAAATTGTCATGCGACCAATCCCCCCTAAGTTATTGCCTCCTACCACATGCAGCATGACTTTTTAAGTCGAAACACTTTTTCATTTCTCAACCGATTTTGTTCATTCTAATTTTAAATAAGACATACATGTGTATATCACATTTTGTAAGAAAAGGATTTTCAATATAATCCTTAACTTGGTTAGTATGGACGATACTTCCCCAAAAAGTCGCCTCAGAAACTGTTTTCTGCGAATAGGCCAGAAAGGGTGTACAAATCTTGACTGGCAGTTGCGAATTCTGATTGCACACCACCATAAATGACTCTGGGTTTTTATTTGATCAAAATCGGTTGAGAAATTGCAAAGTTATGGGCGATGGTCACTTTTCAAACCGTTGTGGAATGCTTACTTAGGTATTTTTTTGTAACCATGGCCTCACCTAAGAAAAATGAGACATCGCACATCTCAAGGAGAAATTACAATTTTTCGAAAATTCTAAAATTCTACATGTGCATCAATTATTTAAGTCAAAACTCGCTAATGTAATTATCCAACCGTTTAAACTCTATGGTTTTTATGCTACTGGTAAACATCCAAATGAAATGTCTTTGAATAATTTAGAGCAGAAGTTACGAATTTTATGAGTATGGATGTAAGTAAACGAACAAGTAATTGATTTCATATGATTAAGTCAAACTATATATTTATTGAAATTTTTTTATCTCAGTCACCATGAAATCACAAAACATCTACAATTCTTAAGAGAATTTTACCCTGGCTTAAAAATACTTAGCCAAGAAAACCACAATCTTATCCTTCATATCCTGCACGTCTGTCGGACTCCAGTCGAAATGACCCCCGCTGTACACCGTCACCTCATTCACGACCCCCAAATTGTTTAACTTATCTCCTAATATTTTATGCTGACTGTTCGGGACGAGGGGATCCTTGTCGCCATAGAAACCGATGGTTTTCGGAGAGTTTGGAGTCGCCCAAGTTAGCGGGCTCGTCTCATTATAAATACCCGGATTTAAAAAGTAAAAGTTAGGTCCAATGAAGGCAAAGAAGATCCAATTGTACACCAGATTCCAAGCGTAGGCAGGATCCGTAAAATCCGCCGGGCCAACGACATCGATCACGACGCTGACATCTCGATTGATGGCGTCGTATCGGTAGCCATACAGAAGGGAGAGATGCGCCCCAGCGGAACCCCCGAAAAGAGCGAAGGTCAACTTTTGCCCGGGTAGTTTCGATTTGATGAAGGAAATCACCGCGCCAATGTCTTCTGTTTGTTTGGGATACCCGGGTGAGGACCAAGTGCCCAGTCGGTACTCCATGTTTGCCACGAGGTAACCAGGGAAAGCAGATAAGATGAACGGGACAAATGGGGACATGTCGGATTTTGAGCCCCCTCCCCACGCCCCGCCGTGGATCAGAATGACAACATGTGTCACAGAGGTGAGGGAATTATTTGGTGCGATGTAGTAGTCCACGATTTGTGCGGGGTCGTCCCCATAGGAAACGTTTGCATAGGTTGGGGCAAGAACTGAAAGTATTAAAAAAGTTGGTATTTACATAGTTTTCAGAATTTTTGAACAGCAAAAAATATAAGTTCAGAAATTTCTAACCTTGACAGTTTACACTGGTATTATGGACCATGAAAAATATTAACAAAACGAAGGCCCCGAAATTCTTTAAAGTTTCCATTTTTTTAAGCAATCAAAACCTCACTTTTATTCTATTGGTAGGATTGTTACCCAAATATTGAATTGAATTCGGTATCAGTGAAGCATCTCTTTTTAAAGGATTTGATCTCAACACGTACCACGAACCGTTTTAATAATCCGTAAACATTTTACTTAATTTGTTATTCGGTGAAGCAGGAACTGGAATTTACAGATATAAACCTAAACGTGGTTGTTGTTGAAGTTTGTCAATAATCGGATACAAAAGTGGCAGATTTATCGATTGATTTATTATTTAATCCTGTTATAAAATACCTAAAAGTTATTTGCTATGCGTCATAATTGATTAATTTGTGCGAACATTTTCTAGAGAAAAATATATATTTATGTATGTATGTAGGGATAGGTAAGGTATATGTAGTTACTAAATATGTATTTACGTGACCGTAAACCACATCCGCTAATTTACATGCAATAATGCGTGATCACGCGAGTTTACCATCCTGAAATTTATTGCCAAAAATCCGCATTTCAGTGTATCACCAGACCAGACATTGTTATTGTAAAGTATTTATTGTGATGCAGGATTAGCAGGTGACATGTCATGGCATCGTACATAGAAAAGATCAAAATGATTAATGCCTTGGATTTATGCTTCATTGTGGTAAAAATATGAATGTTGTACAGCATATTAAATTAACTGCTTTGTTAAATTTTGGATTTATAGCTCCAAAATAAGAAAGATGTTCTAAATAATTACCTAATTATTTAGAACGAATTCTCCAATTAAGTAGAGTTTTTTGCATGTAATTGAATGGCATTCGAATCCGAAAATCATTTATGACAAGCACATTATTATACGTCTTCTAAATTCTGTAAGACGTACATATTTAAAACGTACAAAAAGACAAGCAAGTAATTTCTGATTTGTTACTAAACATTGTTCATCAAACTTTTTAGCTCATCCTTGTCAGTTATGTATGTACATCTGTATATTCTTACATTACAAGTACTGCACCATTCCGGAATTGTTTTCAACCTTTATCCAATTTCCAATTGCAAATCACGATTGCTACTCCGATATCAACCTAATTGGAATCTGAGTAAATACTTTCATCACAACTGCCTGGAAACTTTATACTTTACTAAATATGTATGTAGTATGTACATTCGGACTAGTCATGAGGATTAGTTACATACATTTCGCTTCACAATTATGTATTAGTCATTGAAGACATTTTTCGGAAAGAAGATACATTATTGATTACAATTTTATGAAACTTGCCCTTTTAAATATTAGAAGCTTCTAACCACGATTGCATATTCGGAATGAAATTACCTATACGATCGACCAAATCAAATTACATATTTAAATTAAATTATGCAAATTTTCGAGCGAATCAACTTATCCGTGTAAGCATGCACATATCTAATATATGTATATGCACATGAAAAAAAACTTTACATTATGCGTACTAAATATTTCGTTGAATATTTCTTCACCAAAAATACGAAATTACCTAGTTTGATCAACTTCGATCCCTCCAGTAGTACGTGGACAAAGCATGTGATCGATTTTCAGAGAATTTTGATCCCTTGTGACCTGTGTCATAATTAACATGAGAGGGATAGGATATCTACATATCTTAATAGTTGACCCCTACCCTCCCTCAAATCGATCACATGCTTTCTGCACAGTCCCTCAGTTGATTTAATTTTCTTTAAGAATACAAAAATACTAAATAAATAAATAAGTATGCATACATTTGTTAAGTCGTAGACTTCTATATACATATTAATCTTCAAATATCGATAAAACTACGACGTGCGTCAGACTCGGGAGAAATTTCATTTCCCATTCCTCACAATTGAGTAAAACCTTTCATATTTGCCACAAACTTCAACATGGCTTCAAAGCAGCACTGGAACTTGATTGAAGCATTTCACCAAATATTTTCGAAACTGACATTCCTCGTTGGATTCAGAATCGACCGGAAATATCGCAAACTAGTCAAGCCGAAAAAATATTCAAAATTTGTACTTTTCTTCAGCAGACTGACACAAATATTATGCACAGTTGCAATCCTATCATTTTATGCAGATATTTGGGATCACTTATTTGCGAAACAAGTATCAAGCCAAGATCGACACTCAACTTTATACATGTTGAGATCAATTTCGATTCTCTTTACGACGCTACTAACGTCCGCATTATTTCCAGCGATGTGGATTCTAGTCCACTCTCCAGAAGTTCTTGTTAACATGATTAATCCGCTCAAAGATATCTACCAATCGATGAAAGGTAAGGAATTGAAATTAGTAATCAAACATTGTTAGTGGACTCATGCAAATTAGGCCTTAAATCTTGTAGACTTATGTATATATGTATGCATGTATGTACGCTATTATGGCAGCTTTATTTTTCAACCAATCTCTTCCCATTTTTAAATTGGGCGTGCTCACGACAAATTTTTATTCACCAAATTTGGGAACCTCGAAAAGTTTGCGTCGTGAGAGGGTTCTCAAAACATGGTTTAACAAATTTCGTAAAACCACAAGTTGCAGTTATTATCTTATTTTGATTTAGCTTTCGTGGGTTATAAATATGTAATTCCTACAGCTTGTGTTAGAGAGGATGAATTTGCGAAATAATTTAGAGAAATATCTATAGACATTCCAGTTGCTGTGAAAGTTTGTCCAAAAATCCCAGCAAAAGTTTAGTTACGAAACTTCAAAGTACTTAAAGAGTATTCAAAATATTCTAAATAATCACGACGATTATAAATTCACAGATTTATTGCCCTCCAGCTTATCTCGGAATCAATCCGTAAATTTTACCACTGTGATCGCCCGAGCACTCCTAATCCTCCCCGTACTCGTCACGCCATTCGCCTGCATTATTGCCGTCCTTTTAGAAATTGACCCGTCTCAAAAACTTGCCGAATTACTGCTACCAAACATGTTCAAATTTAAGCGAGGCATAGGTCAATTAATTCCGCCACTTTGGCGGATCACTCTCTGTACTTGGATAGCCCTTCAATTTCTAGCCGCTGGAAATTTCGTCGCACAATTTGGCGTAGCTGTTATCAACACGGTCACCGATTTGCTGACTGCTCTCGTCGACATGAGCGACGCTGAAATTCTGCACGACGAGGACAAACTTTGGGCGAAACTGGGTAACCTAAGAACGAGGCGGATTAAGATTTGGTTATACAAGTACATCCAAATTTACTGGGATTATATCGATGCCAATGTAAACGCCAGGATTAGCAGTGTCGGGCTGAGTTTTGGCGGATTATCGCAGGTTGTAGGGAATTATTTCATCGTACGATTTTGGGATGAACTACCCGCAATAATTTATGGCACTGTAACCATGTTTTTGCTATTGATGGGGGTTACGCTCCAAGTCGGAGTGGACAGCGTGAGAAATCCGTATAAATTGTCTAACCGATTTTTACACTGGGTGAAGATGGGAAGACCGACAAAGTATAATTTGAAAGTGATAAATTCCTTGAGACCGTTGGAAGTTAGTATCGGTGTTTTCATAAAGGTGAGAATGAATACTGGACTGATCGTGTGTAAAGTGATTGCTGATGGCACTTTTACTGTTTTATTAGCCGTATGAATTTATCGTAGTGAAGGATGTCAATGTAAATGTAAAAATAAGTGTGTAAAAAATTCAAAAGATGCAAAATAAATTAATACGCATGCATTTATGACGTGATTAAAATTTTATAAAAAATTATTCAAAACTTAATTTACGTACTTCTGTACTAAATATTTAATTTAAAAATTGTATTTAATTTAGGTTTCTGTAAAAACCTGATGCATCTTTATAATCCGATTCAAGTCACTTTCTAGAAAAGAAAAAAATAAAATCATCAATTACCCACAAGAAAATCCCCTTCGCATTTAAGAACGCATCCTTATTTACACAAGGCAAGATTAGCACATGATAATTAAGCCATTATCTGACTGTGTGTATTATAATTTTCGGCTTCACGTGCAGCAGGACCTTATCATCTTCATCCTCCAACTATCTTACTCGGCCACTTACATAGGTATTTATAAACATATGTACATGCACATCACGAACCCAAAATTTACTTATCCAGCAGACCGTTCAGCAACAAGAGTATGCAAATTTACAATCTGACACTTGCCCTTTCCACAGGAAAATTGAAGCGTCACGTCTCTCATTTTTTGACAAAAACTCAGTCAACACTAGTCATCTCACCACGCTCCCCTAAAATTTTAAGCAAATTTTCCGAACAAATGTGGATTTTGAAATTAAATTAGTTAGTTGGTTCTCCGAATTGCCTTCTGTGTCATTAAACAATTTCTTCATCGTGCAAGGGCTCCAGTTTTACTTTGGAAAGTCCAACACAAAAAAACTATAAATTATCATCATGTTCCATTCTAAAACAACGATTATTTCATGGAAATCTCTCTTCATAAGTTTTCTCCTTCAAGAAATTTTAATCTCCTCATCCCCTCAAGAAACATCCATCTCTTTGTCTCAACTGATCTCATCTCTGCCCTCGCTCCAACTTCCGCCACCCAAACCCACCACGGACCCCACTCCTAAACCAATCATAACGGTCGAATCCCTCGCCAACCTGCTCAACGGGCCTTATCCCCCCGATTACGATGGAGGTCGAAAGGTTGCCATCACTCCGAAGCGTAAATGTCGCACCCGGCTGCGACCCCGATTTCGTCCCAAGGGGAAGATACATTTCGTCAAGAAGTTATGGTCGCTCATCCTCCCGACGAAAAAACCACCCGGATTTTGTGTCGAAGATATTCTCGCCGCTTTCGCCAAGGGGGGTGAAGGGGGAAGTTCAAAATCTCAAAGCCAGGCCCTCGACAATATCAACATTCATATCAACAACGTCCCTCAAACGATAAGTCATGCCGCCGAGACCACGACGACGACGATTCCACCCCCGCCATCGTGGGGATGGGGGGATGACGAGCTACCCGAATGGGAAGAGAGTCCACAGAAAAATGAGAAAACCAAAAACGTTGGAAATGCACAGAAAAATGAGAAAACTAAAAAATTCGGAAATATGTCAGATTCCTCACCAATCGATGAATACATTGACAAGGCGATGACAAAGTTGAAGATCATGCGGCTTTGGC